ATTTTTTTCGAATGTTGATGAGATTTTTAAATTCTCACCCAAAGTAATTTTTCATTTGGTCTTTGTCTATAAATCGAAAACAATTTCATGTTTCTCATTAACTATGGTCATCCAGTTATAGAAAGGAAGTAAATTGATGGCAATTCTGTCAGCTAATGAGACCGTTATTCTGGCTTTAGGTCCTCGTGATGAACTTTCGACTAAATTTTGATCATGTAACGTAACTAATGATGATCCCAATTCAAGACATAAAGCTTTGCCCTCAACAATTGATGCACATGATTTGTTTTCTATTTCGAGATAATATTGTGGACCAAGAATTATTTTTTCCAACTTTCCTTGTTTGAGTTGAAGCACTTGAAAATTGACAGTGTCACCAACAAGACAATTAACGTCTACTGGATCAATCAAAAGATTAGCAAGAACTGTTATGTCGACTTCTACTTGCGGAATTTCTCTATATTCCTCGAATGGAAGTTTAACAATTACTTTTCCCGATCCGGAATTGATTCCTTCGAGTAGAATGATGTGACCTTTACGTCCTGTTGTCTCAAACTTTTCAACCTCCTTTGGAACCTGAAAATTTAAAATTTAAATTATTTTATATTTCGATGTAATTTAATTACCAACCTGATGAAATTTACTTTCACTAAAAGTTACAAAACGCAGGACTTGAAAATTATTATTTTTTTCTGATGAACTTTTTGTATCCTTTGTCTGTGAGCCAAGTTTCCAACTAAATTCGATACCTTCTAATGTTGTGAAATCATTTCCATTTGCATCTTGAGCTTTTAATTCAAATGTTTCAGGAGCTTCTTCCAAGAACAATTCACGTGTTGTTGTGTGAACATTGAAAGTGTCTATGACATCTAAAATAACATCGCATCTTAATATTTCGGCGGTTTGAATGTGTTCAGCAAGGACAACTCCTGTGCTTCTGATTTTCTCTTTTGTAATTGCTGTTACAATAACTTTGTTGACACATTCTTCATTTTCGTTGTTTTCTATACGATTTAACTGGATTAGGTCTTGCCCTGATGATACACTACGAAAAATAAAAGTAAAAGATGAAATGCAAGAGTAATATATTGATTAAATACTTACCGAAAGTTAAAACATCCTTTTTCCAGAACTTGTAGTGTGAAATTAACACGAATATCATTGAAAATAGGCAAGAGAATTCTCGGCTTATTGAACTTGAAAGATGAACACAATGTTAATGCATTTGCAAAAGCAACTACAAGGAGTAAAATCTTCATTTTAGATATATTTGTAGCCTAAAGTTGAATGTACGTTTGCAATCAAATGAGAAAAATGCTTTTTTTATCACTAACAACACAATTTTGAAGAACATTTGTAAGGTTCGAAATGAGGTTAACAGATATTACAGAAATACCTACCTAATTGAAATCTTAGTTAATACAATGTTGTATTTATCTTCCTTTAAGAATGCGTTATTTCACATTGACGGAAATACTTGCACTATATTAAGAAACACAAACCTATTTATATAATCCTTGGCGGGAGTCTTAATAGAAGTTCTTTTCATTTCGCGCTATTTTTTAAAAATGACGCAAAACTATCGTTGACAATATTTATACTTTTTCATAATACCATTTAAAAATTTGAATTTTTAAGGTAAAATGCAACGAGTTCTATTAAATACCTACCTATTTATATTCAAATATCCTACTTAGCTTTGGTGACAAATAACGATGAAGAATTTTAAATAACAATATAAAATAAACTAAAATGAAACTAAGCGATTTTTATTTTTACATTATAAAACATAGATATCCTTTATTATAAAGATTTCTGAAACAGAATCTTTGTATACAAACATTTATTTAATATTTTTTATAACTCATACTGACAACATGAATTTAATTGAATTTTATAAAAAGATTTGCAAATCAAACAATCATTTCTGTTTAAAGTTAAAGCATGAGGTTACAGAAATATTTATGCAAATGCAGGAAGTTAAAGTTAAGCCATTTTCTTCATAAGTTTTCACGATTTTGATATGACTATTTGGAAAGTTACAGAGAAGCTTGAAAAGTAGGCAAGTTTCTTTCAAGGTGTTAAAATTAACAATAATTTTTTTATTTTAATAATGAAAAAAAGAAAGTTTTATGTTTCAAATGAAACAGTTTTCTAACATCCCGGTTAAATAAGTTTATATGTTTAATATTTATATCTCTTTAAAATTTGAATTTATGTTGATATTCATGGTATGTAGGTATTCAATACTTAATGTGTCAAAGTCCTGCATTGATTTCAGATACTCTTAAAACTTTGCTAATAATAGTGATTATCAATTCAGAATGCATTTCTTTCCCAGTTAGATTATTTCTTTCCTTCTTTAGTGTGAAAACATTTTCATAATTATTCTTTAAACTTCTTAAAAAACTCTTTTAAGGTTTAAAGATTTAAAAAATAAATTTCTTGAAAATGCAACAAGTTCAGATTTCTTTTTAAAAAAAGAAAATCATCTTGGTAATGTTTTTTTCCATCATTTCTCAATAAAGCCTAAGGTAGAATAAAGCCGTATTTGATTTGCATTAATATTTTATTGTTTTTTTTGATATATGTACTTAGATAGTTTTATATTGTCATCATCACATTTCACATTTACTACTTATTATCAAACTAAGTAAGACATACAATATTTCTGATTAATTTTCATATCATATGTATATACTTCTGCAGTAATTTTATATAATTTATCACTAATTTCTTCTACAATTTCATGTAAGGTTTGTTGTCAAATAGTCATCTTTAATTTAATTGATATTGTCATAATTATTGTCACAATTTATCAAAACAAAAGTTTCCAAAAACTATATTTAAAATCATTTTCTGTGATAAAATATCAAGAGATGTTTCATTGAAATATTTGAATTGAACATTTTCAAAAGTTAATTGAATCAGTAACGTTATTTTCAGAATCAATTTGTTATCAAAATATGTATTTCCGTACTTGGAGATATGATGGGAACACGAGGAGTCGGTTTAAATTTAAATAAAATCTATTCAATGTTAGACTACAAAGAACAGCATTTTCTGACAATTTCAATCTATTATAGATAGATCTAAATTTAAATTTTTAACCTGAATTATTTCAGCACCATGGACCGAATTCTTTGATGTGAATGTAAATTATTTAAGTTGATTATGTTCTCTGAATGCATAAATATATTTTAAGGTAGATTCTTAGTATCGCAAGTATGATAAACAACGGGAATTTAAAATAATTTAACTTTTCTACATCAATATTAATATGCTAATATTTTAAAAATAGGTAATTATGAATTCATGAACCAAATGTAGTTTTATAATTCTAAATTTTCTGTCTCCTTTGGATATATGTAGATATCTAGGTATATAAATATTTCCTTATTAAGTTTTCAATGTGCGTTTTATTGTTCATCGTTCAGAATTGTTATTTATTCTTCGTTTCAATTTTAAAGAACGAGCGAATATTATATATCAACAATCAACATCAATTTGGATTTCGATTTCGATTAAAAAACTCACTACAAGGAAATGAATATTAAAGTAAGCTAAAAAATTCAATTCATATTCATATTCTGATGATACAAAAATATTAAATACACATTTAGACAAGTTAAAATAAGTTTATAATAATACTTAAGAAGCAATAATTTGTATAGTGTTAAAGTTCATTTTCGAAGTTAAAAAATGTCCATAAAGTGATACTGACACTTTTCAGATTCCAGTTAATTAGTAAATTACTTTTAGCACATAAATGATAAAAAAAAATTGCAAACAAAAATAAAGCTTAAAAAATGGTTCATTAGCAATGACAAAGACTTTTTATGTTGACTACTTATGCCAAGAACTTTATCTTAAAGTTTTATGTAAGCAATTATTAAAATATATTTTCTCTAAATTTGTAGTTAAAGCTGAACCACGCAAATTGATTTTTATGTTATCATTTCGTTAATGTACACTAACAGTGAATACAAAGAAATTTTATTATAGTTTATTAGTTGTGATCTTTGACTAATGAAAAAGTTTTTTAAAAGTTATGTTCGAGACACTGTTGAATGAACTCAACAGAAATGGATGTCAAAATGGATCAAAGTTCTGGAAAAGTTTAAAAAAGTTCTTTCAAATTTTGTATCTAGCGCACTTATTTAACCTGCATATGTAGCTATGTGCTATAGTTTTAGTCAGTAAGTAGTAAAAATTTCGTTTTGTCTGCACACATTTTATTTAAGTTAACACCTCTATTGTTCTTCTATAATAAGTGACTAAAGCTTTTGGAGAACGTTGTTAAACGAGACTATATAAGAGTCATATTCTACGAAGACATACATGCTGCTTATGTATGGCCCTGTAGTGTAGATGAATCTAGATCTAACGTTCATTCTAAAAAAGTATCTAAATTTTTATTCATATAATAAGTATGAATTGTCTTATTATTGTCAATGTTCTTTATGCTTATAAATCATTTTTCCGTTCGACACAGTTGATGTAATTAATTTTTTTTTTAAATTCTGCATTATTGTCATTGACCTAAGGTCATATTTTAAACACAAGTTATTCACTTATTCATACATTTAATACAACATATTTTGCATGGATATTATTAATATGTCTGTTCATACAAATACAAAAATAAAATTTTGCAATTTCTACTTGACAAATATAAAAAATAAAATTTCGCTGACATAAAATGCTATTTCATTGTTTTTTGTGCTGATTTTAAGAAAGTTAAGAATATCTACATGTATTTAATTTTTGTCGATTTATTAATTGATTTAATTTTACTGAGATATAGAAAATGAACTTTTGATCACAATTTCTGATCATTCATATTTATAGGTATATCTACTTTATTAATTGAGTTGCTAAGATAATTTGATAAAGTTTCGTCTGAAAGAATTCTACATTTCTATTCAAATGATTTACCGTTTGGAAACTGTCTCATACTTTATATGTAGGTATTTATAATATTTTGCGACAGCTGCTTTGTTTCTCTTTTTGTTTAATAAAAGCCAGACCATTTCAATATTTCTAAGAACAAATTAAAAATAAATCATTTCAAAAATTGTAGATATTTCTTGTCTTCTGAAGAAAAAACTAAAATTGTTATATAATCATATCGAATTAATATTGTTTTCATACTAAACCAGCTTTTTATACAATGTCAAGTTCTTTTTTTTCAATAAACAATATTTTGCTTTACTCGTGGTATTCAAGCATTATTTAGATATATGGAAAAAATATCTGAATTTGCATAAAAATGGCATTCCAAATTTTTAGCATATTTCTTGAGATTAAATTACTCAGATATAAAAATTCTTTCAAGTGAAGTCACGAGTCACAATGATTAATCTGCCAGATTTATGTTCTATTTTTGAGGTATAAAGGATTCTTTAAAGAGGGTTTTAAAGGAGAATAAACGCCCAATGTTTTTTTTATCTTCTCATAGTGTATATAAATATGTATTCATATAAAGCTACATTCCCATTTCGTAAAGAGGTATTTATTGTGCCAAAAACTGAATGTCCTCTAAGAGTTCTCTACGATGTAATCATTTTTTTTTAATCAAATATTCTTTTTAAAAGTTAACATTTTAAAAAACATGTTTTAGTCTTATGATATGTAAGCTAAATAGAAAACTTTTTCCTCTGATAAATCTGCATATTTAATAAAAAATATTTACACAAACAATTTAATTCTCTTAATTTTTATAGCTGCAACCACGCTAGAAATTTGCATTTATAAACGCGTTAAGTTTTGCTCTAAATCTCTTTTCCTTTAGACAGCATTTTATAAATACTTATACATATCTGCTATAAAATACGAAAGAAGAATGTTTATGTAAAATTTGGGGTCAAATAGTTAGTGGAAAGGTATGCTTTTCAATACTCCAAATTATCATACGACGTTTATTCGCTAACTTAGAACCTAGCTTTGAATGACTAATATTTGTGATTTCCATTCAATCTAAAAAGCATTCTATTGAAATTTATTCCTTGAAAGCTTTAAGAAAACATGATATTCGATGATATTATTTTCCCATTCTTTTTTTGACAGGTCATGCCAGTTTGTGTAAAAAGTTCAAAAACATAAACAAAAATAAAAACATGGTTTATGATTGCGAGTTTTGTGATTTCATTTTGTTTGGATTTCTGGTAATAATAAATATTTACCCACCACAGATATTGAACGAATATAAAGGTTATTTGAGGTCTATGATTATACATAGGTAATTATTTTTATAATAACAAATTATTAACTTATGTTTATTCGAAAGTATAAATGAAACATTTTCACTTTGCACTGTATTGTCATTCTTTAATTTCGATTATTTTATCCTATCTTGTATTGTTCCAATATGTTTTCCATTACTACTTTCAAATAAACATTTATAATATTTTCCACGTTAAAATGAAAACGTTTCAATCGATTCTGGTGTTTCTTATGTTCACCATATCAATGTTTATTATAAATTGGTTTAACCCCCAAAACTGTCAGCTTTGTTTGTCGTATGGTTGTTAATATGGCTCAATATCCATGGAATGTATCTGAGAACAGGTATGAAACATTTTAGCAAAGATAATAAATTAAATGTTATGTTTATCTTACTTTACAACATTTGCATACACGCCTGGTAACTTTGGATGTGCACACATAATTCCCCAAGAAACAATTCCACCTACAAACCAACGATCTCTTTCATTAGGGTAAGGACAAAGGAGGGGACCTCCGGAATCTCCCTGTAGATGAAATAATGTTAATTTAAGCATTATAAAAGTTTTCCTTTCTACAATGTTTTTGATAGGAAAAGTTTTAAAGTTTACTTGCCTGACATGCATCGTAACCGCCTGACTTTAAGTTTGAAATAAAGAAAGTATTAGGTACTATAAATAAAATATGAAAAGAAAAAATGAAACTTACTTCGTAACCAGCACATATCATGCCTTCTGTGACATTGAGAGTATCAAGCCATTCGTTGCATAATTCTCGATTAAGTACAGGAACAACAACCTCATTAATTGCTGGTTCATACGCTGTTCGTATGGGGCCATGATGGGCTGAAAATTTTGCTAATTCAGTAATTAAAGAAAATTCATCTTGAAATATTAAATGCCCTTACAGTTTTTATCAGAATTTTTATCTTCCTTTTTTCCCCATCCAATAACAGTGCAGTTTGTACCAGCCACAAGTTCTTTCATAGAACTTGGAGGCAAACAAACAGGAAGCAAATGATCATGAAATGCTACCCGTGTTGCAAGCTTAATATGGGTGATAAAAGGTCTTTTAATAAATCTATTGGACATTTATTATTGAACATGAATGGAAAGGATTCTCACCTGGAAGAGTGCAATGTCATTGTCATGTGCAATTACCTGAAATATTTTTTATTCAATAATTTTTCTTTTTCATTAAAAAGGATAAAAATTGGAAACTCACCTCATTGTATTGTGGATGAGGGATGACTTTTTTAATCTTTATCTTCTGTCCATAATGTGCGTGAGAATTTCTTCTTGTCATTCCAAGTTGAATTGTCCAATCATTCGAATTTCTTAAAGTGTGACTGAAATAAAGTTTTATTTAACTTTTGAATATTCTAAATTTAGTTAAGCAATTTTGAATACATATAAAATTAGAAATAAATAAGAACTTATTTACAAATATTGAAATAAAAATGTATTCATGGAGATATTCTAAAAATAGAAAGAAAAAAAGATGGAAAAGTTGTGTAGATAAAAAATCAGAAATTTACATAATTTGTAAAGTTTATTTCTGCAAACTTTCTGTTCACAACTAACAGCTGATTTATTTATTTCATCAACAATGTATCGCAAATTCAAAGATTGACTTACTTTCCGATGCAATGAGAAGCTGTAAGAACCCATTGATCTGCTATGAGAACACCAGCACAATAGAAAACTTCTTCTGGCCCGCCAAGTATAGCTGCGAGGAATGGCCAATCTCCCGGATTCGATTCATTACCACCAATAATTCTCGTCTTTGGAATTCTCCTTTTCCTCGTTCTGATCTTACCACATTCGAAGTTTGTGCATGTCAATTCAGCTACAATTTGTGATTTATCATCATTGCAGTTAACATAATCCCTGATCAAATTTGATGTTTTTCTTTGTGAGATTCTCATCCACGCAGTTGGATCTTGATTCGAAACAATGGTGAAGTTTGTGCCTCGACGCATCAAACGACTGGAATTAACTGAGTTATAGCCCAACATTGAGCAGACTTTTGTTGGCGATTCTTCGGGAATCCAATTCCTAATGCATGCTGGTTCCCATCTCTTCTTATTAGCTTTATAAACCTCAAGAGTTCCCCTTCCCATGTCACCATTTGTCGAACTCAACCTTATACAATTACGTTCATCTTGAGCGTATGGACATGTAACAGCGCCATCGCAAATGTGTCGGTCACTCATACACTTCCTTTCACCGCAATGAATTGACGAACTATTGCAAGGAGAGCATTTTATTTCATCGGTCTGATCAAAGCAATCAACAACACCATCACACACATATCGATGCGGAATGCAACGTTTCTTGTCACATGAAAATTCATTACAAACTGGTTTTCGTGTTTTCAAAGCTTTCATTTCTTTAGCACCCACACACTCATCAGGATTCACTGAATCAGAGAAAAGTTTGCATGATAAATATTCGGGAAGCTCTAGGCCAAAAACATCGAAGAAAAAGCCACAGCGTCTCATAGTTTCAATGCACAAATTTTTACATGGTGGTACGGGCTGAAGTCAATAATTTTATTTAATTCTTTACTGGAAATCTTTTTCACAACTTTACTCACCTTTCCAATAGAACTGCATTTAGGCACGAACAAAGAACACAAATATAAAGGAACGAGTTCATAGCATTGCACATCAACTAAAGCATCGAACTGCTCCAGTTCGACTTGAGCTTCTAATTGGCCAAAATGTCCGATATAGTTAGGAAACACAGTATAGTTATATGGCAGTTTATGATTTTGACAGAACTTCACAATTACTGGTAAGCAGACACCAGGTGCAGGATTTTTATTTGAATTTGAGATATTTGTTACGTCAATTTCTGTAGGAGCAACCACTGTCTTGTTGACAAATTTAACCGACGGATATGCATTGAAGTAACCAGCCAAACCAGCCGCAATAATGAGTAATGCTAAAGCGTTCAGCAAAACCTGACATAAGCGAAAGCGCAATTTTCCCCTTGTCACATAAGGATTGGAATTTTTCCTAACTCTTATAATCTGAGAAAAGAAATTACTAGATAATTCGTCTTTTACATTTATTTATCACCTTTTATGTTACCTTGTGCTGTAATGACATATTAGAACCATTAGAAAATCTCACAATTGTTTGTAGACCTGCTGGTGTTGATGCACTTTTGATAATAGCCACTGAACTATTATTTTCTGCTGTTTGATCTTTGACAATCTCATCAGGATTCTTAATAGCATTTTTCACTGAAAGCATTAATTAATTTTAATTTAAATACTTATGTATGTGATAAAACGAAACATTAAATTTACTTCTATGATTTTTTTTTCCATGAGTTGTTATCAATCGTGTTTCTAGAGATTTCGGATTGGAGCCTGGACTTGATGTTTGACTCAAACTATCATTAGAAATGCTTGAACTTTGTCGTTGTGATGAGTATATTCGATTGTCAGTAGTTGACTTATTGATTGACATATTGTAATTCTTTGAATTTTCATGAACAATGCTTCTTGATTTATTCATACTTGATGCATTATGTAGCAATGGAACTTCCATATTTTTTGTATGATAACCGGGACTAGAAATCAAGGAAAAGCTATCGCTTGAAATACTTGAATCTTGTCGCTGATTAGTTTTCGAGTGATTAATTTCACCTAATGATGGCGTTTTGTTTGAATTCAAATCTGCTCGTATGTTGTTTTTCATTGTCATTTGCGATCCGTCGTTTCGCAATTCTATGAGAGATTAAAGAATTACATTTATTACTTTTGAATGGTGGAAATAAATTTTCATTACTTGTTTCGGCCAAGTGTGAAGCTCTTAATGGTGGTACAGGTGGAGTTCTTTGACGTATTCCTTTTCTCGTTGGAACAGCTGGGAGTCGTCTCATTGCATGGGTTTTAATTGGTGTAATTGAACGATTATTGTCGGAATCAATCGAACCACTGCTAGATATTTTCTTACTAAGACGTGTCTGATCGAAACTAAAGAAATTTGCATTTTTCTTCAGTACGAAAGGTGAATCCGTTAAATTACTTTGCAAAGATTCGATAGTATCAGCACGCTGTAAATCTGATGATAAATAACTGTCGAGTGATGATTGTGTGTCTTCTGACGAAAACCGCCCTCGAAATTGTCTTTGATTTATTGGGACTGAAGGATGGTCGTTTTCAAAAGCCGAAATGTATCCTGTATCAATCGTTGTTTGAGAGCGACTTGAGTCACTTGACGATTGGTTTGGGTCAATCAAAAGGTTCTTTTTATCGAAAATGACAAGATCGTCGGAGTCACCAATGTCGTCAAAACTAATGGAGCAGAAACGACTTGAACATGACTCCTTCGAATTAGGTTCTGAGAGACTTTTGTTTTTCTTATTCTTTCCCTCGATCGAACTATTGTAAGCACCGCCAGAAGGTGAAATATTAGTTGACGAGGCTGGTTGATGTTTTGAATTTATGAAAACTTTTCCTTGAAATGTGCGTTTAGGAATTGGTGGGGGTGCTAATGATAAGCAATTGGGTAAATTTCTTTCTTTTGGACTTGATGTTCGGACATCTATTTCGTGAAACTTTTCATTGATACTTGACTGACTTTTCTCAATATTTGTTTCAGATGAATCTGCAATTATTGTCTTCTTCGTATTATTGTCTTTTTCTTCTTCAAATAAGTTTACGAACTTGCCACTTGATAAAGGAGGTATTGAAGATTTTTCTCTGAAAATCATGGTAGATGTTTAATTAGCAGATTTTAAATGACTACATACTTTTACATACTTTTTCTTAGAACTCGAATTGAAACTCTCAAATTGGTGTAACTGTTCGATATGTTTTACATGAGCCGTCATTTTGACAAAAGTTTTGTAAAATGAGTACTGGAATTAAGACAGAAAAAAGCACAAGAAAAAGCGTTAAAAATTTATGAGTACAAGACTCCCAGTGGGCAGTCATAATTCTACACACATCACTAGGGAGAATAATCATGATGTCATTTTCAGAAAGAGAGGAAAAAATTATCATTAGAATTACAAGTCTATGGTTGATATACATTTTTAATCAAATACTTGTAGTCACACGTGTCAGCATAAACCAACATGTTGCACTGAATCCTCTTGATTATTCCATACTACACAGCTCGTAATATGGCCTTGACATTAAACATTGTGGATTTGTTGATTTCGCGGACACGTCTTAACATAAATCAACATGTTGTCGTCTTCAACATACATCAATGCTATGTTACATGACACACGATTTTGGTCTTACGAATGTACAATCGATACAACATGTGTTGAATAGCCAGTGTAAAAGCAATTTAATGACGTTTAAAAATTAAAACCATTTTAAATTATGAAAGGTCCTTGAATCAAAAATGAAGTGAAAGCCTTAACCAACCGTTAGACCCTGAAATTTTCAGGGAATATTTTTCATTTTCACTTTCTCTCTCGTCCATTTTCAGATCATCAAACATCCAGGTTCAAGGCTGAAGTTTCAAGGACTTTTATTTGAAATCACAATGTGGTAAACGTGTAATAATATTATATTATCCAGCTCAACCGAAATGCTTTTCCAAAAAACGAAAAACTTAAAAACAGAAAATCAAATTTATCTACTTATTTCTGGCTTTATTTATCTATCTCTTTTTTACATTTCAGCTCCGTTTGAAGTTTATGTGACATTGAAAGACGTATAAAATCCCCACAGAATTTAACAATTTCTACATAACAAGTGACCGAATCAATTTATTTTTTGATTGATCGAATTTCAATAAGTCCTTGACGTGATTTTGTTCCAATAAATTTGAATTTTTTTAATAATTGTAGGGAAAATATTTAGAAAAGTAATTAAAACGTACATTAATACTGAATAAAAAATAATATCAATTCCCTGATTCCTTTTTAGCGCACTTCGAACAAGGATTTTTTATAAATCAATGTAAATCAATTTGACGTACATCTAAATATGAACGAGAGTTTTTCAGGCCTCTCTAAGATTTGCTTTCATTTTTTTGACAATTAGACAATAAAGTCATGACATATCTAACTATCGATATCTAAATACATTTCAAAATCGAAGAAACGATATATTTAAATGTATAAAATTTATATTGTAATTAGGTATATAAACTCACTTTTCTCTGTTCTTTTTGTTCTTCCACTCGCGCAATCAAATACAGAAAGAAAAAAAGCTCGGTTTTGTGGACTTCTAGTAAAAAAAATGAATAATAGTAACAATGAAAGCTTTTAACACCTTTTGAGTGCTTTCATAGCTATTTTTTGGGATCACTATTTTATATCTTCAATACAATTTATATATATTCATATATAATATGCACATTAATGGAATATTAAATGACGCACAAAATCACTTTTCAGCATTGTGCCCGTAAAACATTATTTTAGCTTAGAACTTGAAAATTTTGAGTCTTCAATGAACCTAATATGAAAGTTATGAAAAATAAAAGTTGAGCACAAAAAAATCAATTTACTCCACTGCGAGTGTCTTGCAAAACTGAGAGCAGACACCAATTTATCACAGAACTGTTTCTGCAGTTCTAGAAAAAGTATTTCTGAGTACCACAAAAAGAGAAGAGAAGAAAAATGAGAAAGAAAAACAATTTTCCACTTTCCATTCGGGATCTGAAAACGCTCATGTATCTATACAAAAACTTTTCCTAATACCTACTAGGAAAAGAGAAGAGAAGAAAAATGAGAAAGAAAAACAATTTTCCACTTTCCATTCGGGATCTGAAAACGCTCATGTATCTATACAAAAACTTTTCCTAATACTCTCCTTATTTTCACATTATTTTAAACCTCGTAAAAATCACAAAAATCGTAAGCGACAGACGTAAACAACACGTTGGATGTAAATGACACTCAAAAAATGAACAAAATTTCGAGGAATTCGTAACATGTTTCCAACTTCAAGAATATCAGGTATTGAGAAATTCTCTACAAAAATAAGAAAAGCATTGGGAGGTGAAAACAATATACCTATACACACATGATAAACAAAATGACAACCCCAAACAAATTCATAAGCTAGTATAGTACATATCATGTCTCTCTTGTATTACGGATACTAGGTATTTGATGATTGACCTGAGCTTTCACCCATACATCGAAGCATTTGGAAAAACAACTTGAGAGCGTGTTCAGGAATGAGTGAGATATTTATTTAGCTACATGAATTTTAAAAATTACTCTCAAAAGACGACGACTCAGATTGAAGGAATCAAGGGTGGAATATTAATATCATAATCGTAGAATACAAAATTATAGGTAAAATCAGCAAAAACATAAAATATGAAGATTTATACTTTTACTGGTCGAAGTGCTTCAAGAATTTCTATAAACAAAAAAATGATAACATTTTTTAATTTCTTAAATAAATCTTCTTTTAAATTATGTAAGAAATCAACTTTATTGTATATATAAATAAATATGGTCTCATGAATGAGATTCAATTCTACACGATTCAACACTGCTGGTATCAGCAGAGTAAAGTTTATATAGATCGACATCAAGAAAGGCGAACTTGTGTTGATTGTCGTTTGTTTGCCATCGATTTCAAATTCATTTATGAGACGCTAATAATATAGTAATGATTGAAGATTGTTGTAAAGTTACCTTTCTATTGATTGTAATTGTTTTATTTGAATTTTAAAGGGAATTTATATAATAAAATATTGAAAATGAGCGGCACAAAAATCACTTTTGAAAGTTGTGAATCTTCTCTTTAGAGATTGGACTGAGATAAACGAAACAAATAGATAATCAAGGTGCATATATTTACATCATCTGCGAGTAAGGTGTGTTCATGAGACTTTTACATTCACTAAGAATGCTTTAATTTTTGAACAGTTTAATGGATATGCTTCAGTCAAACAAAGTTTTAATTCTACGATAAATTTGAAACCAATTATAGAAGACAGCAACAAATTCCAATCTGTAGTTTCACTGGAATATGCACTGAAACTGTTAATTAAAAAATAGAAAATATGCGAGTGCGTACATGAGTAGCTTGTTTCATAAATATCTCGGAAATGCCTAAATGTATTAAAAATGTGTAAACGCCAGTTAATAAAAGAGATGAAAATGAAGAAACTTGAAAAAAAATATTCTGTTTAAAAAGAGTTTACAGTGCAAGCGCGATTAGCGAAAGCTGAAGGGAGTCACAATTAATGAACTTTTTCTCTAAACGAACGAAAATTGTTCGAAAATGTGAGTGTGATGTCGAAATTTAACGAGCTTTTTTTAAATTTTTACGCTAAAGGAGATTTCGCTAATCACGCTTGCACTATAATTATAGAGTTAAAAAATGAGAAAATGTTTGCTGTTTACATACCCTTTATGCGTTGACTGGCCAAAATGTGTCTTGACTATTTTTTCGAAATTTTCGAGTGAATTTTCGAAATTGAATTTAACTAAAACATTAAGCCTCCGACAAAAAATAAAATAACAGAATACTGGCTGAAGTAAATTTTTAATTAGTATAAGAACAGATACATATCCTGCTTTCTTTAAAATAATATTCATTTACAAAAAGTTTAGTGTGTTCACATGCGATTTTCTTAACAAAACCTATAGTTATTTTTTTTCTTTCAGAAAAATCGGCTTACAAAAACATTGAAAAGAATTTTTGAAAATGAATTTCGATAAACTTGTTGATTCTTCTCTCAAAGTTGTCCCTAAAAGACTTTCATTTGATTTCTTAAACATGTCAAATACTTCTGATAATGGTAAGTCAGAATATTCATTTTCAATAGAATTTTCGTAGATTAAAAAATGTTTTTGCAATTTTCAGAAAAAGCATCTAAAAAGCGTAGGTTCTCAGAGTTAGAAAACAATAAACAACAGATGAACTTATCTCAAAGTTCTACATTTTTAAATCCAAATGAAACTGAAAGAAACGAGACTTTAAACAGTAGTACAGGATCATTGTGTGGCTCATGGGAAGCAAAGTTGCTTAAAGGTGATTTGGTTGAAGCACAATCAAGGGTAAAAATGAAATGAAATTAATATGTATGTAACAATACAAAAATCTGATTCATTCATTTACAGATAACACAGCTTAAGAAGGAAATTCAACATCAGGAGACGATTCAAGCTGAAATGGAATTAAAGTTTACCGCAAAAGAAAAAGCTCTTGAAAATGAGAAAAATCAATTGCAATGTAAGGCCGATGAGCTTTTAAAAATCCTTAAGAGAAACCGTAAGAATGAGAGTCACTTAAAAGAAGAAGTTTGTGGATTAAAGAATCAATTGTGTCTCAACAAACAAAATTTTGATCGAAAACTTTTCAGTATTCAAACAGAAAACTCGAGTTTGAAGGAAAATCTCAGTTTTGATGTAAATGACTTGAACAATGAAATAAGTCAATTAAAGCGACAAAATACAGAATTGTCTTCGAAATTAGTATCATCAGAAGAGGAATGTAAAGCTTTAAGCATTCAAAATGAACGATTAAAAACTCAAGTTGAAGACTTAAATACAATGAGAAATGATTATGAAAAAGAAAAAAATGATCATTTCAATATTCAAATGAAGGTCAAGGAACTTGAATATGAAATTAGTGGCTATGGAAATTGGAAAAGTCTTTCAAAAGCTTTGCAATCACAAGCACAGAATGTTTCAGAAATGGAAAAAGAATTGAAATATTTACGACATACTAACAACAATCTCCAAGAATCGTTAGGCAATAAATTGTTGTTGGAAGAACAAGTACATGATTTGGCGACTCGTTTAAAACGCTACGATGATGAAAGTAACCATCAAACAACTATGAAAATTGAGGTTGAGACTTTAGAAAAGGAACTGAAAGAATGGAAGAAACTTGCATCAGATTTCTCTGAACAAAATTCTTCCATAAATCCAATAAATCTTCGCTCATATATTGAAAATCATCTTCATCGTAATCTCCTTCTCATGAGTGAAAAATCCAATCAATCTTCAGAGAAATCATCACTTCAAACTGAACTGGAGGATATAAAAAATGTAAGAATTCCTAAAATAATTAAAAATGAATTAATTTTAATAAATTTGATAAACTTTTAGAAAAATCAAACACTAACAACTCAAATCGAATCATTGAGAAAGTCACTTAAAAGCCATCAATCAGTTCTGGCCAAATTACAAAAGAAACTTCTTTTAGTCACAACTGAACGAGACTCGCAAAGACAACTTTTGGATAGTTATGAAAGGGATTTGACAAGTAAGTTGTATAATTAAGCATTTTATTAATTAAACAATGATAAATTTACTTTCATAGTTTCTCAAACCAGCACTTCTAACAGTGCCAGTGCTGAAAGTCAACAAAATCGAATTCGAAATGAAATGCTTGAGAAAACAGTGAATGGATATAAAGAGTTGTGTGCAAAACTTGAAGCAGAGTTAGCAGAAGTAAGACGACAAACTGGTGGACAGCTTGTTAAAGTTTCAACAACATCATCATCTGATCAATATGATGCATTGCGGAATGACTTGGATTCATTTAGATCTGAAAATGAGAAGCTTAAAAAGCGGAAAAATGAATTGGAAATTGAAATTGAAAATATGCTTTTACGTCAAAATGTTATGGGCAACGATAATCGTTTTAAAGTTGTTCATTTTAAGCAAAATCCATCTTCAATTGCACAGGAAGAGAACGTCAATGATGTCGCTAAACTGAAGGCAGAAATTGAAAGATTAAAAATTCGTAACAAGAAATTAGAAGCTGGCAATGAAGATTTAACTACACGTGTTAACGAAACTATGAGTATGACGTTAAACATCAAAGAGTTCCAAAATTTGCGAGAAGAGTACAAAACTTTAGAAGCAAAATATAAAGAGAACGAGAAAGTGTTCACAAATGTCAATCAAGAACTTCGTGAGGTCATTTATATGCTTTTTGGATACAAACTCGATCGTTATGGTCACAGCAACTATCGGTTAGTACATAATTCGATGTAATTTAATTATTAATTACTTTCATTGATGCAAATTAAATTTCAGAATTACGAGCATGTACGCTGATCACGAGAATGACGAGTTGATGTTCCAATTAAATTCTCAAGGAACACTTGACATGTTAGAAACTGAATATAGTAAGACACTCGACACGTTGATGGACAACTATTTACGTAGTGCTACAGGATCACTTCCTGCATTCACCAGCGCACTCACATTAGATTTGGTACTTAAAATGACAATGACATCAACATAATAAACGAAAAATGTTTGATAAGCTGTCAAACTTGCTACTTTCCTTGAATTTATCTTTATGTATGAAATCACACTTTCAAACAACAATTTATTTTAATAAAACAAATTTTTTGCCTACCCCATTATGAATGTTTCTTTTCGTCTACAAAAAAACTTTCTTAAATTACAAAAACTTATGAATTTCGATAAACGTTTTTATCACACTATCTAATTGACAAAAAACAGCTTTTTAATTGTTTTCGTTTTTTCACGAACTTTCAGAATTGAATATCTACTTGTTTTGATACTTATCTCAGCACACATAAAATTATTCTAAGCGAAAAAGGAAAAATTGAAACATTTGCGATCTGAAACATACTTACAATAACAAGATACCCGCGCAAATTAACTCAAGTGCCTTATCAGTGAACAACTCAATGATTTAAACTCAATGATGTGAACATATTCATGCTTTGAAGAAGAAATTTTATAGTTTAATTTTGTTTTCTTCTTTTTTTTTCTCATTGTTCGCATTTGAATCAACATTAAATATTTATGTAGCGAGAAATTTAACATTTTAGTTGCTTGATGTAATCAACATACATAAGATGATAGCGACGACGAATATATTTTAGAAATTTTCGATGTTTTGAAATATTTTTTGAGAAAATTTTGTAATTTAAATGTGTGAGGAAATGATTCTCGTTCATTCCATTAAGTTATCGGAAGGAAACTCAATTTATCATAAAAATATCGCAAACATGAATCGCGTATGTTTCTTATGTAAAAAATATGTTACGTTGAGAAAACTTTTGATAGAAATCAAATGTATCGATAAGTTTGGAAGGTGTTTTTGTGGGAAAATATTTATTAGGTAATATCTGAAAGTAAATGTCCAGAACTTTTTAGGAGAGAAATATTCTAGAATTTAGTAGATAATTTATTTTAAACTGAAACGTGATCAATAATTTATTGAAAATTTGTGCCATTTATAATCAGAAACTTTTGCGTTTCTTTTAAAACTTAACTTAGCTCTTCATATGATTTGATTACATTAACATAATTATATATTCTTATTTATGAGTGTCTATATAAGAATGCACTTTTCAGAAAGTTGACTTTTTCACAAGAATGAAAAAATGTAATTAATTGATAGTGAATGAGTATTATTTAGCTACTCATAAGTTTTTATTTCTTGTTTTTGTCATGTATTCATAATATCTATCTTTCAAATTGACACAGTAAATATTATAAATATTAATTTCTAGAGTGTTTCTAGATATTTCGGAAAGATACAAAGAAATTACATACATTTTATGCGGACAAGCATAATTTCCATTACAATCTGAATATTTTAAAAGTCTTTGGATTTCAAGGTTTCAAGATCAGTTTTGGATTAAGTTTGGGTAAATTTATGTTTTTCAAAATTAATGAAATCTCAACTTTATTCAACAACATAAAGTTTCGTAACCTTACTAAATATATGATAAATGGTCATCACGTTGCTATTTTCTATGACCTAAAACTTCTCTATATTTGAATGGTAAATATCTTTTATGTAAGCATATTTGAGTTCTGAAGTTTTTTTCAATAATTTAAACTCTCACTAAATATTAATAACTATTTTTGCTTCAGAAAAAGAGATATTCTACAATAAATGATCTCGTCTTGTACTTTTTCTTTAACAAAATAAGTTCTAAATACATAAATCCAGTCAACAATTTTCCACATCGTTTTAAAAAATTGTTCATTAACACTTTTAACACAATATGGTGGTGGGATGTACAACTTATCATTGGAATAATTCATTCATATTCATGTATGTAATAACATTTCGATATATATTTAAAAACTCTTTAAAATTAAAATTAAAATGGAAAGAAATGTTGATTTCATGTTTGTTGTATTGAATTCAAGAATTGTGGGTCTACAGATGCAACTTTTGCTGTCAAAAAAGCATGCATACAAAATAAAAGACTTTGTAGTACTTGGCATTCAAGCTCCTGATGATAATGAAGAAAAGGAAGAAATATATCAATTAATGAAAAAATTCAGAGATGGTGAAAGTAAAACTAATTTTATTTACCTTTGTTTCAATTGATCTGGATTCTAAATCTTGAAAATGAAGTTTGAGCTTTGATTTGCCATCATCACTTGACCCTCGTAATTGAGAAAATTTGTATTTCCATAAGATTGTTGGATCAGCACCTTCTGCAAGACAAAATCCTGTTTGCCAATCAAGAGTTAAACCACCACCTCTACCTTGATGTGATACAGCAAACGTTTTGCGCTGTGATCATAAAAATAAATTATTTCTCCAAGAAACAAATTAAATTCAATTAGGTAACATACCCCCAGCTTAATAACACTCGCAACAATAGCAGCATTCCAACTATTTTCAATTCTAAGAAGTTCTTGTCGAGTTTCAACCGACAAATAAAGTGGATCATGACCCGAACTCTGCAATAAAAAGCAATGTTGTCGGGAGTCAACAGTCTCCGATTCTTTTACCACACGGAACATTGTTTGATAAATTTTGTAAGCAATAGCAGGCTTTCCCAACATTACGATGTTTATCGGTGGGTTATCAAAAAGAAAAACTTCTGTTCCTTTAATCACAAGAAAACGTGGCTTATAAGTTTGCCACGAAATTGCACTATTTAATACACTTTCATTGACCCATCCCATATACTCTATCCGTTCATCAACAGCAAAATTTCTGTTGTATAATTTCATCTGTTTTAGTTATTAATAAAGAAATAAATTAGCAGATGATTTTCAATGCCAAAGTTTTAATGACTTACCTGAAGATTTGTTAGTCCAACAACATTATCTGTGATGTATTTCAACCATGAGCTTAATATTGCTAAATCATCCAAATGTATAACACCAGTCGAAGATGCATTAAGACCACGAACCTCAAAAGCATTCGCTCTTAATTTATCAGTTCCATAAATATAGCGTGTCACATAAGCCATCATTAAAGGGACAGATATAATGTCCACCCAACGAATTTCAGGTTCAGAACATAGCGATTCAGGTCGTTCATCGGAGTTGTTGTTGTTATTCAAGTTATTAAAAAAGTTGTTATTAAACGTGTTATTTGTCAACCCTCCATTTAAATTGTCATTATTATTATTCATTTGAGCTGAACGCCAACCTTCATCTTGCTTCAATTCAGTGCATGTAGCATCATTGTCGTTATCTGACTCAGGCGTATCCCGAGACACTAAATTGCATTAGGTTAAATTAATATTTTTTGTTTGGATTTCGATTGGATTTAATGATTTTGGTGTGAATAAAGCGGTTATTAGTCTTGTACATAAACTTCAACCTCTTTTTTCGTTTAACGCATAATGCAATAATGAAAAAAAGAAGTTGAAGTTTATGTACAAGACTGATAGCCGCTTTATTCACATTAATATTTTCTGTTTTAAGAAACCAATTTCTTTACACGTACATTGTTTCTGAAGAAAAGGTGTTGCTGCTCTGTAATGCTTAACTGTAAGTACCACCATATCACCAGCATTACGAAGAATATTTACAGCATCATCGTGATTGCAAGCAGTTATGAATTCTCCATTAACTTTTATAATAGCATCTCCGACAAAAAGTTGGCCTGTACGATCTGCAGGTTGATTTTTATAGATTCGTGATATAAGAATCGGCAATTTATGTTCTGCTCCGCCTTTAATGGAAAGACCTAAACCTCCTTCCATTTGACGTGTTATTTGGACCATTCGCTGTTTTGATTCTGATGGCGGTAAATTAAGTTGATTATTGAGCAAGACATTTGCGGGTGAGCTTGATGCAAACACTTGTTCGGGACGTTGAAGTTTAATAACTTCCATTGTAAGAAGCAATCGTGCAATTTCAGGTTTATTTTTTCCATCACTAATCATAACCATTCCCGATCTTACTTGCATAAAAGCATCCTTGGAAAATATTGAAAAAAAAATCGCACTTATCTAAATAATTTTATTCAAATCGCACTAATGTAAAACTTACTTTCAGTTTTTGATCGATTTTCTCTTCTATTGAATTTGCCATTTTCCGATCGTTTATTTTCATACTATATGCACTCGGAAGAAATATAATTGTGATAAGAATTTTCATAACAAAATCATCAACTTGGTCGTTTTTACATATCATAAACCTTGCAATGAAAAAAGCTCAACATCACATTTATGACTCTCGTTGATATAAAATTTACTGCACTTATGAGCATTTCGAAATCAAGAAAACAACTAAATTCAATGACTGTTTTCAATCTAGTTAAAGGCTAAGTCAACTCAATTTCTATTCGTACATAAAATTTCAGAACAAGCATTTTTTAATATTTCTTTCCTTGCATAAAATTTTCAGCCATATTGCATAAATTTTCTTTGTCATGTTTAATAAAATTTCATTTATTAAATAAACATCGATCAAATATTGCATAATGGTTTTTATCAAGTGATTCAATTGATATAAGAATTGATAGAAGAGAAAGAAAACTGAAAAGATATTTTATGAGAATTGAACATCTGTAGGTGAATACTTACAATAAATAATCACAAATCGAAATTTATGTTTCAAGGATTTATATAGTCAGTACAATGATATGTAACTAGTTTATATTTTTCTAAATATATATTCATCTATATTTTATATTTCATGTCGTCCATTACAATCTACTGTAGTTAAAAATCATTTCTCATCATTTTCACTTTGAGTCTGAAGCTGAATAGAAGTGCACACAAATTACCTTACAAAACTACCTAGAACATTCAAGTGTCTAGTAATAAATCACAAATAATTCCTTTCTATTTTTGATTCTTTCTTCACTCTAGAATAAATAAATATCTTAAATACATAATATTCCAGCTACTTGAATATATTTCTACTTTAAAATGTATTTCACTCGTGATTGACTCTATTTTTCTACTGTTTTTTTATAGCTTCTCAATTTTAAATATCAACTTTTTCATCATTACGAGTACACTATTTGATATGAATTTATGAAAAGAGAAAGAAAATTCTTTGGAAAAGCTGCGCATGTGGAACATACCCTCGTTATATTTTCTGGAAACACTAGCGTGGAAACAGAGAGATTTCTTTGGAGAAATGTAATGCATTAAGTACATATATAAAAGTTATAGGAATGCATGCTAACGAGATCTTTGGAACTTTTATCTAGATTGGATTATATATAATTTATTCATATAACATAAAACATGTTAAATTATTTCGATGCAAATTTCTCATAAACAGAAAATTGAAATTCTGTTTCTTGCTCTGTCAAATAGAGATGCTTTTTAATTTAGTTTGAATAATTTGAATGAAAAATAAACAGTAGATTACAAATAAAAAATAAAATCGTTTTTCTCTCATCCTGTTCCTTTTATCGAAACACGTCTTTTGTTTATTTTATCAACTCGTTCCATTTTCAACAATGTTCTTTCAAGAACATCGACTGTGTGTCAGTGTTTTTAAAAAACTTTATCAAGAGAAGCTATATTTAACTCTCTCATTAATCAAAGTGATCTCCAAAGTGGATGATGTTGTTATAAATTCATAAATTAAGTGAAATATTTGGTGGGCTTTTAAATATCACAATTTATATTGATATTATACGTGAAAGTTTTGATAATTAAGACATAAGTGTAAAGTTTAAAAATTATTAAAGAATAAAAAATAGATTGAATTGAAATTTCGAGAAAATATTGCAAGTAGATGTAATTTTGTTGAATTTTCAAGAACACCGATCAGTAAAGATAAAATTCTAATAACTGATGTCATGATAAGATACAATTTGCCGACATCACTCTTTTTAAGAGGTAAAAAGTGTATTAAACTTAGAATTTCAATGTAAAAAGAATCTTTGCAATACTATCGATAGAACATGACTTTTTCAAAGAAGGTATATACATGTATTGCCTAAAAAAACAACCAGCCTGTTTGATTCAAGTGGCTCACTAGAGTTCATATGTAAACAAGTTAGATGTAGAAAAATATTGGAAAACTTTTACAATTTCTCTTGAAAATGCCTTCATCATATTACTTGTATATTTATTTAATTTTTGTCTTTTTTTATTTATTAACCAGCAACAAAAACTGAACACGTTTTTATAGTTAAGCAGACACTTCCTAGGTACATGTCATAATAACGTAATGTTATTTTAAATAGATAATCTCAATTAATTGCATTCGATGGCTGATTGATCAACTGCCGATGTAAATAAATTCACAAGTATTCTTTATATACTTTAATCAGGACTTTAATCAATAACCACTTATTGTCATAATCTTTATTTACTTAAGCACTTTTTATAAAGTTTTTTTTTGCTATCTGATCAGAATGAATTGAGAAAGAAATCACTTGATATTACTCGAAGTAGTTACCAAGAACTGACAAATAAAAACAACGCAACATAATCAAAAATAATCCAGCTGTTGAATATATTTTGTCATTGTGAGTTTTGATTTATAGGTAAAATACTAATCTCGTTGAAACATACAATAATGATGCGAAAATATGTAATTTTTATAAATAAAATCATACATGAAAAGTGTTTGTTTATTTGCTATCAATTATTTTCTAATACCAGTTTATTTTTGGCGAGCCTCCGCATGTAACGGTACAGAAGCTGTTAGAAAAATATTTATATTTTTTTAAAAAAACAAATTTAAAAACACATGTTCAATGACGAAAACATTTTGGTACGAACAAATATTAATGTAAATATTTTTTATTTGATGTGCAAGTGTTCAATGAATATCACGTTTTGAGCAACTTGAATCGCGCATCTTTTTCTCTCTTCAATTTATATTTTCTTAAAAGGTTTATGATTAGTAATTGAATCAAATGCATTTGTGAATTGCTCTAAATATTTTAATTTTTCAGGTTCAAGAGTAAATACAGCTAAAATCAGAGCACAACATGTTATAAAATCTGTAAAATATCAAAACTACTATGAACATGTTCATCATAAATCAACATATACCAACAACCATTGGTTCCATTCTCAAGCAAAGGAAAACAAATTACGAATCAAAAAAGCATTAATTGTGACAAAACTTACACGATACGAGTTCGAGAGAATTCGCCATTCAGAGCTAAATGATCTTGAATTAGAAGAGTTAATCAGATGTCGTGGCACAGATTTTGATGCTTTGATGCATTATCATTTTTTGCACAAAACACTCGAACGCAAAGTGTATGAATGCTTTAAAAATTTAGGTGTCGAGACGAAAATTATCAATCGACTAACAATAAATCGAGATCTTCTTCGATGGACTGATATTATTGTACCAGTTGGTGGTGATGGAACATTTCTTCTTGCAGCTTCAAGAGCGAGTCCATTCTTTATTGAAAACTCCGTTCCAATTGTTGGCTTTAACTCAGATCCTTTAAGATCCGAAGGTCGGCTTATGCTTCCAAAACAATACTCTGCAAATGTTGAAGATGGAGTAAAGAAACTTTTGACTGGCGAATTTGAATGGATTCATCGCTCAAGAATAAGAATTACATTGCTTGGATCAAACGGAGAAACTCCAGTACCAATAGATTTACATGAATACAATACCGCACCAGTGGAACATAAAGAAGTCATAATATCTGAGCCAACACTTTTGGATCAGATTATCGGTACCAGTAACGCCAATTGCAGCTCCACATCTAAAAGGAAAAAATTTACAAAGCGAACACTCCCCTATTTGGCACTTAATGAAGTAATTAACATTTTCTTCTCTGTTAATTGTGTGACTGGTGATATAATATTGAAGAGTAAAAGATGGCTATCAGTAAAGTTAATCTTTCGTGTTTTTATTGTTTAATGCAACGTTTCGATGACTATTTCGTCATCTTCATCAGGCTTCTAAAATTATAATTAAAAACAGCAAGAAATGTATGTGGAATAAACAAAATAACAACAATCTTACAAAGCAATATAAAATCGTCAGTGAAAATAATTGTCGAATCAATTTTACATTTGTTTGCTTGTTGATCTTTTTCTCAGTTGTAATCCTAAATGAATATGTTGATTAGCAAAATTGAACATTAAATATCCTAAATTCAATCTATAAATACCTTATCCTAAAATGTTCAATTTTACTAATCAACATATTCATTTAGGATTACAACTGAGAAAAAGATCAACAAGCAAACAAATGTAAAATTGATTCGACAATTATTTTCACTGACGATTTTGTATTGCTTTGTAAGATTGTTGTTATTTTGTTTATTCCACATACATTTCTTAATGTTTTTAATTATAATTTTAGAAGCCTGATGAGGATGACGAAATAGTTATCGAAACGTTGCAATAAACAATAAAAACACGAAAGATTAACTTGACTTATAGCCATCTTTTACTCTTCAATATTTTCTTCTCTCTTTTTAGATATCACCATTTTAATTAATCTTTATCATTTTCAGGTTTTTATTGGCGAAACTTTATCAGCTCGCGTTAGTCATTTACATATTCGTCCGAATACAACACAGAAGGTAACAAAGACAAAAAGTTCTGGTCTTTGTGTGTCTACCGGTACCGGATCGACTTCTTGGCATACAAGCATAAATCGTTTATCAAAAAAGAATGTTGAAGATCTCTTGAGCATTTTGAAATCAACCAATAGTGGATTGAATGATGCTAATCCTGAGTTAATATCAGAAGAATATAATAGACAGTTAGTATTTGAGCCTGGTAAGTTTTGACATTTTTAATTTTCTGGAGAAGACTAAACAAAACAATTTTTTGTTGTTTCAGATGATCCTCGGTTATGTTACTCGATTCGAGAACAAATATGTATAGGTGTGTGGCCAAATCCTAAAGGATTTGAATCTCGTGACTTTGCTCAGAATTTATATGTAAAAAGTCGATGTATTGATGCAAGTAAGTAGAATTTCAAAAACTCTAAATCAACATATTGTAGCAATTAACAATAATTTCAGGTCTGGTTATTGATGGATCGATCGTTTATCCTTTTAATGATGGGACAAAAGCGTTCCTTGAAGTTCTGCCTGAAGATGCACTCTTGACGATGAAAATGAAAGAATAAAATTTTCGATTTATTTTTTTACATTCTCTACCTCGTGATGAATATACAGTGGAACTTCGATAAACAGATGGCTGAAGGTGCATCGAGGCAATTTTTCATACAAATTCGATTCAAGGGGACAAAAAAATATCTGTTTATCAAGGTTTATCTGTTTATCGAAATAGCTGTTTATCGAAGTTCCACTGTATAAATATATTTATTGTAAATATGTAACTTACAGTTCAAATTTAAACGACTTTTTAATATCATGAGGGAATGTAATTTTTTTTTATTTCTTAAATCTTATTAATTAAATATTTAATCTGACAAATAAAGTGCCAGAATGTTTGAATACATATTAAAATAAAGAATGAAAGTAATTAATTCAAATCGCTACATAACTAGAAGATATTGAGATTATCATGATTTCAGATATGATGAAGTTTTACTGGTGTTAAGTGTAGGCGCAATAAATAGGTACCTATTTATAAAAAGAATAGAAATTTAATTTCGGTTCATTTACTGTGATTTTTTTATTATTTGCCATCATTTCACATTATCAAATATAAATTTTGTTACAAAAATTAGTTAATTATAACTACTCAATCACTTGATTTTATAAACTGACTTTCTTCTTTTTATTATGATGAATTTTTTCAACTTTCTTTGAAGTTTTTTCATTCTTTTCAGGGCTTGAAGTAGTAACAGGAAATTTTTTATTCAAATCTTTTCTTCTGGCTTTTCTTTCCTTAATTTTTTCTTTGATTGATTTTTGCCAAATTTCTTCTTGTTCTTCAGGATCAAGACCGTCTTCCAACCACTTCTTTCTTCTATAATTTGCAGCTTTTTCATCAAACTTTGAATTATCGATTATCAATTCGGCCTCAATAACTGCAACTTTGACTTGCATGAAAATTTGTTCTACTAAACGTTGATCAATAACATGTTCTTTAAGTTTCGTGTTGATTAAACTTTCAATTTTTTCTAGAAAATTCAAATCTTCAGGAAACCTGAATAATGTTACAGCCATGCCTGACTTTCCTGCCCTTGCCGTTCTTCCAACTCTATGAATATATTCATTAGCAAACTTTGGCAATCGATGATTAATTATAAATTGAACATTTGGAATATCTAATCCTCTACTTGCTACATCTGTTGCAATTAAAATTCGTACAATGTTCGATTTATATTTACAAAGTGAGGAAACTCTTTCCTTTTGACTCATATATCCATGTAAGCATACATTTTCAAAGCCAATTGAATTTAATGCCATTGAAAGTATCTGACAATCTCTAAAAAATAATTTAATAAATAATATTATTCAAGTCAAATAATGAAAACATCGAAACTTACTTCTTCTTTTGAGTAAATATTATAACGTTTCCATCTTCGTGATCTTCTTTATATTTCCTTAATGTTTCAAACAGCACCATGTTGCGATCAAATTCGGTACAAAGAACATAACGCTGATCTAATGTATCAACTGTCTTTACAGATGCTTCTTCATACCATTCGTATGCATCACTTGAAGGGAATAAAACTTTTGCTTTAAGATTTTCTTGTAATGTTGCGGAAAAGAAAATGTTTTGTCGGGTTTTCGGTAGAAATTGTTCTATGACTACTAAAGATTCATCAAAACTTCCGCTAAGCATACGATCAGCTTCATCAATCACAAGGAATTTTATCGAATCAAAAGAAAATGTATTACAGCCAGTTAAGTGAGCTTCCAATCTTCCAGGCATTGCGATAACTATATGTGGTCGATTTTGAAGTTGCAAACTCTCAAGCATCTGGTCAGTGCCTCCCGCTACAACACAAACTCGAATTCCAATTGGTTGACCTAAAATAAAACAAGACAATATTTTAATCGCTTAATTTCAAATTGAGGCTCTGAAAATCTCTGGTTTTTGAAAAAGCCTAGAGATCAGGGATCGATGATTTTCTACTAGATATGGGCTTATTTCTTAAGAAAAAACTGCTTTGATATGATATTCAGACATAGAAAACTCTAAACAATCCGTCTTTATAACCAAAATTAAGCGATTTCTAGTAGAAATTTGCCGATTTCTTTATCCCTGATCCCTAAAAGTAGGGATTTTCAGAGGCTCTATTTTCAATATTGGTGAGAATTTTTATATCTAACCTGTTATTAAAAATTGTTCAGCTATTTGATAAGCAAGTTCATGGGTAGGCGTTAAAACTAAAGCAAAATTATGTGTTGGTTCTTCTGCTAGCTTCTGAATAATTGGTAGGGCAAAAGCGAATGTTTTTCCACTTCCGGTTTTTGCTGCTGCAACGCAATCTCTGTTCGATAGTATTTTAGGAATGCAATGTTTTTGAACATCGGTAGGTTGCTTTAAACCGATTTTCTTAAGTTGTTTGCATATCCAAGGCTCTAAACCTAATGACTCGAAAGTAGTTATTTCCATACCTTAATTTAAAATAGCAAAGTAACGTAATGAAAATTTAAAAATATATATTAAAGAGAAGCTTCTAACTTAGAATCGTTTTTAATAAACATGATATTATGGCAAGGGGTAAATATTTTGTTTCATGAAAATCCGAATTCGGTCTGCTCGGCGGAGACAAATACAAGGGGTAATATAGTTTCCGTTTTAGATACTTGCATACCACTGAATTCGTTATTTTTATGAAAGCGTCTTCAATTTCAAATAAAATAAAAATAAAAGAGTCATTAAAAATCTTTTATAATGTCGAACTTTCCTGCGCTTTCCTCGTTAGCACAGTTTGACGACCTTATGCGGTGCTCAAAAGAACTGATTGCTGGCATCGCCGAAGAAAGTAAGTGAAAAAGCAGTTAAAATATGAATTTTTGGGCGAAGCCAATACATTTAATTTCACTTTCAGAATTTCTGTTGTTCCTTCATCAATACGAGACCATTAAAGTTGATTATCAAAGAATATTGGATGAAGTAAGAGATTTACAAAATCAATTAGATGAACAAACACAGCAAACCATCGCACTGGATCGTAAGTTGAACTATGCTCGAAAGATGTTAGAAATGGAACGAAAATCTAGACGTGAAGTAGATGCAGGAAAAGCTCAACTGGTAATGGTATTTCACTCCTATGTCTTAGAGAATATGATGCTAATACCAAATATTTACTATAATTTATAAGGAAGCAAAGCTTGATTCTTTGAGAACAATGCTGTCAAATGATCACACGATGAAAGATGAAACTCGAAGACATCTTCAAGTATTGAGTTCTTATAGTAAGAAACGAAAATCCAACTACCAACCAAATGAGGACGACATTGCGAATGACATGAACTCGACAGGTTCTTTCCTTTCTGATCTCTCATTGACCCAATCAGGAGACGATCTTTTGGATCCGAAATCAACAACAAACAATGTTAAATGGAAGAAACATCGTCCTTCCTTAAACAACAGTGGGATTTTGTTGAACACAACTACCAGAAAATCTTTGGCCAGTGCAGAAAAGCGTAAAAGTGCAAGACGTAAGATTTTCCGTTACATTTTTATTTTCAAGAAAACTTAAATGAATTCTTTCTTTCAATCCAATTAGAAAGCATATTGGAATATGGATCAAATGACAAAATTGTTTCACAAACGAAACTTATCATCCCTACAAACAAAAGAGCTCCAATTTATGCTGATACAATAATAAAATCTTTTCCGAAAGGGCATTTGGAACCATCAACTTCTTCATCTGATGGAGATCAAAATATGCCTTCTCATGATTCAGCAGCAGCATGTAAAACTCCAACGCCGACTAAAACTCCATTCAATAAGAACTTCTTTACACCATCAGCTCCTTTGTATGATGATTTAGATAACGTAAAAGATGACGTTGTTTATGCAACAGTAAAGAAGAGACCAACAGCAACAATCAGTTCTCGTCCTCATAATTTCTCTTCGAAAACCTTTCTAAAGCCAGAATCGTGTGGTTTTTGTACGAAAAAAATTCGTTTCGGATCAGTTGGGTCAAAGTGCACGAGTTGCCGAACAAATGTTCATCAAGATTGTCGAGATAAACTTACGATCACATGTGTGGCTCAAAATGGAACTCCTATGGTAATGAAGTCAGGAACAGCTTTAGGACAAATCAGTGACTATACACCAGACATCGCTCCAATGGTCCCAGCACTCATTGTACATTGTGTCAATGAAATTGAAACTCGTGGACTTAATGAAGTTGGATTATACCGAATAAGTGGAAGTGAACGTGATGTCAAAGCATTGAAAGAGAAGTTTTTACGCAATAATGGTATTCCGTGTTTGTCTGAGATTGACGTTCATGTTCTTTGTGGTTGTGTGAAAGATTTTCTACGTTCATTACGAGAACGTTTAATTCCAATGACGTTGTGGACATTGTTCTCAAATGCTGCTCAAAGAATTCCATCAGAAGACGACAGTGGAACTGTAAGCAAAGATATTTATCATGCTATTGAGATCCTTCCTCAAGCAAATCGCGATACTCTCGCATATTTGATGATGCATTTCCAACGATTATCTGAATGCCCTGATGTTAAAATGCCTTTGACTAACTTTGCAAAAATATTCGGCCCCACAATTATTGGCTACTCTTGTGCTGAACCTGATCAACATATGATGTTTGCTGAAACTCAAGTCCAATATTCAGTCATGTTTTCATTATTGAATGTCCCTACTGACTATTGGAGTAAATTTATAACACTCAACAAGCCAACGAGACAAGAAGAAAACCGTGAAATCGAAACTTATGGAAGAAGATTCTACTCAGGAACACCATCAATGAAGGTTGTCAGAAAAGAACGCAAATTCTATAACACTCCGCCATATTCTGCAATTTCCAAAAAGAAGAAGTAAAGGAAAAAATCGAGTTTCAATAAATAAATGATGCAAGTATTCTAATTCAAGCAAAAGCCCTTAAGAAAAATTTTCACATTATTAAATTTTTTAATTTCAAATTACATTCACTTAAATGCGTTTTTTTCTTTCAAAATATCTCTAGTTTTTAAAAATTATAATCATATCTAATTATAAAACTATACAATAAATTCTTAATTCAATAAATTCCTGATTATATTAGATATTTTAAATTGGTTAAATAGGTAATTGAAAATAAAGTGTATTTACCGAGTCCCCTGCATCAGCCGACTCAAAATTTTCCAAGTATGGTCCATCGAACGTTAAGGCTACCTATTATTAATTATTTAAATCTTTTCAATTAGGTGAACAAATAGGTATTAAAATTTCTAATTTTCTTTACCTTAGGATACTTGCTACTTGAATACCCAAAAAAGGCCTACAAGATAAAACTTATTTTACGAGACTCAGTTTTTCATACATCTAAGTAAGATTTTTCATATTTCTAGATATTGGTTGCCATGAAATCTTTAAATAAAAGGCAAAACGAAAACAAAAGAGAAGGTTTTAGTAAATTAGGTATTTTTTAATATTTCAGCAGCTAAGAAGTAGGTATTTGAAATCGTTTGGGAGAACGGTTGGCGGAAGTTTTTAAAATTTTTAATTCAGGTGTTGGTAAGCTATTAGCCTGAATAAGAAAAAAATACAAACCCTGCTCTTTACTTCAGCATTATTCATGAATAAATCTCAACACAAAGAAAAGAATTATATCATTCCTTACTCTTCTTTCATTTAAAGACAACAAAGCTCAAAGCAATATCGTGTAGTGGTCAACATAATTGAAAACAAAATTTTGAAAAATTTTACTTTCTCTGATAATTTTTTTTACTGAAAAATAATGAATTTAAGGACAACAGCTACAACCAAAATATCACCTTTACAACAACTTCTAGAAGATATAAACTTCCAAAGAACAAAGGAGCTTAGAAATTTTCAACAAGATGGTAAGTTTACTTGTTCATTCAAATTATTGATTAAATTTTTTCTTATAAAGTTACAAACAATGACAGAAAATAATTTTATATTCAAACAATCTATTTTTCTTTTTAAACAAGTAGACATGGGATTTGTTGTTTTGCAAGGTAATACACAATGGACAGAAATATTCGTTCGCCATTTCCTGTTTCAAAATCCAGAAGCAGCTATGGATCAAGATGATCTTTTGTTTTTCGTTCGCAAGAAATATGTTAAAGGAAGCAACAGAGCAGCACCAAAGTATGATACTGAAATCGAAGTGTTTCGAAAGGATTCCAAGAAACTTCCTATCGGTGATCCAGAAGTTGATTGGGAAGAAACCGTTTATCTTAATTTAGTGATTCATCAATTTGATTATTTCCTTACGCTTGCCATTTGTACACGCACATCACCAAAAGAACTTCAAGTACTTAAACGTCATTCCCAAAGAGTTTACGCTAGTCCATCAAGAAGAAAAATGGATTCTAAAGGCGAATCGGAAGATATCACATTTCCTCACATTTGCTTTATGGTTGATAATTTCGATGAAGTCTTTTCGGATATATTTGTTCGTGATGGTGAAATGGTCTGTGTCGAACTAGTAGCCAAAGATCACGATGGAAGTACCCAAGGTGTGATCTTTTTAGGGTCAATTCGCTATGACGCACTTAAAAAGGTTTACGATGCAAGACAAAGTAGTCTTAGCTCGAAGATGGCACAGAGAATGATTTTCGGTTTATTCAGTTCTGTACCACAAATGCGTTGTGAATTTGTTCGCATGAAAGGACCATCAAGCAAAGGATTTGCAGAGATGGCAGTAACAAAACCCAAAGGAAGTGGAATTGAAACACCAACTAGTGAACCGGGTTTTTGTATGACTGATATGTGGGATTCCGAATGTGAAGATAAACTTGACGAATTTTACGAAACACGACATCAACGTCGTTTAAGTGACCCAAGTTCAAATCTCAACAACTTTTCAAAGAATAATTGGCGTACAAAACCTCATCAGACAACTTCCAATACTAAAGCTTTGTCCCAAAATGAAGGATTGGATTCATTAGCAAATGACATCTCAGAAATTGAAGCTGGTGATCTTAGAGACGGTGAGTAAAAATAATTTTTAATTTGCTTTATATTTTCATTCTGCACACTTTAAAACCTTTTATTACGAAAACAATGAATAATTTCTCAGTTGCTTGTTGAGTTCAGTATAATTAATTATCGAATCTTGAATTAACAATTAATGAAACCTTACGAAATGTTTTAATGCTTCACATTTTTAATTTCTTCAAATGACTATGATGATTGATAAAACAGAAAATGCTGAATTTCAAGCCAAAATCTATGAATGAGATTTGGTTGAAAAAGCAGGACGATTTATTCCCCTTTCTTTTGGTGGTTGGCTAACAAAATAATTTCTCATCATTCCATCCTTTAACATAAAACACTTGCATAAGTAGAGTACTTTTTTTTAAGATATTTAAAACTCATTTAGTTATTTTAGATAATTTATAATCAGGTATTCTTCTAATGACTTATGAAACCCCACTTCATTATAGATCGTCCTGCTTCTTCAGCATCGGATACGGAAAAGAAACCAAAGAATGGTTGCCAGCAAACCATTGAACCGCCGTTATCACCTTCAACAACATGTTGCAGTTGCTTTTCAACAACTAAGTCAATGTGTGCTAAAAATGCTTCCGTTCAATTTTCGGAAATTTATTGTCCCACATGCTCTAATATTTCAATAAATTCACTGAAGACTGAAACAACAATAAACAAACTTGGGCATCCAGAACATATAAATAGGTTTTCTAAATTAAAAACTGAGAATGAATATTCAAAATATCGTCAACAAAAATTTGTGTTTGGAAAGTCAAACATGAGAAAGACTTTCGGAGCGAAAATTAAAGAATCATTCGAAGATGTCACAGATAATGCTGATGAATATGAAATGGCAAGCGAAGCTGCAAATACGGAAGATAAATCGAAGATTTATCAAAATGACCAAGCGAAAATTGAAAAATTGACGGATAAAGATAAAAAACAGATGATCAAAGTTAATGGAAAAGAAGAAATTCCATTTTTTGATATTGAATTGGAACAAAATTTTATTACGGAATATTCAGATCTTTCAGAAACTGGTGATAAATCAAATACAAAAACGTCTGATTGTGGAACCGCAAAAGTTAATTTTACATATAATGTTGCAATGAAGATTGATAAAACCGATGAAAAATGTAACGAGAGCAATAGCAAAGACAAATTAAGTTTCCCATCAATTAATAATAAGAGATTAAAGAATATAATTGCAATTCCACAACGAACGACAACTGATGGAACTAAAATTTATTACATTTGCGATCTGCCTCTGCAACTAAAAAAAGGTTGATTTCAATTGTTAAAATTTTTTGTTTATTTTTTCTTATTGCAATTGAATTTAGGATTTTTATATTTTCTTTATTTTTATTTTAGAACTTGATGATGGCCAATACAATCCTCTTTGGACTACAAAAGGTTTCACTCAAACATTCCACTTCTGGAAGGAAAATCGACGACAGTCATCAACACCTTTGAACGCTTACATAACTTACATTAGTTTACCTTGGTTTTGTATCGTAAAAGATCTTATTGATCATCGAGAGATGCCAATTTTGACTTTTTAAATGATGTCGAATTTTGATTTGAATATATTGTGTTATTATCATAAACTTAGATCTCAGTTAATTCAGTGATTATCCAATACTTATAAATTTGCTTTAAATATCTTTAAACCACAGATAGTGTTAGAAAATTCAAATTTCTAAAATTCTTACTTCTTACCTTTAAAAATATATCGAATTACGAAATTGATGAAAATAATAAAACGAAACTTTATAAACATGAAACGAAAAATAAACATGCATTGTTTGAATGATTTTAGAACTTCCATGTTAAAACAATTTTAATATTGAAGTACCTACTATATAAAAACTAAAATAAGTTTGTTGCAATAATACCTATTTGTATTTTAAGAGAGAGAATTATATTTATTTCAAATTACCTATTTCCTAACTTTTTACAAATTGGAGAATAACGAATTTAATTAAGCACCAGCATTTCTAACGTAATTTAAGAGATGAATGATAAACCCTTCAGAAATATTTACCTAATATGTTTAGGGAACAATTCCTAAGAAATATTTCAAAACAAAGTCAGCTGTTCTGAACATATATCGAACAATCATGCTATTCTTTTTTTCTAAAATTATAAATATCTTTTACGCAAGATTTTCTCTCCCAATGCAATGTATAATAACAATTCCTCATAACAGATTCACAAAAAAGAAATCACAATTGCTTGATGCTTAAAGAACTATGAATTTTCGTACAATTGATGGCTTATCAATAATAATATTGAATGTTAAGAAATTATTACAAATAGGTGTAAAACGATGAAACTAGAGGGTATCAAAGTTCGTGAACATTCTCTGTGCGCTGCTACTGCAAGCATACTTCCGAATTTTGAGCCTAAAATCTCGTAAACGGTTTACATTTTTGATAGCATGTTTTTAGACGGTCAGTAGAGAATCCTCCATGAGTTGTTTTGAAATTAGGTAGGTATTTTGTTGTTATACACAACAATTCGGGCAAATTCACTTTGTCATGCAAAACCAAACCTTATCCGCATAGTTCTAAGGTTATAATCATTTCGCTTCCTAAATGTTTGCTTCAATCGTCTTTGTTTTCACTTTCTATAAAAAAGTATTGAAAACATTGAAAACATCCCGAATACAAAGCAAACACATTACAAAACATCGAATCAATGCTTCATCAACATTGTAAAACAATGAAGATCTTTGTTCCCTGGACTAAATACTTGCTTGCAGTCAGTCATCGTTTGAGTTTTTGAGAAAAAGGTTATAGAAACTTGAAATATTTTTTAAGTAGGTAATTCAATGATTTATGACCTTAAAAGTCGTAGTTACTCCTTCATCGCATTTATCTTTTATTAATAATTATCAAGAAGAAGTGCATTTTAACGGGTTCAAAGAAAATTGAGTGCTTTCTTCACAAAAACTTCTGCCAGAAAAGTGAAATTATTTTATACACAATTATAAATGCAAATGAAAAGAAAAAATATCTTACAATTTTAATAGAGCTCTTATTTAAAAGAATATAAGGCTATCTGACTTTAAGAAAGCAACAAAGAAATTATAATATGTGCAGCAAAAACCTTAAAATAAATTGAAATCAGTGACGTGGAAGTTTTTAGAAAAAAAAGGAAAAAAATTAATAAATACGAGTAAAAAAAAGATTTCTCTAAGAAAATGGAATGCAGAAATTCTTGTTGATTTTTTTATATTTGGAGTAATACAGAATAACTGATCAAAAGAAGGTAAATTCAGAATAAATAGTGTTAAATTTAAAAAGAAATATATAAGCTCTTCAGGGAATCAGAGATTGTGAAAAAATATTTTGAATCTTATGAAACGAAGTGATTTTTGTGAATGTGTATGTTGATGATTTTTGATTGTGTTTCTCTCACTTTATATATGTACCTACTATCTACATAGCTATACTACTAATGACCATGCATAAAATTAAAACTACTACATCAACAAAAGCACGATATATACTTAAAAATTTATTACTTACATACTGATTTTTAAAGCTATTTAAAGCTAAGTGTGAAGCCAGCTATGTTTGAATTTTCGTGTTTTTCGCTTCAATTTTTTATGGGAAAAATGAAAACAATATTTTAAGGAAATTGAATTGATACTTTGAACACAAGCGACAGTATATTTAGAGTAAAGTTTTCCATGATTTCAAAGGCAAATATATATTTCTAAGTTTTCTTTCCGTATCTAAGCAAACTTCCTTTTTCTATACAGTTGTTTCGTGTTTCCACATTAACGTATATTTACATAGCATCATGATCAAAAGCAAAACTTGCAAAAACCAGCTAAGATGTTGTGTAAATTCGTTTTAATTCTCAATATTTATGGCCTTCTTCATAAAATTGATTAGTTAAACTGGCGTTTGCAAGCTTAAATCTGACAGAAAAGGTTCAAATTATCTCATTAGCTTTTTCTTGAAAAGTTTTCGCTCAAAGATTTTTTAATTTACACATAACTAATAAGTATGCAATATTCTTTTATTTCATGTTTTCAGTTGAATAGTTTAATATTATTAATGTTCATTTCTCCAAAGAAATAAATATTTTTATTTCGAGTTCCTGAGAGAAAAGAAAGATTTAAAAGAAAAAGTTTAAAACAGTATTTAAGTTTAAATCGAGAGTAAAATAATCCCTTGGAAGAAAAAATTAACATCGAATCAAAATCTCTAAAAAAATATGAAGAAAATGAATAAAAATCCATTGTGGCTCGTGACCTCGTTTCATGTAGGTATATAATAAAAATGCTTTAAAGAATATATATTATATTTTTAAATGCACATAAGTAGTTGCACCAGAGGGATTGAATTTATCAAGGAACTTAAATTTGATTTTTAATTTTCGCTTATATGCAGCATGTAAATAAAATCTGTGTGTGTGTTGCATACATATAACACAGCTATTTATTATTTTCATATTTTTTCGGGCTTCTTTGTGTTCAAATATTTTGTATTTTCATGTGATATCAAAATAAAAAAAGAAGAGAAATCAGCAAAAAATCACAAACCAGATTTTGAGGAGTCAAAATAAAATTCAAAATCAATTCATTTATGTAGTTAAAGCGCACTATAATAAAAGTAGTAAATGTTTTGTTATATTTCAAGTAAATATTTTGAAAAGCATCTGATGGGCTGTGTTAATTATTGCTGATATCAAATGACAAGTTAGAAACGCGTTAAAACGTCAAAACGTCACCACTTTAAAAAAACGTAATATCACGTTATTAATAGCGGAAAGGTGACTTCATAACCGATTTGAATTTGATAGATAACAATTTTCAAACATTAATAGAAATTCTTTCTTGTTCCTATCTGCCCGTTGTTGTTATTTCTAAAGATTGTTTTTTATTAAACATTAATAATATTTCCTATAAACACATTTGGCTTGGTTTCTTTCTTAAAAAATATAAACAAAAAAAAATACATCAATAAATGATAAAGTTTATGTGTCAAACATTTATTTACTAAATCAGAAGTAGGAGAAAATTCTTCTAAATTGTGATGTATTTGTAAGTACGACAACAATATAAAACGGAAATACGCACAAACTCTTAATTTTACCATTGTGTGGGCGCATTGCCCAAAGCGTTTCACTTGGATACTTCAAATTGTGCCAGATTAAGCTGAAATTTCTCATCTTGAATAAATTCAGAAATAGTTAGATAAATGTTGAAAAACTAAGTAATAATCAGACAGAATTGCGCTTGTGGTTAGTGACTAAATTCGTGAAAATAAATAATTCTCAACTAATAATTTTTTTCACAATCTGTGTGACTTTACGAGTTTCTGATAATGAATATTAACGAGGGGGGTCGGAGAATTTCTCGTGTATAAATATTTCATTTCATCTTGCAGAACTTGTCATAATAAAAATATTTTTTAATTCCTAATTTCTTTTCTAGATAATTAACTCTTTACATACACACTCAATATGGAGCTTGGTCATGATGTAACAACTGTCAATCAAAAAGATACTAAAGATGAAGAAACTTCTGAAGATAATCAAAATTCAACTTCTTCAGACAATTTGACAAATCGCGAAGTGTCTGTACGTGAAAACACTGAAGTCAAAACTGAAAATGTTGAGAATATCGATGGAAACACAAACGAAGACAAAAAAGAAATTTCAAAATATGAAACGATGGCTAAAGACATGATTGTAGAGAAAAAAGTGAAATGTGATAGTCATCATTTACCGACATTCCCTGGAACAATAACAAAATCAGTTCCAGGTTCGAATGACGTTAAAATTGAAATCGACAGTGATAGTTTATTAGACCGAGTTATTCTGTTTTCCCTCAAGAACACAGTGGTCGATAATAGTAGATTAGATGCAGCGAAAAACAAATATTTAGTCAAAGATTCCAAACCTTCATTGTCTGCAGACCACAAACTGTCGTTAAATCATATTGTTAAGAAATTTGATGACGATGATTGTGATGTTGTTAATATTCAAGGGACTTCATCAACGTCGACAATTAGAAAAGAAAGTGATAATTATGGCGGATTTTCCAATGGTGCTGAAAACGAATCTAATGTTAATAATGAGAAAAATAATGTTGATCAGAACCAACAAGTTATAGTGATGAAATCACTGTTGAATACTCCTAAAACATTGGAAATATCATTGACATGTGGCGAAGAAAGTTCAAATAAACCTTCTTTAGCTCAATGTGATGACGATGATTGTAGTGATGAATCAAAGAGAATGTTTAACATAGAAACAGATAAATCAAGACTCGATATTATTCATTCAAAAGTTTCATGTGCATCGTCGACTGATAATAATAATCAAAGTAATAAAAACTTTTCGAGGTCATCTCCAATTATGTTGGATCTTACTATTTCTCATCGTAAAACTAACTCTTCAACTCCTTTCATAAAGCAACAAAATAATTCATTGTATGTAGGTTTACCTGATTTTACAAAGAAAATTTACTCAGCGCCTTTAATTACTTATCCAACTCACACAACAACCATAAACAGTAAAGATGTGAAGAATCTTTCTTCCAACAATAATAATTTGTCGAAGACAGAAAATCGAAATTCTCCCTTGTTGTTGGCTTATAATTGGGACCAGAGTCACCATCATCACCAACAACAACAATCAAGCAGTTATGTAAAATGCTCAATCACTGAAAATGGAAATATTGAGACTTCCAAAACTTCTGACACATCATCATCAACATCATCAGCTTCACCATTAAATTTTAACGAAATTCTTAAGAAAAATAATTACATAAAAGACCTTCAACTAAAGCCGCCTCTTCTTCCACCACCAAGATTAAAAGCTTATTCACCAACACCATCATCAGTTTATAAAGTCGATTATCACATGTCTGATATATTTTCGCAGAAAATAAGAGAAGGTTTTGCCGAGTCTGAGCAGAATAATTACATGAGTGAGAGAAAGAATGAAACTCAACAACAGCAACAAATATTCATTGATGAGCCAATGGCGCACATTATTCATAAAAGTCACTTTCAATCTCATCAAATTCCTGAAAATTTCAATAGAACTATGAAACAGAAAAGTGAATCAACTGAAGTGATTCATTTAAATAATCTTAATTGCACGTATGCTCCTGAAGCTGAAATTAAATTAACTGTTTCTACACCACACCACTTTCAAAGTTCTTTGATAAAAGAGCAACATGAAGCACAACAGACTTCACAATTACCACAAATAATGAGTGCAATTTCTCCAGATTTCAATAAAAAGTTTCATAACGAGCAACCAATCTCACATGAATTTTCATTGGAACAAAAAGAAGAACAATTGAGACAAGAAGGAACAATATTGACTGTTACAAATGAAATGAATCTAAATCGTTATCCTCCTACAAAAGAATTTATGGAGCAGCGAAGTGCAGCAAACTTTTTTCGTGACTCTAAAATGATGAAACAAATGAAAGCTTCGCCAACAGTTGGTGACTATAATAGAATGAATCGAGAGCAATCATCTGCCACAACAACTAACTTGTCGTCTTCATATGCCCCCGGCACTCACGTTGGAAATGAAATCAACATTAATATTAATGTGAATCCAACAGCTTCTACCATCATGCATGAACAAGATCGACAAATGAAACATGAAATCTCAATATGTCAAAGAGACAACAGCATTTTATCATCAACTTCAATACCTTACTATCATCGGCCACCATCGTTGAAAGGACAATTAAAAGATCATGGAAATTCTTCAGTAATTCATGTTCCACAAAATTGGCCGCCATCTCAGCAATATCCCGAACAAATCATGTTAAATAAATTGTCGTCAAGAAATTCCAATGTCAAACCAGGATGTCGACTTTATTTAACTTCTGAATCATCATCCAACAACTCTGATGTAGGACAACATCAACAAGTTTTTAATGTTGGTCATCACATGAATCGACATTATCAAGATGATCGTAAAAATCAAAATAATTATTATCAAACATTTCCATCCGACAACTTTTCTCGACATCATTTTGACACTGAACTTGAGAATAAACGTCCGGAAAGAGATGTGAATTCTGATTTTTATTATCAGTCTCATCATCATGTAAATCGAAGTCGCATAGTGGAAAATTTTAGAAGTTGTTCTCCTCCTCCGCCACCACCACCAGTTGCTCCATATTCCGATGATGGAAGACATTTAGATGAACATCATCAACAGAGACCACCACAGATTCAAACGAGATCACCACTGTCAGCATCTGCTTCAAAACAAACAGAAATTGTGCCGTTGTTGACAGAAAGAAAAGAAACAAAACGCGAATTTCCTTTAGATTTATCAATGCGAACTATAAAGACCAAAGCTGATTCAACTGGATGTGACAAAAACTCAGTCATTGCTCGGCATCATCAACAACAACATCAAAGCGAATCAACAGTTTTGAAAATTGACTTTACACCGAATTTTGCTGATGTTGAGAAAAGAGATTCATGCCAACAACAAGAACTTTTCATTCAACAACATCCAGCAGGTAATAAAACTAATCGTGATCGATATTATCCGAAAAAATCTACTTACGAAAGAAATTATCATCCAGCACAACATCAGCATTTAAATAGTTTCAATTACAATAATAAAAATTCTTCTCCACGACCAGTTTCAGTTATCAACAAAGCAATATCACAATACCATAAAATTCCTTCAGAACATTTTCCATCTCGTTCTGCTAATCATCATCTAACTGAGAATGCAGCGCAGTCAAGGAACCCACTTTATTATGAAAGAGAAAGAGATCGTTTATATGTACAACAGATTTTAAAACGGAATTCAAGAAAAGAAGATCAACAGCATCAGCAACCATCACCACTACCGCCACCTCAAATTTACAGATCACATCTTGACATGCAAAGTTTGCCACGAATGATGACATCAGATGATAAATTTAACAATCGTCCTTTAACAAAAGAAGATGAAATACAAAATCCTTTTCCATACAATTATAGAACGCAACAACCACCAACACCACCACAAACTGATCATCCTCAAAATCATAGAAATTTCAAAGAAATTCCATCAGCTATAATGAAACAACAACTTTTAGTTGAACAAATTGATAATAGTTACCAATGTCCGCAACCAATGCGAACTGATGCTGCGATGTTGCCATTAGAAAAATGCTATAAACCCACGACAACAATTTCTCAATCACAAAATAACAAAACTCTTGGAATTGATGAGTCAAATGTTATCAAATCGAATGTTTTAAATTCTGATACTTTGCCATTATCAATTCATCATCAAATGAAAGAAAACGATATTAGTGAGAATGTTGGATTTAGAGAAGAAAGCATCAATAAGATTGTTTCATCGTCTTGCGTTAACAATCTTGGACGTGGTGCTGATCACAATACAATTCTTAAATTGAAAACAAATCTTGAGCTGAAGGAACAAAAGAAATTGTCGGGACAAATGAATGAAAAGAAACCGAATGATGATTTATCGCCGCGTCTTTTTCGAACTAAAGGTGAATTGAAAGGTTTCATAACTACAAATCATCAAAAACAACCATTAGAAACATCGAAAAATGAAATATCGGCAATATCTTCGTCACCAGCAACTTCACAAACACTTCCGTCAGATATTGATTTAAATGATTGGGAAAATGCTTGTAGTAAATTTGTTCAACAGTTAAAAGTTGTCGATGTTGTGAAGAAAGAGAAGACGATTTTAACTAAATCAAAAGCTGAAAGTGGCACAACGGGAAATGAAAAGAAAATTGACGAAGAAAGCAAAGATGAAACTTCAAGTGATGAAGACAAGCCTTTATTCGTGCTTTTAAATACGCAATGTGGATCAATTGTGAATAAGAATGATAACCATGAAACTTTGAAAGAAGACAATGCAGCGCATCGAATAAAAAATATGAAAAATATTCGTGAAAAGAAAAGATTGGAAATTGAACAAAAGCTGGCCAATCGTCTTGGTGATTCGAGTAGTTCAGAAAGTGAAATTGAAGTTGGTCAGAGATCTGCTCCAATCACGAAAAAGATGAGACGATTTAGGAGGAGAACTACCTTAGTAGACAATAAATGCAAGGGCAATGACGAAGTGAATGAAAAAGCTTTGGAAAAAGAAGAAACCGAAGAAGAAAAAAGTCAGAAAGGACGTTTCGCAAGTAGTAGAAAATATGTAAAGAAAAACAAGAAGACTCCATGTTCAGAGCATGATATTGAGAAGAAAAGTACTGATGATAAAGTAAATTTAATTTCTACGAAAAAACAAGAAAGTTCCGATGATATTAATGCATCATCTAAAGGTGTGAAGAAAACGATGAAGAATCTCAAGCATCTCAGCAATAATTCATTATATAAAACATTACTTGAAGAAGAAGAAACGATGACACGATCAAAGAGAAAATTAGAGATCGAAAAGAAACTTTCCAATAGCAAAATCTTACGAAATGAAAAGATTGTGCAAAACATTGCGCCAGATAAGAAAGCAAAGCTTGAGATTCCACTAACTTCTGCAATGAAAAAGCGTGATTTACAAAAGAAAGATTCTGAGACAACAAAGCGAAAGGTTCCTGATGCTGATAGCGATACGAATAATAAGAGTAACAAGAAATTTAAACGTCAACTCAAAATGAATAATCTATCATCGAGTGAAGAGTCTACACCAACAACAATTGAGATGAAGAAAATTGAAAGGTTTATATAATTTAATTATCTCGATTATTTTCCCAACATTTGCATAGAGCAATTTATCAAATTATGGCATGTTTAACTGACACTCTGCTCTCCTTTGGTCAGCATTATTGTAGAATATTTCATATAAATGAGTTCACTTGAACTGTTCCATAATTTGATTCAACACTCTTTAATAAATAAGCAAATATAGCATAAGTTGTAATCGAATATTATTTGGCAGACTTCGTCCCAGGAAAAATCTATCGACTGATAACCAATGTACTGAAAAAGAACGTACGAAGAATAAAATGGAACAGAAGAAACCAAGTGACGTTATGAGCAGCAGTTTTATGTCAAGCCCCGTTCATCCAAATCCAAAAAGTTCAACAACAAAAGCATCTTTGAAAGATTCAATATTTCTTCCGCCATTTATTGAAGAAAATAAAGTAAATGACAAATATTCTTGTTAATTATGTTAACCAATAAATTTAATGTAATAATTATTTAGAAATCAAAGTTCACTCCAGGATGGGAAGTCGAAGCTTACAACTATAAACGTTCTCTTAAAATTCCTGCCGGTTTAATTAGCATCGTTCGTCCCCCACAACATGGAATATCGCATTCATTGCCTGATTTAGATCAACAAAGTAGCGACACTTCCGACCTTTTTTCAGAATTCTTAAAATCAAATAAGAAAGAAGAATCAAATCCGACGAGTCCTGTGAGTTCGTTAAACTTTACTGAAGACGAAAATAAACATTTTGATAAGAAGAAATCAAATTCCATCATTGAGTTATTACATCAGAGATTTACGCATTCTTCCAAACAGAAACCAACCACAATAAAGAAGGCGACAAATACTCCAACTCCGAGTAAAAATGATTTCGATTGTGATTTCTTATCGCTTAAGAAGAAGAAACAAAGAGCAGAGTTCAGTACATGTAAGAAGGACATTTTGAAAGAAATTTTTGGCGTTTGTGATGATGAAAGACCAAAGTCAGCCCCACCCGTCAGTCTTGCGTATTGTTTGGATGATGAGACTGTTGAAAAGTCAAAACCAGATGAAATCGTCACATTTGATGAAAAATACCGCGAATATCTTGAGAAATTAAATTTTAATATTTTATCTGAAAGCGAAATCAAACGAGAGAATGAAAATCGAAAGAAAATCTCTGACACACTATTATCATCAAAATCTTTGAATGAAAACAAAGAAACAACAATAATCGATCAACAAGACTTGACGATAAGCAGCTTTAGAGGTAAAATCAAAAAAGGAAAAACTCGTCGATGTAAAATGAGCTCAGGTTTGTTTGCATTAAAAATATCTTTGAGGCAATTTATATAACAAATGAAAATATTCTTTAGGATTCGATTACATTCGTAAGAAAAAGAAACCGTCCCAAAATATAAACGAAAATACGATGAACATCAACAACATTATTAAGAAGCGATTGGAGGCGATGAAGAATTTAGAGAACAAAGATGAGAGTGACATAAGTAAAGAAATTAAAGGTTGGGTGTTAAATAAAGGAGTTGGTGAAAGTGTTTTACATAAAGCATCGAGATTAGATTATGTCGTGAGTATTATAAACAATGAAATTATTTTGAACTTCTTATTAATAATATAAAATGCTTATTAGGATGTCATCGCATTCTGTCTTGACAGAATGAACATGAACCCTGATCCAAAAGATAACGCTGGCTACACTCCACTTCACGAAGCTTGTTCACGTGGTCATTTAGATGTGGCAAGAATTCTTCTTCAGTATGGTGCAAATCATTCAGAGACTGCTTTGTCAGGAATCAGGCCATTACATGAAGCGATTGAAAACGGTCACATTGAAATTGTTCGACTTTTAATCTCTTATGGTGCTGATCCTTGTTTAGCTACTTATAGTGGCCAACTTCCAATATCTTTAGCTGATGATGAAAGAATGGAGGTGTTCCTTGAACAATATTTAATAGATATTAACGAGAGAAATGGAAAACTTATCAGTTGGTTTTTCTCAGGCTCTTATGAAATTGAAAGTAAGTGAAATGTTTTTTATATATCAAAAGTCGTCATTTTCATCTTATTTTTGTCTTCCTTAGCTTCAAGTGAACATGGTTTTATGGTCCTAAGTGATCTTCCTACTGAATGTACTGATTTAGAATCATCATCGGTCTTCTCAATATCTATGACGTCACTTGTTACTGCACCTTCAACACAATTTTCAGACAACGAAGTGTGTAAAAAAGAAATCTCATCTTCATCAATCGGTGTAGATTCTGCTTCTTCATTACTGATAAAGACACCAATCCAAGATAATGCTGTTACATATCAACAACAACATAAGAAGATGAAGGATTGTGACGCAAATAGCAACAATTTACTTTTGTCCGATGTCACTGACAATAAGGATACAAAGCCTTGCAGTGTTGTGCTAAATAATGTTGATTCAAATATGAAAAGTTTCAAAAAACTTTCAATGGTAAAACTCGTACATGAAAATGATAAAAGGAATTCTGATAAGAAAGGAAAAAACTTTTTTGATATCGACGATATTACAACATCGGAGAATGAATATTTAGAATTAGAAGAGTCAGAAGCTCCACTGCCCCCACTTTATCTTCTCAGAGGTGAAGGACCTGAAAAATGGATTCTTCTTAATGATTTATGTAATCTTCTCAAAGTGAAATCAAAAGATGCTGCCCTTAAACAAGTAAATAAAATATTTATTTGTGATTCTCATTTAAATAACAAATATTTTCCTTTATAGATTTGTCCTTTAAGTCCTTCAACTGTTTATAAAGGATTAATACGTGAACTGAAAATGTCTGACTTCCTTGAAAAAGCTACATGTCTTCAACTTTTTTGTGCGGGAGAGAAAATAAATGTCAGAGCATCAAAAGTATCCTTGGTGCGATATAATGACAATGTTAGGAATCTTCTAGGAGTTCAAACTATTCGAATGAATATGTGAATGCTACATGTGATGAGTTCTTAATCAGAAGGTGTTAAAAATCTGTTTTGTTCATCAAATGGTTTTCCTTACTTAGCCTTTCAATTCATTCATTCATTCAATCATTCACGCTTTATTCAACTTCATGATTATGAAAAACTTTTTATATGATAATTAACTGTGATAGTAAAAATCAACAAGAAAGCTTTGCGTAGCGAGCTATAACATGAGAAGTGATCTGTGGAAACCGGGGTGGAGATGTAATAAGTAATAATTTTTTTAATTATAATTTCATCATCACAATTTTTGAGGAAACAAAAGAATCAAAAGTATTTGTAGATTTCTTACGACAAAAATATAAAATAATTAACTGATTCTTACTTATCTCTTAACGCCCTTTGATTCCTGACTTTTATATAGAATAATAATGATAACATTTTTAATTAATAGTGTAAAAATATTTATATTTAACATGTTTTGTACTTTTAATAGTTACTGCTTGAATTAAAGCAATTGGTTGTCTGCTGCAGCAGCTAACACTTCACTTTTATTTCTCATTCTTATAATTAATGTTTAGTTTTTGTTTCTTTTTTTTGTAAAAAATAACTTTGTATAAGTAAGTTTTGAGAAAGATTTACCACCAATATTCTTTAATTGGTAAAGGCCTATGAGACGGAGTTTTATAACGAAAATATTTTTTATAATGATCGATCAAAGAAATTGACTAGATAAATGTAGGTAATACATAGGAATAAAAAAAAGAAAGACTTTGATGTAGGCCTACAGTCTTGAATGAAATAAATCAATTCTAAAAATGTTGGAAATGTTAATAAAAGTGCAATGAGGACACAAAAAAATATACATATATTTAAATGAAGAAATACCTATATGTAAAATTATTATTTTTATTATTATTATTGATAATATTCTAAAAGTCGAATTTTAATAAATTTTGATTAGTTTGGACATTATTTAATCTACCTATTTTTGTTTGAAAGAAGGGTTTTACAATTAATATGATCTCTCTTTGAAATGAAACATTACGAAAAGGAGATCATTGTATTTGTTGGAATATATTCGAAAGCATTCATTCTGTGCACAAAGATATAATGATACGAAGATGTTAACTATAAAAATCAAACTGCCATAATATTTGGTTGATAAGCTTTCCGTCGTTCAATAAAGTTTCAATTAGCTAATTGGACAGAATATTTAATAATGTGTTTTGCAATGTTTTTTTTTTGTGTTTGACAAATACTTTTAAAAACCATGAACAAATATTTGAACACTATTTAGTAAAGGTCAATGAATGAAGTATTCGACAAGGGCAGTGAAAAAAATTATTCATAAACGCGAATAAAATTTTAACGGAATAAATTCAAACTTCATTCAACGTTAAAAAATCTTTCGTTAAATTTTTCCGTTTAAATTTTGAAATTTAACTTGTAGTCTACTGATTGTTTACTTACTTCCTAATTCTTTAAAAGTTTTTTAAACATACATATAAGTTAAGCAATACTTGAGATAAAATGAGTGAACAAGATAAAGTTTCTGAGTATACTGCTAAATGCAAGGAATTGCAGAAGACTCTTTTAGCAGCGTACAAAGAATTGACAGATAACATTAGGTAAGCACCAGGATGCAACAATTTTATTGAAATTTTTGATATTAATCATCAATAAAATTTTAGCGAAGATTCAATTAAACCACTGGCAGATTGTTTTGAAAGTGAAATGAAGAAGAAAGTTGAAGGAAGCTTGGTTGAAAAATTGAGAGCAAATATTTACAATAGATTAGAAAAAGGATTTCTTGAGAATTGGGATGCTGTTAATCTTGATGCCTCTTTTGCCACTCTTAGCATATTAAACAATATTTATTATAAAGATGACACTGATAATAAATGGCGACCAACTGGAAAAACAGTTGAAGATCAAGCTATCCCTTCAGTTTATAAAGCAACGTTAAAGAAAAAAATGGTTTTAAAAAGACTTCTAGATAATCAAAGAGAAGTTCTTAATACATTGGTTCCGATCATTGAAGAGAAGCGTAATATTCTAAAGGATTCAATGGAAAAACGTAAATCTTTTCTTGCTAAACTGAATGAAGATTTGAAAAATAGCTCAGAGGAATATGAAATTGATTTGAAGGCAACAGAGAGCAATTCACAGGATTCTTGAATTGTACTCATATTACTGTTAAGATGCCATTACTTATAAAATAAATGAATTCATTTTATATTTTAAAGTAATTTTAATATATTTTATTTACTTCTTTATTTTAGTACGGAATATAACATCATAAATAAGTTTATTAATTTCAGAACATAAGGTTAATGTCGCAACAGTTTACTTTTTGTATTAAAGTTAAAATACCTACATATTAAACATCTTAGGTACGGGTTGCTTTCTTAATACGGGTTGGAATGAAAATAGAAATTTAGAAGTTTTTAATCTTTTTTTAAAGTCGACTAGACAGTAGAAGGATTTTGTTCAATATTTTCAAAGAAACAATTTAATTTATGAAATAAAAACATAAAACTGAAGGTAAAGAGTTTTTTTATAAGGAAAATACTGCAAGTCACTTTAGATTAGGTAAAATATGTCAATGTTTTGTTTGCTTTCTTTCTTATTAAAGATATCTTAAATACATGTTAATAAGTTGAGTACAAAATTCTTAAGATTCTAATTTCTCTTGCTTGAATTTATAAGATATTTGCAGCAATGAGTTAAAAGATGTTTTTCACTTGTTGAACTGTGATGAAGCAACCCTTCAACTTCACGTGTATATATGTCAAGCCCATATTGACCTTCTTCAGGAAAACTAACGAAATAAAAAAAAATTAATAAATTAAATAATACAACAAATTATAAGTCTTACTTTATAATAAAGGTAACGATATCATTGACAACATTATGCTGAACATATTTGGAAAGCTTCTTCTCCTCAAAACCGTTTTTATGAACTGTTGCCATGAAATCTGTCAATGGGCGTGACATTCTAAATTGTGTTTCAAGAACTCGTCCGGCAAAAATGAGTGGCTCCTAAAAAAAGTTAATTAAAATATGTTTTACTTCTAAAATAAAAATGAAAGCAAAAAAAATTTACTTGGTGAGTTATCGGAATAAGACCAAAAAGTCGCGTCGCTTTAGTTGGCCCCCATTCACCAGAAGCACAATCAGGAAGAGGCACCATAACAGTTTGTAATTCCTCACAGAAGATTTTAAACTTACAAACAGATTTGAATTTCATCGGCTCCCCAGTTAAATATTCCTGTGGTGTTACAGCATTTGCAAAAATATCCAACAAAAATGCTCCCGAACATGGTGCATGAACACGAAATGCAACAATATTTCCAATAACTGATTGCATTACAAATCTTTTGAGTGAAACTGCATCAAAGGAGTCTTCGTCACTGTCATAGAACTTTAAATTGTAATGAAAAATTAAACAGCTTTGCATGTCACTCGGTCTGAAAATTAATCATTCATTGATCAATTTAATGATAAATTATTTCAATAAATTTTCTTACATAGCAATTCTAATAGTTGCTGCACCAGTATCATCTGTTAATACAACAGCACCATATCCATCATCAGCAAAATGAAGACCATATCGGAAGAAGAGTGAACGAACAAATGGCAGATTTTCAAACTCTTTTAATGTTATTCGACGTTTTAATAATTGCCATTCTTCTTGTAATGGGAAGAATTCGTAAATAAACTCTCTCGGATCAGTAAGGAAGTAATGATCGTCATATTCATAACGTAAACTATCATTTTTTCCTTTGCTAGTTTTCGGTGCTTCTTTTGCATTGACAAGATGTCTTGCACCCCAATTACATTGAACAAATCTCCAAGCACCAGCAACATAAACAGCATTCCAAGAGTTTCTGAAGCGAGAATCTAAGAATCTTACACCTGGCTGGTAACCGGCACTTTTTGAATATCCTTTAATGACAACACAATGCAAGCCTGCATATGAACAAAGGCGTTTGAAAAGAACGTGATAACTCTCGGTGCCATATTTGATTCCACGTAAAAGTCCCATTGGAGTGTCACCTCTTAAATCATCATCAAATTGCATTGTATTTAAATTCTTAACAGTAATCCATCGGAAAATTGTTCGTGCTTTCTCAATGTCACTCGTGCAATGCCCAATGAGTTGACGAACTAAATCTGTGAATGTTTTCTGATCATTTTGTGCAACAGAAATAGCTATTTGATCAACTTCTGCAAACTCATTTGGATCTGTGTAAATTTGGAATTTATTTATTAATGGCGGCGGGGGATTTGGAGCCACCAAAGGATATTCAGATGTCTCATGGTAATCATCATCAAGGAATATGCTTTCACTTTGCATGTATTCACTTCGTCGAGCACTTATAAGCTCCAACATTTCACTGGATTGTTTATCAACTAAAGCAGCAGTTTCGGATCGTTCTTGAAGAGGGTGAAGAGAAAAAAAAAAGATGAAAAGTTCAAAGTAGGTAATATAAAATTAACTGAAATACCATTCTCAAGTATCTTTCTTGATAAACTTTCTTTCTTCTTTGTTTTACGTAATGTCATGTTCTTCTCCAAGTCATCTTTTTGTTGTTGATGTCTTAAAGTCAACACATTTTGTTCATCGCGTGATCTTTTCGCTGATATTTCTTTCTCAAATTTATGAGTTAATCTTTGCAATTCGCGTTCCCATTCATCCTGAATTTCATTCGCCACTCTTCTTTCTTCATCTTCACGTTTTTTTGCGAATCTCCGATAAAGATCGTCTTCTTCTTTTCGATGTTTCATTTCCAAATGTGCCTGCTCCTCTCTTGCCTAAACAAAAATTTTGAGTTAATAAAATACTTCCATTCATAATGATTGTGATTATAAGCACTAACCAAATATTCGTCAATAGGTTTTTCTCTTGCTTTTTTGTAAGATTTTTGAATTTCAGTCTGTTTAAGTGCATGGGCGATGTGAAGGGCACTGGCATCAAACCTTCCTGTTGTATGAAATGAATTATTTGAAAAAAAATCTAAAAGACTAAAAACTAAAACGATAGAAAAACCAGCACGAACCATATTTGTAATCAGAAGAATCAATTTGGGATGGAGATATTGGATCTCGAACTGAATTTCCATTACCATTCTGTCCATTTGGGGTCATTTGTCGTTGGAAACCTTGAAAAAGACAAATATTTTTTGTGTGTACAAGTATCTAAATATTTAAATCAAACAGATGACAAATTCAATAAATTTATATTAAGATAATTTTTGATAGATATAATAATGGTAATGTTTAGCGGAAATATAAAAAGAAGTTAACAACATCTGAGTATTTTTTTCTATGCTAATTGTTATTCAAATTATGTACACAGAGAGAAACAATTGAAAAGCTTTTATTCATTATTAAATATACATAACATTCAGTTATCATTTTCCAATTTTCTCGTTCACACTTTATAAAAAAGCAAGTAGAAAGAAAAGAATGTTAAGCGTTATGCTTCTTTGGTAAATAAAACAGATTTTCAGATTTCTTAGATCTGAGAAAAAAAAAGAAAAATTCTTATAAATGCTACGAGCTTGAAAAAGTACATAAATTTTATACATTTGAAGCAAAAAACTTACCATCGACCATATCTCGATGCGACCCACGAATCTGATCATTGATCAAGTTTGTGCTTTTTGGAACATTCAAAGCTTGTCTGATGCCTACAGAATTCTGATCAAAATGACCTGGTCCACTTTTTGGAACATGAGAACTACAGTACACCTAAAATTATCATTATTCTTCTTCATTAAAGCATTAATCGTTTGCATATTTGTTCAATGAATTGGGGCCTTTTCCTCTTCTTTTCATATTTAAGAGGGAAAGTTTGCAGTTTTAAATTAAAATTTCATGAATGTAACATCTGAAATTAAGGTTCCAAAAATATATTTTTTGTGTCATCTTATACCAACCAACAAGTATGTGTATGTGTGTTACGTGGGTTGATGACGGATTTAATTCCAACACAAATGAACAAAACAACACACACACACACTCCCATCAACTGATCATCAATTATTTAAAGAGATGTAAGTAAATATGTATTGGCACAATCAGTAAGTAAACCAAAGATTTTTAATTTAAAAAATATCTAATTCAAGAAATATTTTTTACTTTCTTTGTGTTTAAGACCTGAACAATCTATGTAAATTTGATAAGCTTCAAAGAAGTATTTTATTAAATTTATGATCGTTTGAAAGAGTTGCAAGTTGCAAGTCTGGCTTGGATGAGTGAATGTAGGCGTAGTTGTAAAAAGCTCAGCTTTAAATGTATTTCTTCAATTCATTGGTAAAGCAGGAAAAAGTAGCACATTTTTTAAAAACATATTCAATAAAATTGCGAGGTGAAGAAGTAACGAATTTTTAAATTATGACGGATTTAAATTAAATAAAAACTAGATCAATAAGCGGTTGATCATAAAATCATCATTAATATGTCTAATTTATTTTAGATTCGCGGAAATATATCCACATAATTCTATTTCTTTCTTTTATTGAAACTTTCCTACTTATGAATTTTATATGTAAATAATTATAGATATATGTATAAAATATTGTATTCACCTCTTTATCATCTTGATCATGTTGGTTGTTGAAGTATGTTTTAAGAGTAAGCTTAGATCCACATGTTTTGCATTTGAAGCAACCAGTATGAAAGAAAGTAAACTCTTTCAAGGGGCCAATTCTATCAACTTGATACACGACTTCTTTGCAGCGAAAGCAAGTTGACTCGTAGAAATTAGGTCGGTACATTTTTTCTTATTCAATTCTCTTTTCAACTCCTTCTATTGTAATCAAAATCATATCACTTGTTTCAAGAGTTCTTCTCACCACTTGCTAATATCTATGAAATTCTTACCCTCAGAAGTTCGTAATGTGAGTTTTTTTTTTAAATTCTTCGGAAGAATGAGCTTAATCGTGCTATTAAACTGATAAAAATAATTTCTTTTTTAATTTATAAGAAGAATTAAGTAATTTTCAAGTAAAAATCTCAAACAATGAAAATGAAAATTTCACACGAAAAAGTTTTTTGTTAAAAATTAGAGATTTTTTGTTAAACATCACAATTATAGTTCAATTATAGTCCACTTTATGTCTTTAAACTTTAATCCAACGATAGAAATTTCATTGAAACTTTTGAAAACAAATAAAAATTTATCGTCCACGCCTTACTTATAATTTATACATAGATGAAGTTATTTTTAGGAGAAAAACACTAAAAAAGATTTCAATGCATGCTTCGACAAAAATCCTCGGAATTTTTAACGCAAATCTGATTTTTTAAAGGAAATTCATATATGTAGATCTTATTTATTTTTTAACACTCTAAGAGATAACATTAGAAAGCACAATTAGAGAAAACTTTTTAAAACTCAATACACTTGCTGGCTGATTAGGGAATTTGTGATATAATCAACAGCTGTATTATTTCTTTTCATTAAATTGACAAATACCTATTTTATATTTAACACTTGTCTACCTAGTTGAATGAAACACAAACACTATCAAATACTAAATATAATGAATTAGGTACTATGCGTAACTGGAGTATTTTTTTTCTCCTCGCGAAGAAAACGGAAAGCGACCGATCTCCACACACCGTGCCTCTCAAATGAAACTTATTTTGATGTTATTTTTTTTTCTCTTCTCGCAGACTATTATATACGTATGAACACCACAGCATTGCTGCTGCTTTTTTACTTTGAATTTTTTAAAAACAGACATTTCTTGTTTGACTTATTGACTTTTTAAAAACGTAGAAGAAACTTCCCAAATTTTTAACCCTTTCTTTATATTCTCTTTTTCTAATTATTATTTGCAATCAGTATTGATAAATATTTTTGCTTTCTTTTGAAATGTCTGAAAGATTTCTTTATTTCAATGAAAGTAAGAAATATTTTAAAAATCAGTCTGAAAAATTTTGCAATATATTGCAATTGAGCTTTTAATTTAGTTTTTATTTAAAGCACTTTATTTTTTTGAAAGAACTATCACTTACACTTTATTTAAAAAACTTTATAATAAATTCCTCTGAATATTCTATCTTGAACAGAGAAAAATATTTTTTTATTTCAACCTGTCTTCATGTTAATACCTATTTCATGAAATTCTTGAGTTTTGTGTAGTCCGACCGATCGGCGAATTTGATCCAGCATAATCCAAAAATCAGAAAACCCGAAAAAACTTTTGTTTTAAAGATGGCGCTTTTGAAAACACGAAAATATGTTTAAAGTTATATTCATAAGTTAGAAGTCTCAAAATAAATAGATATAGACATGATTTTACGAAATCGATTACAAATATTTGGAGAATAATAAGGAAATATGTATTCCCCTATCGCATACATTTAATATTTTGTTGATAAAAAGAGCTTTTCGAGATAATAAGGTAATCATTAATCATTCCTTTAAAGAATTAAAAATTACCTATTTAAGTTTATACTCGAAAATGAACTGATCTAAGTTAGGAATTGATAATATCTAAATAAATTGTTAAAAATATATATTTCATTGATATTTTATCATTGTATCAGACATCGAATATTTTAACATAAGTGAAACATTAGACCTTAGAAATTATGCATTAATAAGTAGTACCTAATATGATTAGATATTTGCTTTGTAAAAAACAATATATATTAAAACAACAAGAAATCATGTTTTACCAAATTTTTCTTATGATCTTGTATCCTTTCTGTGAATATATTTTGTTAAAATTTGAAGTCCCCATATGAATTACGAAATATCTACTTCAATTGAGTATATACATTGATTTATTATTATGAAAAGGTAATAATGAAAATATCTAACTAGATACTCGCCACAAAAAATTAACTATGACTTATTATTGAATGTTATCTACCACTCCCCTTCAAAATACTTTTATATCAATTGAAAAACTCCCGGCGGACTTCCATTTAAAGAAAGGCGGAGCTTAAAAGAAGAAAAACATTACGAGATCTTTTTCAAATTGTGTGAGATTTTTGAAGAAGCAAGAAATAACACAAATATCTCAAGATTTTTTATATCAAACATAAATTATTAGAAGTCATTTTTAGCAGGTTGTATAAGATAATGATATGCATGTTGTTAAATAAATTATGAATCATTATAAAGGACAGAAACAAAACTTTCCCTCTCAATTCACTCTTCCTAGTGTCTGTGATCGAGATTGATATGAATTTACATAATAACAATAATTATATGATTAGTGATAAATTCTAACTATTTAAAATTAACTCACCTATCTAAATGATTGTTACAGAATATTTAGGGGACTTCAGAAGATAGAAAATTTATTTGATGAACTTGAGTCAGTGGTTTATAATGCTACCATAAATATTTTGCGTTTTCTTCGGTTATATAGGTACCTATGTCTATTAAAATATATTAATAAAAACACATAATCCTTGAAGTCGAGAGTTAACCGACAAGAGATTCCTTCTCTTACAGTAGATAATATCTACTAGATATCCTACTTCCAGTATGAACCTTTCACTTTTTTTATATGGGATTCAATGCTTATACTTTCAATTATTTCTTTTAAAGAAAAACTAAAATCTTCAATCCCTGTTTAATTTTTAAAAGAATATTCCTTCATTATTATAACACTTTAATTATTAACACCTCAAGGAGAATATATCACTCATTTAAAAATAAATTGTGCCATCACTTCTGAACAATTCTTAAAAGTTTCTTTCAGTTTCTTAAATCACACATTCAAAAGTATTCAAAAATTTCTTCATTTTTCCCTCGGTTACTGTTTCAACTCTTTATTCTCATTCGTCAGTTAGACATAAATAAAATATTTTACCTTCGATTTATGAGTGATCTCTCAGAGTCTCTGAGTGAAAAATGAAATAAATCATTTTTTCTCACTGATAGTTTCAGATGGATCATTGAAGGGTACAGAGTGGTTTTATTCATTCTTGTGTAACGTAGTAGTATTAAATATAAGTAATTAACCAATCATTCAATAACTTTTCTTATACAAAAAAGGCTAAATTTGTAAAGTTTGTTAGAAACGTGTAAAAAATTTATAAAACGAAAAGTGATAAGCTGGGTGATACGTTTAATTTGTTTCATCACATAGTAAGTGAATTTTTAACAAAATTGTTAAGAAAAATCGAAATTATTATTAATATCGAAACCTGTTGATTGATACATCAACAATGCAATAAGAGATATCTTAATTAAAGTTAATCTTAAAAGCCCAAAGTGACAAGTGTTAAATGCGAATATTCTACAATGATCTTGAAAAGAACCTAAAGAAGCAATGATTATATGACCGATTCGAACAGGAAGAATATTGTTATTTAAAAGAAAACTAAAGTTTAGAAATAATAACAGCGCTTAAAGATTTTATGTGTTTATTGCACCACTTTTTGAAAGTCCGAATCACTACGTTCTTTCGGTTTCTATACCCTTTGTTGTATTCATTCTTTCCTGTCTGATCAAAGCGGCATTTTTTTTTACTTTTTTACTTTTGTGTTTTATGCCGTCGATGGGTTAACTAATTTATTTATATTCTACATACAGCATCTTGGAAAAAATAAATCTTTCATACTCTCGTATGTGAAATTTTACAGAATGTCTAACAGTTTTTTACATCTATGTATAGATACCTATTTTTCTTTCTTAAAAATGAAATAAAACTTTAAAATATTTGATGAATCTCTTTTAGGTACCTCTTATAAAAAAATCTTAAAAGAAAAAGTTTCAAACATTTTAAGTCATTTTGAATAATCTCAGCTTAGCTTTAACATAACTAATATTTCGTTTCTTATTTTACTTATGATTAATTTTTTCATTATATTTAGCAATATTTCTGTATCTCCTCAATGTCAATACAAGACAACTTTATTTCGTCTTCCATCGCAATCTTAAATTGACAGAGAGACTCTGGAGGAAAATATGAAATCTTTGCATATCGTTTTAAAGAAGAAAAAAATGATTAAATACAATAAAGCAAATATGCAGATTCCTTCATTGTACACACAAAAGTCTTTATTCGAAGCAACAACCATGATGATGAGTGAAAAAATAATATTTTTCTTTTCTTGCTTGTATATCGCTCTACAACGAATCTTAAAATGGCTTCACTCACCATTGAAACATACATGTCACAAATTAATGAGATAAACAAACAGAAAAAAAAACTTTTAAGATGAACATAAAAATTTCCAATAAATACTTAGGTACTTGTAGGCAAAAGAAAAAGAAACTAAACTTTTTCTTAAAGCGTGAGTTATTCATTTTATTTTTAATAATTTCTGTGTTTGAATGAGTAAATACTTTTTTCATCTTGAAAGTATATCACCATTAAGAATACATATTCCAGCAAATATCTACCTTTTAATATACACATTGTTGGAATAATGAAAGAAGAATTTACATACAATGTAGTTGGAAAAAGAATTCCTATGAAGTCAACCATTTTGAGTTGGCTTGTGGTACATATTTATCTAAATTTCGCAATAAAAAATGAACTGTCAAATTGTAGGAAAACTTAAAAATGGAGATCTAAAGATGATGCATTTTTAATATTTAACAAAATAGATAATTCAAGGTTTAAAACGTCAAAGCTAGTCAGGGAGATGAGGGTAAATCTGGATCAACATAATATTGAAAACGCAAACAAATTAAGCATTCGAAGATATTCGTAGAGTCAACAAGGTTTCTTGTTCGTTATTCGAAGGAAGAGTAAAAAACCAATAAAAATTGTTGCTTTTAAATATTTAAAAATTCGTAGACAAACACAAAAATACCATGAAGCCGTCCATCTTCGTGACTAAATGTTTTTGTCGTCTTCTTGATGAGCATTGAAATCATTTTATACTTCTTGTCAACGATGACTTCATCAATGAAATAATTGACTCGTTTTAATAAAGCATTTAAATATAAAATAAGATAGAAGTTTTAGTATTTAGAGGAGCTTTAATATTCAGTTACTGATATGTTCATGACGTATGAATAAAGTAAAAATCATATTAACTCTTTCGGAAGTTACTTCCAGAAGTTATAACTTATGATGTATACTGATAAACTTCGTTATAACAACACCTGTTTCTTTATTACTTAAACTTATAAAAGAAAACTTTGTCTTTTCCCATTCAGTGATGACAACCGCAGCTACAACTTCTTATACATTATCTTCAATCGATCTTAAGATTAATTCATCGTCTAATCCCGATGATTGTGAAAGTTCACCTGAAAACGAAGTTATGAAAATAAACGTTGAACCAGCTTCAAAAAGCTTCGAAATGGAACGTAATTTAATGGTAAGCTTGGATGATCGAGATCTTTGGTGTCGCTTTCAAAACTTAACAAACGAAATGATTGTGACAAAAAATGGACGACGAATGTTCCCAGTTGTGAAAATATCCGCTTCGGGACTTGATCCCGGTGCAATGTATTCAGTGCTTCTAGAATTCACGCAAATTGATTCACATCGTTGGAAGTACGTCAATGGTGAATGGGTGAGTTGTAGAATAATGAAAATATGATAAAATGATTGTAGATTAGCCATATTTCGAGAGTTTATGATAATAGCATCTGCTAATTTTTTTACGGTTTGTAACAATAAGACAAAAAAATCAATTAACATGTGAAGCACGATGATAAGCACCGTGTTGTGCATTCTAATTAAGAAATCATATTTGTTTTTTGAGCAGATATAATTTGCGAAAGAATTTACTTTATGTTTATATCTATGTTCGTAACAGGTTCCAGGTGGTAAGGCTGAAACTCCACCAAATAATCCCATCTACATGCATCCAGAATCACCAAACTTTGGTGCACATTGGATGAAAGAACCAATCTCATTTGCCAAGGTGAAACTTACCAATAAAGCAAATGGAAGTGGTCAAATTATGTTGAACTCGTTACATAAGTATGAACCACGAGTGCATCTTATCTTAGTCGGACCTGAACATCGTCATGTCAGAACGTATCCGTTTCCAGAGACGCAATTTATTGCTGTTACGGCTTATCAAAATGAAGAAGTAACTTCCCTAAAAATCAAATATAACCCATTTGCGAAAGCTTTTCTCGATGCAAAAGAGCGGCCCGACTCCGCATATGCACGTGAAAGTCAACCTTATTGGATCTTCCAAAATAATTTTTCCACAAGTTCGTCCCCTTATACGAGTTCTGAAAGATATACAGCACCTAACAGAACACCTCATCGCATCACTCCTTATACAACACAAAAACCTATTACAGTACCAATAAAATCTGTCACGAAATCTTCACCTCCTGCAATATCTCCCCAGTTTAGTCAAAACACAACACCAAGTAAGAGTATGAAATGCCTTCTTAAACTTCATGTATCATTAAATTATAAATTAAATCTTAGGTTTTACACTTCTTGAGCCAACAAATTTTTCTTCTTCTTATCAATCTCCGTCATCATCATGGCAGCCTTCAATGTCATCTGGGTCGTCATATTGGACCAATCAAATACCATGCAATAGCAATTTGTCTTCGACATCAACTATTGTTCAAAATGTGTCACCAACAAGATCGCCGGGATCGCCAAACTATGTTCCCCCATCCACAACAACTTACCACCACTTAACTACTCAAAGTCAAACTTATACACCATCAACAGAGATTTTTCAAGCTAATGGATCACCACAATATACCACTCCCCAAGTGCCCATCGTTCCTGTGCCACAAAGTCATCAACTGTACTACCCTCCATCTCTTTCACCAACTCATCAAATCTACAATAATGTTATAAGTCCAAGTGGTTTTAGTAACTTTGGCTATGGCACAGCTGGATGGCATGGTGGCAGTGATTACGGAATTTTTCAAAGTTCTTATCATTATCAGCCCACTGCTGAATATATTCCTTTGAACAATGACCAAAAGTAAGTGAAAGTTGTCAAAAGTAATCTGATCAAAAAAAAAAAGTTTTTCTTATTAAAGCTCTTACAGCAACTGTGATCAGCCATTATCTGAAGCATCTGAGAAACCTCAAACTGATTCAGATGCTGCTGCTTTACCAACATATCAGAATGTATCAAATGAGTGTATACATGAGACATCATCGTGCAATCGATCACCGTCAAATGATGTTAACAGTAGTAACAAAAATAATTCTTTTAATAATAAGAAAAGTAATTGGATTTCTTCGATGACTGAAGCTACAACAACATCGAAAATTGTGTAGTTAACTTTAAAGAATGACTCATGTATGATTGCTATGAATATAGGTACTGAAGTTGTTGACAGATTTCGTCCGTGAATTATCCCCCTTAGATTTATTGTATCATGTTAGATCATAAAAAATGAAAAGAAAAATAGTGGAGACAGAATGACGAAATAAACAAAAAGGGTTGATGTACAAAATATAAGATTTGTTTATTTTTCTTCTTTAAATATTCTCATTTATGCGTCTTTTTGTTTCTGTATTTTTTTATCAATGCAATTTGTAAATATATTTTATGTTGTGAAAGAGAAAAACAGAAAGGAAAAAAATTAAAACATTATTGGCTTATTCTTTACAGTTTCGAGAACATAGTTGGTGAACCTTTTAAGAAACTTTGGATATTCTTTTTTATAAACAGCACGTAAAATTGTGGGCTTAACCCAGCCTCCAGGGTTAACGGAGGAACAATATGCGATTTTGCATGTGAGATCGTCGCGTGTCATTTGTTCACCACTTTTCAGGGGCCGTACAAATGTTTGGCAAAGCAGAATCACAGTCAAGAAGATTCTTATACATTTTCCTTGATTAGCAGGCTATAAGAAATAAAGAATGAATAAAAATAAAAGGAATATCTTTGATCCATGGAGATATTAGAACTAACCGGATAAAAAGGACTATCAGTTGAGTGATTACAAACAATCCATGCATCGTGTGCATCTGGCTCAATTCCTTCTTGAATCGATCTCATATGCGACCAGAATAAAGCGTCACGTTGATTTGCTGGCCATATTCTTTTATGTGTTTGAAGAAAAACGAGTGTGTCTTTTGAAATCTCTTCTAATATATGACAATCTTCAAGTGTTGTCTCCCAATCGTTACGATAGGCTGGATCGAAAAAATAATGACACATTTCTCTGGCTGTACATCCTTTGATGACATGACATGACTTTAATGGATCCATTACCATTCCATCAATTTCTTCTTCTCTTCGATACATCTTCATTTCCCCTTCTTCTGCAAACAATTGCCAGCCAGAGTTATCATCGCTAACTCCTTGTAAGGCGTGATGCAATTGTTCATCACAAACTTTTGATATTTCTGGCCATAGTGAATGATACTGTGCAAGCTTTCCGGTTCCAAAATCATCATCTTCATGAGCAATTGGAATGACATGGCCAGCTTCAATTTGCGTTTGTTGTTTTTGCAACTTTAATTTCACTCTTATCTGTCGTACTTCTTCAATCTTCTCAAGACCCGTTTCGACAGCATCAAAAAATTCATCTTCAGGTATCGTTGAATGTGGACCTTCTTCTTCCATGTCTGGACCAATTGTTGAAGCTTTTTTATATCTAAAGAGTTCATCCTGACTTTGTCTGAAAATCATAACTTTTACAAAATAACATTTCACAAATTAATATCGCATTTAAACTCACTTTAATTCATCTTGTAATTTTTTTCGCTTTTCAAACTCTTTTTCTAGTTTCTTGTTCAGATCTTCTTCTTTTGAAACGATTAATTCGAGACAGTTATTGAGTGTTGATAAAACGACTGATGTTGTTTCACGGAATGTTATTGCTTCGCCTTTAAAATCAACTGCTTTTGGACCACCACATTCAGTATCTACATTTATAATTCCTTTAATTGAACAAAAGTCGAAGTAACGTTGAAGAGTTGATATTTGTTCATTCAGAATGTTACGATATGTGTCGATCTCGTCAAGCTTTTCTTTTATATTGCGACTATTGTGTTTAAGAGAACTTCCGCTAGTAGTCGATAATGTATTTGATTGTATCGAAACAGTACTACCATGTCGTTTTAATTGGTTCAACTCATCCTCGATCTATATTTGCAACATTGAAATTAAATTAATTAAGTTATTAAAATCAAATAGAAATGCAATCAGCAAATTTTAATTACGTGGAATGATTTTAAAACTTCAACCCAATTCTTCTTGTCTTCTGGATTTTCAGCTCGAAGATACCAAACTAAATTATTTACAGAGATATCGAATCGACAATCGTCAATGTCAGATTCTTTAACTGTGGCCTTCTCCAAACAAATTGCACCACGACAGCCAAAATCAGAATCTTCTTCTGATTTGTAGTACGATAATGTCGAATCTTTAAGGACAATAAATCGCAACTGCCACCCATGAATATCTGTAATTGAACAATGATTTGAAGTCTATAATTATGTTTACAATTTTCAATTCATTCTAAACACTTACAATTTGTCCATTTCATTAAAAATCCTTTCAATTCCGCGGAATCTATTGAGTTTTCATCTATGTCACTCTCATTTCGAGATTCTTCTCCTGTCATTGCTTGAAAATGTTAAAAAGTAGAGTAAATACAAGAAATTTTAAATCTTCCCTTCTTTGATTACTGCTTAAAATCTCTTCAAATTTTTTTTTTTTGTGTTTTGGTTGTGTGCGTTCAGTTGACCTTTTATTATTCTTACATAAATGTTCGTTGAAAGCTACTTCAATCAATTGAAAGTCAATCTACTCAATATCATTTTATCTAATGAAAAAAAAATAATTAAACATTCAATTCTACATACCTAACTATACTTATTATAGTATGTAACAATTGTTTTAATAATTTTTTATGAGTATACATGTGGAATATTTTGAGATATTGAGATATTAAATGGAAACCTTACACACGATATTTGCATGTTTGATAAAAAATCAAATGATGAATAAATAATTAGGTATAATACCTGGAATAAAATTTGTAACTAATTATTGCAACATTAATAAAAAAAATATGGAAATACTTTGAGAGAACATAATATTTATTTTAAACTTTCTAGATACTTATTACATATCTAAATGATGACTTAGAGTTGTTGTATTTGAAGACTTCTTAATATTAAATATGAAAGTTAAGTTAGTTAAGGAAAATGGAATTATCTAAATTTTTACTTAATTTTCACTAAAGTAAGGATGAGCCATGGCCTGTTCAGCATTTGCTCGTAAAGTAGGACGACAAACAAGAAGTTTCTGAAGTAAATCTCTTCCTTTCATATTCAATGGTACAACTTGACTCCAATTGCCAATGTGACAATACACTACAATAGAAAAGATGATAAATTTGTTCATTTTCTCATTATAATCTTACATGTAAAAGGTTTGTAATCAGGTAATTGTGTCAGGCCAGGCCAGGTCTCTTCAGTAGGAGTGCCAAGCAATTTGAAGATTCTCTTTAATTGATCATCTACATCTGAACCCGGAAAAAGAGGGCGCCCTGCATTGGCAAGCTCAGCGAAAATGCACCCAGCAGACCAACAGTCAATGCTTGTTGTATATAATTTAGCTCCGAAAAGAACGTCTGGTGGACGATACCAAAGTGTAACAACCTCTGCTGAATAACACTTAACTGGTATGCCAAATGCACGAGCAAGTCCGAAGTCAGCTAACTTTAGCTCATTATTTTTATTAATAAGCAGGTTTTGAGGCTTCAGATCACGATGCAACACATTGTGACTGTGACAAAAGGCGAGTCCCTTTAGAAGCTATAATTGTGAATTAATTTATTTTTCAAGTATTATGAAAACTTAAGATTATTATTCATACCTGATACATGAATGATTTGACAATTTCAGGAGATATTTCTCCATTCAGTGAATCGAAATATTTTTTCAAATCTTGATCACAATGCTCAAAAACCAAAGTTAATTTCTTATCACTATGTAGAACGTCATATAAGCGAACTATGTTTTTATGTTTAAGTTCCTTTAGTAAGCATATTTCCCGCAACGCACTGGAAGGAACACCTTCGTCATCTTCGTCTGAAATGTAATGAAAAATATTTTTAATTACAAAGATGTTAATTCGATAGTAATGTCAACTTCGAGATAAGCTTTTGAACTTCCATACCTAATCGAACTCGTTTTAGCGCTACAATTTCTAATGTTTCTCTATTCTTTCCTTTAAATACTGTTCCATACGTGCCTTCACCAATCTTTTCGAGTTTTTCGTATTTCTGCATTTTTAATATTTCTTTTGATTTTCTCTTAGAGAAAATGGATTCAATTCAATTAAATCACTGCAGGTTTTTCTTATCTCTTTTTTAAAATATATGAAAGAAATTAATTATAGCTTCTGTAATTACACAGTCAATATGTTCTGAAATGTATTAACTGTGTTAAAGAGAGTACTTTCTTCATGAATTGCTTTTAAATTCGCTCTATTAGTTTATTTTCACAAAATACAATTCAAAGCATCAATGTTTGCCCCCCAGCCTAAATTTAGATTCGAAAGGGCGTGCAAGTAGTGTAAATGTTTTTCCTTTATTCACTTGACTTCTTGTTTCATCCTTTCAATTTTCAGTTAATCTTGGAGAAAATTGTAATTCTTAATTGCACTTTAAATATTATTTACGATTTATTATTAAAAAAGTAAGAATTTGCTCAATATTTTTTCATTGAGATGTTATGATTTTATTAATTTCATTAACTATATCATTTCGTTTCACCCATCTCAATGCTTTAAGTAACATGTCATAAGATTTGTATTGTCTTTCATATTGATCGAGGAAAATAATAATATTAGCTCTTGAATCCTGATGTCGTATTAGAATTTCATCAATTTGATTATCCGGAAACATCAGATATCTGGTTATTTTCTTGAATTCATCTTTTATAGATAAGTTATTGGCAATGACACGAAAAATTCTTTTTCTCCTTTCATTTTCGCTTGAATCAACAGCTGATGGTGCTGATGAAATTTGTTCATCGCTAATTTGTTTGCTTCTTCTTCTGTCAGCTAATGAGGAAATGTTTATAATAATTGGATAAAAGAAGTATTAAATCAACTGACCATATTTGTTATTTCTAACATCTTGTGTTGATTCTAACATTAATCGTTGATAAATCGCTAAAAGCTGGGAGAACTCGTTGTTTGATATTTTTTCAGAAAATATTTTCAGCGATTCCATCTGTTCTTGATTTGAGCTTGATGTTGGCCATAAACTTTTACGAATAATTATTGCAAACAAATCTTCAATATTTTTGACTTTTTCCAATTTTCTATTAGATTCAATTCGATCACTGAATTCGTGTTTCATTTTAGGCAACAAGTCATGCCTTTGTTGACACTGAATTAGGATAATTTTACAAAGTCGTTTTAAAATTTCTTCGCAATTCATTGAAAATGGAATTGAATCTCGAAATTGTTCCATAATTAATATTAGGTATCTATATGAAGTGTTGAAACTTCAACAATATTGTTATGGTCAGTCAGACATCACTCAATACGTCAGAAATATTTAGTGATGGATTCTTATCTTAATTCCATTAAATCTCTTTGTAACTCATTTCATTCTTTCATTTTGTCCAAGCACACATGTGTACATATTTATGTCTAAGATATTTTATAATTAAATTTAAATGTCAGCAAGTAGGTATCTTGTAAAATGAACGAAGAAAAATATTGAAAAGATTTCAACTGTTTTCTAATATTTAAAAATTGACAGTTCTATTACACACCTAATATTTAATCCGTCATACTTACACCGCACGTACGGAATTGTTGAAATAATGAAAAACACAGGATCGCAGGCGTCATATGACCAGTCATTATATGAAATTCAAACACAAATCAATTATTCTCTAAAATTATTAATAATATTTAAAAAAATTATTTATTAAAATCTTAATCATAGCTTTTATCTCACTTATTGTTACTGAATTTAAACCTCAGATTTGAATTTCTTCTACATATTTTAATGAATCTGTGAAGAAAATTGTGGAGCCGGAGTTTCAGTTCTTTGTTTTACACCATATTTCTCGTTTATACTACCATTTTTATTTAATAACGTTTAATAAATACTATAAAATGCGAATACAATATGCACGCGATGCATAATATTGTAATAACACTGATAATATAGAATAAAAAGTATAAAAGTCATCAGAAACTTGATTAGATTTAATTTTAAGCGGTTTAAACTTTGTTTATAATTTTGTGAATCAATCGATTTCATTATTATAACACGAAAAAAAATGTCTACAACTGATAAAATTCTTTATCCAAATCAATTGAAACCCGTTACCGAAGATTTACGCGACGATGAATTGATCCGTAGATTAAAGGTTTGTATAAGAAAACTCGTGTGTAAACTATTGTATCAAAATGTTTATTATGCTTCTATTTCGGCATGATACGCAGGCATTGTCATTAACACTGCAAGCGATGGGCCAAGATGATGAGAACTTCAGTCGATACACACCACTGGCTGTTCATCTTGTAAAAGATTTTTTCTTGAGCCACGATTCCAAGGACGTTCAGCTTCTGGTCGCTTGTTGTATTGCTGACATTCTAAGAGTGTTTGCACCAGAAGCTCCATACAAGGAACCTGATCAAATAAAGGTGCATAGTCAAAATACAATAGCTAGTGATGAATAAAATTTAATTACCTAAAATACTTTTAGGAAATTTTTGAATTCCTCATTCGTCAACTTAATGGATTGAAAGATCCAAAAGATCCTGCATTTAAGCGCTACTTTTACCTTCTCGAGAACCTCGCCTATGTAAAGAGTTTCAATATGTGCTTTGAGCTTGTTGAGAGTCAAGAAATCTTTTGCTCTCTCTTTAGCTTGATATTTAAGATTGTTAACGATGAACACAGTGAGAAGGTGAAATCATTCATGCAGGAGATTCTCGTTCCTCTCCTATCTGAGTCAGATTCAATATCTAATGAGCTTCTGGATATTATTTTTATAAACATCATAGAGCCAAATAAAACACAAAGGAAGAATGCTTACAATCTAGCAAAAGATCTGATTAAGAAGACCACAGACTCGCTAACGATGTATGTACAAGCATTTCTGAATGAAGCATTAATGCAGGATAAGCCTGACAAGTCATATCAGAGTTCTAAACGAATCTACGATCTCATCTACGAATTAAATGTTATTGCACCTTCCTTGTTGCTTTCAGTCCTTCCTCAACTTGAGTGCAAAATTAAATCATCAAATGAAGGTGAACGTTTAAAAGCGGTCGCACTTCTAGCACGAATGTTTAGTGAGAAGGACTCAAAATTAGGGAAGCAACATACAGTTTTGCTCAATCATTTTCTAGGACGCTTTTTGGATATTGCTGTTGCCATTCGAATAAAATGCGTTCAAAGTACGATGCACTTTTTAGTGAATCATACGAATCTTCGTCCAGAAATTATAAACGTGTTAAATGGTCGACAACATGATTCAGATGAGAGTGTTCGCTATGAAGTTGTTAACTCAATTGTGGAAACAGCAAGACGCGACTATATAATTGTAGCAGAATCACCGGAACTTTTAGCGATTCTTAAGGAACGCTCACAAGATAAAAAATTTAAGATTCGACGAGCTGCCCTTAATGGGTTGGCTTACATTTACAATAAGCATCTACAAGCAGTTCAAGCGAGTGAAGCAACTATTGAATCGCCTCTTGATACAGCAAATTGGATTCAGATCAAAATTCTTAATGGTTATTATCATGCAACTCTTGAAGATCAACTGTTAATAGAGCGACTTCTAATCACAAACCTGGTTCCGTACACACTTCCAGCCAGTGAAAAAATGAAAGCTCTTTACAAACTCTTTGCGACGATTGATGATCATGCGATGAAAGCTTTTGTAGAATTGCAAAAAAACCAAATGAAAATGCGTAAAACTGTGATGGATTGGATTAAGCTGCACAAGATCAAAGAAACGCCTGAAACACAAAAGGAAGTGACAAAGAAAATGAATATGTTAATGAAACTTTTTCCCGATCCTCTAAAATCACAAGAATATCTCGTAAAGTTTTCAGCTCATTTACGAAAGGATAAAATGATTTTGATGGATATGGAAACCATATTGAGACGAGATGTTGACAATAAAGCGTGCACTGAGGCAATGACGAGCATTTTGAAGAAACTAGGAACACCAATAATGACGAATATTTATTACAACACAGTTAAGATTCTATTAAGTCGAATTGCAAGTGTTATGATAGATCGTGAAGGTATTGAAGTTCTCATTCAATTGATTGAGAGTCAGTTAAATCTTGCAGTGAAAATAGCAAAGAAGCTTGAAGATGGCCACGAAGTTGATGATGATGACGACGAAGATGATGAAGATAAGCCCGACAATGCAGTTTTAGATAATCTGAAACTGAAACCTGAAGACACTGGATCCAAAGGATTAAATTTGTTGACAGTGTTGATTTATCTGTTTCCAGCACACTTTTTACACGACTCAGTACTGCGTCCAATGATGGCATTGCTGAGCTTCGAGTTGAATTTTGTAGCTGCTAGCATTTTCAAAGCATTGACACATCTCGGAAGATTCAAATCACTTATCGATTCACATCCTGAAGTTCTTGAAGATCTTGCACCAATTTGTAAACATTTTGCATTCAATGGAACACCAAAACAAGCAAAACATGCAATTCGATGTCTCTTTGTTAATTCAAATTCAAATTCAATTACAAATGCAGATAAGGATAATGAAAGCGTTGAAGAGACGAACAGGAAAAGAATCAAAAAACAAATTGATCACATTTTTCAAGAAATTGTTGACGCAACAAATCAAAATTTAAATGTATCATCAGAACATTATCGAACGGCAATTGTGTCATTCGGTCACATTGCATATAACCTGCCTGAACGATTTAATATCCCATTGAAGAACATAGTGTCGAGAAAGATAGTAAAAGACTTGTTAATTGGCGATCTTCCTGATGTTCGTCAACATAAAGCTGTTGGTGACTGGTGTGATGAAGAACAATTGTCGGAAGAAATTCGTTGTCGTGTTGAAGGATTAAAAGCAATTGCAAGATGGCTTGTTGGGATGAAAGACAACGTAGTCGCAGCACAGAAAACTTTTAGAATGCTATGTGCATTTATAAATAAAGCTGGCGATATCCTTGATAAAGGTCAATTGAGTGAAGCAGAGAAAGCTTGGCTAAGAGTGGCTGCTGGCAATGCGATGTTGAAGATATGTGAACAAAAAGGTGTCGGAGATGAGTACAATGCAGAACAATTTTTGACTTTATCTACTTTGATGGTAAAAAAGAAATTTGATGATAATTTCAGTTCTAATCTTGCTTTCTTCCAGAACGATCCAGTTCTCCAAGTGCGTGAATTGTTCTTAAAGAAACTTCATAAAGGTTTGTACAAAGGAATTCCTCATAAATGTCTACCACTCGATTTTATGGGAATCTATTCGATGTGCGGTCGTGAGACTGATAAAAAGTAAGTTTAATTAACACTTTCCTTTTAAATTCATTTTTTATTTGTTCTGTTGTTCAGACTAGGAGAACAGATGAAGAGTAATTACGAGGTGGATGTGAACCATCGACGAGAATATGTAAAAACATTTTCCAACGGTGGAAGTAAGAGAAATTTCTTTAGTTAATTTCCATAATTTAATTTTCTATCTTCTCACCAACAGTTGAAGGCGCTTTGGGCCAATTAGCAAATATTTTACCTGACTACATCCTGCCCTTCGCTGTGACAGTTTTGTCACACAGCAATCTTCTTGAAGATCGAACGAACATTGACGAGCTGAAAATTGCTGAGAAATGTTTAAGTTTTATTCTTGAGCCGCTCATCAACAACAAAGATACTTTCTGCTTTAGTCTTTACAAAAATATGATTGAAAAAATGAAAAATGCCAAAAGCGCCTATCAGCCACACAATGATACCATCAATGAAGTAAAATATTCTTTTGAATCATGCTTGCTAAATGAAATTATCATTTTTTAATTATTTTTTCCAGAAATTATGGACACTCTGTGACCTCTCATTACATCTCATTCTTACAAAACTTAAGAACGTGGATACGCGCGAGTATTCACTTGACCAAGTAAACATTCCTCGGATGTATTTTCAAGAGCAAGATACAAACTTTAAGAATGAGCACAACTACTTGTCATTGGAATTTAAAAGTCTTTTAACAGCTACATCTACGAACGATTCTGGAAATGCCACTGTAAATGCTGGACCAGCACCAAAACGTTCTGGAGAAATTGTCGTGGCATATGATCAATCTAAACGGCTGAGAAACGCTTAAAGATTTCATTAAGAAAATACATTTAATTCATAATTTCTCTTTTCCTTTCATTTATAATCAATTTTTTTTCGTGGTTTTCTTTGAATTTATTGCTCTTAATGTTATTCGTATTAAAAGAAATTGTGTTTCATATTTAACTGAAGCGTCGGTTTGTGTTTTTATGTTTTTAATATATTTAAGAACTTCAAAGCTCCATTATGGTTTTTACTTTATTTGGATCAAATTGTCTCTTTCCTATGTTGTAGATATAGATTTTTTACAAAAACATAACATACCGGCCTCTTAATTTATCATTAATTTTCATATCGTTTGCTGTAAAGGCACCAAAAATCTTTCACGTGATCTTCAACAGGAAACGATATTTCAATATTTTTTTTCTTCTCTTCGATTGAATGGATTTAAGTTACAGAGTAGATTTAGAATTCGTTTGATTAATTTTAAACATTTAGTATTAGTTTACTTTCAAAGCATTAAAGTTTAAATTAAAACATGGAATTGTATAGATAAGTTGATTAAACAAAAATACAAACTTTTTTCTTCCTCATTTTCGTTTTTCTTTGGATCAAATAAAATCACTGGAATTAATAAACAGTTTAGGAGAAAATAAAACATAAGAAACATCGAGTAATTCTTTTCTTTTTTTAATTTAAATGGAAAATAAAACTTGAAAATTACATTTATGAAGAAACTACATGAGCTGAATTAAGTCTTGATTAAGATGATTCAACTAGGAGATACAAACATTTTGAATTCGGAGCTTCACGAATGACGCCTTTAATTCGAACAGTATTTGATGTTGTTTTTGATTGACAAGGTACGGTAGGAGCAATTCGCATTGGGGTTGACTTTCGACGAGAAGTTTCATTAGAGAATAAAGTTACATTCTGCTGTCGACTAAGAGACATCGAACCATTACTTATCGAAGGATTATATTTAGCAACAGAAGAATCTTGATCACTGTCTCCATCGGATCTGTAAAGAAATAAAAATCTTTGTAAATTAAGATATCAAAGAAAATTCAACGATCTCAAATTGACTTTTTCTTCTTCGTGTACTTGCGTTGAAGCTTCTTTGACTCATTCCTTAGTTTAATTTTAGACGATAATTTAATTTTTGAAGCAGTTTTAGTTATTTTCGAGGAAACTGAACACTTTTGATCATCTATCGATTGGAGATTTTCTTTATTTGAATCTTTCATTCTTTTCTTGTATTTTCTTTTAGATTTTTCAACAGAAAAGTTATTTTGATTTACTGAGCTGATAATTTATTAATTACCTATTATAGGAATTTAACAACGTTTTCAATGACTTACCTGTAAATCAAATCATCTAAAATTTCAGCAGAAAATTTTTCAGCGTTTTCATTGCTATTTTTCAGTCTTCCACCAACTTCAATGTTTGACATCTTCATGAAGAGTAAAAATGAATTTAAAATTTTAATTGTCAAATGTTACTTTGACGATGATTATTTTTTACCTTAGACTTTTGTGAAAATGTTTCATTTGGGATTTTCGAACGTCGATGTCCTTTGTACAAATTGACATCAAGGCCATCTTGGCGTATGATATCTGGGAGAATTCTTCTACGAGCATTTATAAACCAATTATTGATTTGAAGATTCGTCAAACCAGTTTGACGTGATAGCATCACTTTTTCTTCTTCTGTTGGATATGCGTTGAAACGATGATTCCACAGCCAATTTTTAAGAACATCGACTGCGTTTTTTGGCAGATTTCCCCGCTTCCTGCGTTTATAATCTGATCCATAAATTTCATTTCCATAAGAAAAAACTTGATCTGATTTGATTATTTCTTCATTTGTAACATTGTTAAGTTGTTCATCGTTAATGTTTCCACCACTGTCAATAAGGCTGAGGTTCTCTAAAAATTTGTAAAATGGAAATTTGAATTTAATATCAATAAATATCACCAATAAAATATCTGTTTCAGCCATTTTTTATGTGTCAATCAACAACTAAAGAAAGAGAACATTTTTTTCCATAACTACAGTTATTCTAATCAAAATCTTGTATTGTAAGATGTCTAAAGGACTTTCATCTTTACAGCAAAAATCTATGACTATGTTGATCAATTTATGTCATCCTTTTGGTTGTTTGACATGTCATTGTTTGACACAAATCTGACATTTCTTTTGACAACACAAACGTTAAAAATTGAAGGTGGATAAAATAAGGAATTGAATATATTAAAAATAAGAGCATATTTACTGCTGTTTATTTCTATAGTTATAAAGGTAATGTTTACCTGCTTTCACTTGTGATTTTTCCATAATTCAAATTAAAATTCAAATAAAGGAAATGTCGAAGGAAAATTCTTTCTTAACATTCAAACACCTCCAATTCTGATTTGTTTCGTTTATTATAAATTGCAATTATATTTAAATATTGTTTAATAAAATGGAGTCACAATTTTAGCACACTGAGAAATACAAGATGTGAATAACTTAACCACTGCTGTTTACAATATTTATTTAAAGGCAAACGAGTTTTTTAATTTTTTGGTCAAAATATAAGAGATGATGTATATTACAAGAGAAAAGTATACTAAAACAGAACTTCGAATTTTAGTTTGTTATGAAATTGTGACAAGGTTTTAGTGAAATAAAGTTTGTCGACAATTTTGAAATTGATTTGGGAAAGAATTAAATTATTCATTCAAAATGGACTTACTGGTAAGTGAAAAGAACCAACATATCAGCAATATTTAACAATAAGAAACAATGCGATTTCCATTTAGAACCATTGTTTAATGTTAATTTTCATTGATGATGTGGCCAATCATAATTTTTTCCTTATTTTTATTATATCAGGAACCAACTCTTTATACAATCAAAGGCATGGTGATACTGGATAATGATGGCAATCGTATTCTTGCTAAATATTATGACAAAAATGTTTTTCCAACTGTAAAAGAGCAAAAGCAATACGAGAAAAATCTCTTTAATAAAACACATCGTGCAAACGCCGAAATTATTATGCTTGACGGACTCACTGTGGTCTACAAAAGCAATGTGGATATGTTTTTCTATGTAATGGGTGGAAAACAAGAAAATGAACTAATATTACTATCAGTTCTGAACTGTCTATTTGACACTATTAGTTTGATTCTCAAAAAGAATGTGGAGAAACGTGCATTGCTTGATAATCTTGATGTTGTAATGCTGGCATTCGATGAAATCTGTGATGGAGGGTGAGAAGTTAAAAGTTTAATATTCTTTAAATCGCTTTTTCCATTTTATCAATTATTTTAGAATAATTCTTGATGCAGATCCTTCCAGTGTACAGAAGCGAGTTGATTTGCGCAATGATGAGCTTCCATTGGGAGAGCAAACTGTAGCACAGGTAACTAATGCTCTACATGGATTATTTTGGTAGAAGTGATAAATTGGAGAAAGTCAACAATGTTAAAGTATAAAAAATTCAAATGTCAATTCCATTCAAATCATATTATTCTTTAGAGAAATTAATAATTAGTAATGTGCCATCAAAACTACCTATTATTTTTCAAAGAAGAGTTTCGACAATTCATGATTTGATTAAATATTTTAATATAAAAATCATCATAAAAGGAAAATATGTAAACAAAAAGAAAACTAACAAATAGTAGACAAATAATTCTTAATAAGTAAACATGCATTTTTCGTAGATAGAATTAACTTAAACTTTCTTCTTTGATTTTTCAGGTTTTCGCTTCAGCTAAAGAGCAACTTAAGTGGAGCTTATTGAAATGAAAATTAATTCTAATATTTCCATCAATTTTCTTTAATATTAAGCTTTCAATTTTTTATTGTCTTGTTCTATTTTATCAATAAATTATGTAGGATTTTGAAAAAATAAAATTTAACTTTTGTCTATTGCTAATGAAACTTTGATTTTCGTCAACATCTTTGCTTATAAAATGTATGCTTTTTCAAAAGAAAAACAAATGTTTCAGGAAATTATTTATTTGTTAACATCTTGTTTTATTCTGTATTTATTAAATAATAATGTTTTATCATGGGACGATCCCCAACAAAATAAAACCTGGTCATGATTTTTGAACCATTATTTCTGTTTATCTCAATTTCCTCTTCACTCATAAATCTATCTAATAGGTATTTGTAACTATGTTATAATTAGATCGATGGAAATTAAAAATAAATTTTCATTAAAAATCGGCGGAAAACATTTTCGAACATAATTTTCGAATTGATAAATAGTAAACAAACAATCAACCTAGATACCTATAAATAATAAATAATGTTTAAATCTCAGTTATTATTGAGAAATTATTGCAAAGTTATTAAATTACTTAAAAATGATAAGAAAATAGTTATCAGAAATATCACATCCAAACTTCAGGAACCTGAATTGACTTCTAAAATTCCTCCGGGTCGTGGGACAAAGAAAATTTCGCCATTTGGTTACCTGCTTTTGGTAATGTTCTATTAGACTTGCAATGATTGTTAAATATATGAAGAATTACTTTTAGTCTATTCCTATTACGGCATTTGGATTGGGTTGCTGGCAAGTGCAGAGAAAATCATGGAAAGAAGACTTGATCAAACAATTAGAATCACAATTAAGTCGAGCTCCAGAAAATCTTCCTGATGACTTGGAACACCTTGAATCGATGGAATATCAAACAGTTGAAGTTGAGGGACATTTTTTTCATGAAAAAGAAATGTATTTAGGTCCAAGAGGATTAATAAAACCAGATGCCATTGAATCTGGCGGTGGTTTGATTTCACAAAGAAATTCAAGTTCTGGTTATCTTGTGATTACACCATTCAAGCTTGAAAATCGAAACGAGACAATTCTTGTAAATCGTGGTTGGGTGTCACGTCAGAATTTGGATCCAGAAAAGCGAGCGAAAGGACAGATTCAAGGCACAATAAAGCTTCACGGAGTTGTGAGACTTCCAGAACCTCGTCCTCAATTCACACAAAGTTCTAATTCTAACATGTTTCTCTATCGTGATTTTCCAAAAATGTGCAGTTTAAGTGGCGCTGATCCATATTTTTTGGATGCAAAATATGAATCAACAATACCTGGTGGGCCAATTGGAGGTCAAACACGTGTCACGTTGCGTAATGAACATTTATCTTACATTGTAACGTGGTACTCACTTTCAGCGTTCACAGCCTTTCTTTGGTGGAAGCAAGTAGTCAAACGTGTACCAATTTAGTTAAAAAAATGAGTTATATCTAGTTAGAATATTCAAACAATAAAAAAATAATTTTTGATTTATGAAGTTAAATAGGCAAAATTATTTTGTTGTAAAACAAAGTTTTATTAGACACTTTGAGAAGTTATAAATTTATTCTGTTCTACTTTCGAATGAAGTTAAAGTTTCATAGACTTTCATTGCTGTCTCTCCCGTCTTCTTCGCTACTCCAAGCATTACGACATCCATTTTCGTCACATTTTAATTTTCCACCAATAACATTTTTCTTCTGTTTGAGAAGTTTTCCAAGATCAATCACTTGCTGTGTGGGTTTCTCATCAAACACCTCATCATCTTCATCGCTTTCGTCAGTGCTACTTGATGCAAAATCTTCCAATGAATGTAATCCTATGTTTTCCTCGGATAAACCTTTTGAATTCCTCTCCTCAATTGGTGCAGCATCTAGAAAGTTGACAAAATTACCTTTTATTCAATTGCCAACTATTTATCAAATACCTTTTGTTGATATTAAAATCAACAGCACAAGCATGAAGAAATTTAAAACTCTACTGTTTTTTGTCACCATCTTTAGGATGATTTCTGTGTAATGAATTAATTTCTTGGTATAATTTTTAAACGTGTGTGAGAATTATGACGGAAAAATGTCTGTTTCAATTTGTTTTTCATCATTACGAACACTGCTCAATTGAGCAAAAGTTAATTCAAATAAATAGTTATGTTTCCTTAAAAGTTTTTGCTCGTCGAACTTGTATGAAGGCATTTGGAAGGTAAATTAGTAAAACACTTGAATAGACAATAAAATAATTTAGTTCATTCTTACGAACTTTCAAAAAGGCTAAAATGCTTCAATCCCAAATATAATAATCTAAAGATCCATCATCAACTCAACATACAGAACTCAACATACAGAAAAAAGTAACAAAATCTCTGGAAATGCATAAATTATTATAAGTAAATTGTTCGATGATCTGCACAAAACTTGACCACAGATTTCTCGAAGTAAGGCTTAAATTTGATTGTTGGAAGTAAAATTTTATTAAAAATAAAAAAAAATACAGAGAAATTGAATTGATTGGGCAATTTGTAATTATCTACCTATATTTTGAATTAAAATTCTTAATTTTCTTTAAGATTTTAGGAATGCAAAACTAGATAACCGTCAAATTAAAATTTTACATGGTTGTTGAATTAAACATTTAGTTTAGGGAGATTAATGATCTTTCACATTACTCTTAATTCACACGAGTAGCACTGCTGAAATCATTAAATACGTGCAACTGGTTTAAGTTCTTGAATAAAAAGAGATAAAAATAATTTGAAACTGAATCGTAGAATTCTATCTAATGATGAATTATTTATTGTTGAGAGATGCTTCCGACTGATCTCATCAATCCTGGTCGGTTAAGTTTCTTCCCGATTGTAATGACATGAAATCCAACATTTTGAAGTTCTTCGTGATTGACAATCTTTCGTCCATCAAATAGATAAGCTGGTTTAATCATCAACTTATAAATACGGTCATAATCCATTTCAATGAACTCATCCCATTCGGTACAAATGACAATAGCGTGAGTACCAACAACTGCATCGTATGGGTCTGTGAAAATTTCAATTGACTTTTTCACTTCTTCAGGGTTGTCTGTCACACGTGTTGATGTGAGATCAGCGATGATTTGAGATTTCTCAACCTAAGCGTGTGAAAAAGAAAGAAATTTTTATCATTTATTTAATTTTAGAGGCCACAAATTAAGTTGATGTAATGAATCAACTTGTACGGTTTTTTTCATTGATTTTTCATTGGTTTTTTAACAAAATTTACCAACACAAAGAAATGAATTTTAATCGATCAAACAAGATAAGTTTGATGGACTGACCACCAAATTGTATTATTTAATAATTAAATAAACAAAAAAGATCAATTACCTTCGGATCATAAATATTGAGTTTCGCTCCTTCATCGAGCAAATTCTTGCAAACAGTTATTGCCGGTGTTTCACGGGTGTCACCAGTATTCTTCTTAAAAGCGAATCCAAAGATGGTCAGCCGCTTTTCGCTGACAGTATTGAAAAGACATTCAATGATTTTTTGTGAAAACCGAGTCTTCTGATATTCATTCATATCAATGACCTTCTGCCAATATTGAGCCACTTCTGGCAAGTTGAGTTTCTCACAAATGTAAACGAGATTCAGAAGATCTTTTTGGAAACAAGAACCACCAAAACCAACGGAAGCTTGAAGAAATTTCGATCCAATTCTCGAATCAAGTCCAATGGCTCGTCCAACTTCTGACACGTCGGCACCTGTCGCTTCACAAACAGCTGACAATGAATTTATACTTGAAATTCTTTGTGCAAGCATTGCATTGGCTGCAAGTTTTGAGAGTTCCGAACTCCACGTATTGGTCGTTAAAATCTTTTCCTTCGGGATCCATTTGTTGTAAATCCAACAGAGAGTTTCAATAGCCTTTTGACCTTCGGGTGTTTCTTCGCCACCAATTAAAACACGATCTGGATTTATAAGATTTTCGATTGCAGTTCCTTCAGCAAGAAACTCGGGATTCGAGAGAATCGAATATCTTACGCCTGTGAATTTGTAAAATTATATTTAAAGAAGGAAAAACAAATTAGGTTGACTTACCCTGTTTATTATTTGCTTTCAAAACCTGCATGATACTCTCAGCTGCTTTCACCGGCACCGTACTTTTCTCAACGACGATCTTGCAGCTTGTTGCAATGCCAGCAATCAATCTGGCACATCCTTCAACATGTTTAAGATCAGCGGCTCGACCTTTACCATTACCGCTCGTCTTCGTTGGAGTGTTCACCGAAATGAAGATAATTTCAGCTTCTTGAATCGCTTTCTTTGCATCAGTGGAGAAGAAAAGATTTTTGCCTCTGCATTTTTTCACGATTTCTTCCAAGCCAGGCTATTGTTAAAACATAATTTTTATTATTTTGGGAATTGCGTCAATAAGACGTGTTTTGACATCTACGAATTAAGAATTCTTAATAAGCTACGTCAAAACCTATCAATAATGGATTTGAAGATTTTCAAAATCTCAAGAGAATCGCGAAAAAATTAATAAGAATGATTTGCTTTGCTTTTGTGCTTCTCGTTTTACATCATCGACATCTAAATAAAAATAAACTCGTCGCATGAAATTTTCAATCATTCAAATGATTCTTAAAAAAATTCCGGAACTGATCGACTTTTCACATGAAACTTATTCCAAGAAATCGTTTTGTGTCTGTGTTTATGTTTGTTTAAAAATTTTAAATCATTTTTCGTGACATCTCTTCTAAAGCTACTATTCAAAATATTAAATAATTTAACGCCAACAAGCAAAAATTGATAATAAAAATTTCATTATTTTAATAAGTTTCGATATTCACGATTCTCTAAAAAGATATTCATGTGCAATACAAACAGAGTGCTTGTGTTGCAAACTGAGTTAATCACGGTATCCGATATCGATAAAGTTCAAGAAAATGAAGAAATTAAAATATTTAATATTTAATTTTATATTTTTGACTTTTCTATTGAATGCTTCATTTTGCAACCACACAACAAAAGATCTTCTGATTTATTCGCTCATGAAAGTACTCAATATTTTTCCAAGGACGACATAATCATCTCTGCTATTTATTTTTATAAAAACCGGATGGATATAATGAGATATGCAGAAACAATTTACTAAACAGACACAGGCTTGAGGGGATCTGTTTCTTTGATCAACTTACCTCGTAGATTGGAAGTTTATCAGAATTCCATTGACTTATTCTTTCTTTGCTGACATCAACGATAGTCACTTGAACTTCAGGACATTTTAAAGCTATAACAGACATGGTTGGACCGCCAACGTAACCTGCACCAATGCAGCAAATCTTGCTGATCGGAGGACCAGGTAGCTCAGAGAATCTATCATTATCGCTATTTTCCATTGTAAGATGTTCTTTTCAGGTTTCTTGGCCTTCAACTATTTAACGTATTTCTTTTTGTCTGTTTTTTGTGGTAATTGAAGTTGTTGTTGTTTCCTTTATTCTTTCTTTATAAATATTTCAATGAACTTTGTTGTAGATTTTTTTTGCTTTACTTGAATCTTGTTATGAATCACAGATTTTTATTTTCTTAGAAACGTTCACAGAAATGAATAAAAGAAAACAACAGTTACATTACTTAGAGACTCTTCGCTATTGTACGTGTTAGTCACCACGAGTTTCAAACAACACTAAAGCATTTTTCTTTTATTCCTTTGATAAAAACTTAAAATGAGTCGCGATGAAGTACATAGACATGTATCTGAATAATACTTCACACATGTTCGAATAACTTCGGATGCATTCGTGTTTATGTTCGAAATATTTTCAAATAAAATTAATTTCAATTTTAAATTCAAATTCAAATGAAAGAAAAAGAAAATGGCAATAGCTATTGCCTTAAATTGCAATCTTCTAAATAAGGAGTACTTTCAGAGTGAAATTTAGTAGTTGTCATGGAATATTTCTGAATTTAATACCACATGAAGAAATGACTAAATGAGTATTCAGAGAAAAAATTTGTAATGAAATCAGACATTTAGGTAATAATGAATTTAATCAAATCGCTGAAGAAAACAAACTGCAAGAAAAGAGTATTATTTTGCTTCGTTAAATTTTCAACTTCACTCAAATAACTTCACAACTGAAAAGCGTTGATAAAAATTTTGGAACGGAAGTTGATGATAGTGAATGGATTTGGGAATATAGGTAGCTAGAAAACTTATCTTTTTCTTCTATTAAAAATGGATAAATAAATCTGTTTTGTCGGGCTGCCGCTTGACAAATTTTTCGTGTTTTTTGTTGCTTTTGACCGATCAATGATCCAAAGCATTTATTAAGCAAACAAGACCTAGATGAGCGAATGTGTCAATACATAACGGCACAGGAAGGTTCAAGGATAAATAATAAAAATATCGCCTCCTCCGGTAAGCCCTAAAAGCAGTTAAAATTAAACGGAAACAAAAGTGGTCGATAATTGGATGCGTTTTCGAGTGGTGGATAAATAGCCAACTAAGTACCCTATAAAGGATCTTTGAGCGTTTTTCTGACTTTGAAACTAAAATGTGATTGTAAAGAAATTTATAATTTTCTGATAAAGTACAGTAAACAAATCTATTCCATACCTTAACACATAATCTAGGAGTACTTCTAGCAACTCTTGTTATACTGAAGCAACGAATTATTTTTAAATATGGACCATTCTACGTCAGAGTTTTCAACGTTTTTGAAGCTTCAAAGCTGAACATTTTTAAAACTACGCAAGTTTTCCTGACGTTTTAATTTTTTTTAAATAAAGCTTATAAAGTTCTTATTTTAGAAAAAAACAGCGATTGAAAAAGTCAAACGGTTTAGCGAGGAGCGAATTTTAAAGTGTCGTTAGTCTTATCTTTACTCAAAAGATCGAAAAACAATGGTTCCAATGACAGCAGAAAAAGAAAAAATTCCAACCGACGACAGAGCTTTTATCAATAATAAAACAGCTCAAGTTCTCGAGGAACTTACAAAATTGATGGATTTAACGATTTAATACAAAAAGGACTTGAATCGATAACTCATAAACAGCTCATCATGATCATCAAACACTTCTTGAAACCGTTTGGAAATATTCAAATCAACGGTACAAACTATCTGGGCTTCGGTCCGCACCTTTTTTCCTGTTCCGAAACAGGAAACGGACCTTAAGGGGGACCATGAACCTGTTCCGGAACAAAAACAGACCGTTCCTGTTATTGGATATCCTGTTCCGGAACATAAGCGGACCTTTCCGCTAAACGAAAATCCATTCCGAACCAGGATAACCAATGGAAATTTTAGTCCGCGCACCACAAATCTGTTCCGGACCAGGTAAACGGACCTGAAGCAGATTACAAACCTGTTCGGGACCGGAACACCGACCGCTCCGGTAACGAAAAATCCGTTCCGGAACAGGAAAAGGACCGTTCCGGTCCGTTTTAAATGGACCTAAAACGGAACTCGGAACACGGACGGAAGCGCTGCAAACTATACTGATGTCGTGTATAATTTTCTATTGAGCATGGATTATCCTTATATCATCAATAAATCATCTTTAAATACTGCATCAGTTCACACTGCCATGGCAACATTGTCGTGCTTTTAGTTTGGCTTGCAGATTTTTCAGCTTGTAATGAGGATCCAGAAATTTCAATATGAATTCTCAGAAGAATTCAGCGCTCCAAATATTGCTAAGAATTTTATGAATACCAAGAAGCAGAATCTGAAGTTATTCTTGATGAAATGCGATAAGCTTTTGTCGACGAGACAGTTGGGCCTGGTGAGGATCTTGATGCAGAACTTGATCGTTTCAGCCTAGTTATTAAAACAAAGAAAATCACTCAAAACGGCAAAAATGGATAAATAAATCCTAAGATTTCTAAATATCTATTCACTTTGTTTTTGCTATTATGAAATTTTAACGTAATGTTTTTATTCAAAATTATCAACCGGAATGACGGTAATGTGGGATCGCTTTTTATTTTCGGCAGCAGCGGCAGCAAAAGGAATAAAAAAAATTCAAATCAAAGGAAAGTGAAATGAAATAAAAAAATTAATGGTTTAAATCCAATTTCAATTGATTAATTTGTTATGGTTCGCAAGACAAAGATTTCTACAAGTTCTTGCCCATCAAGTAAAGATTCCAGTGAAGACTCGCCAAATGACACGGAAAAAAAAACATTTATTATTTTGAGTTTGCCAATTGTTATGTTTTTTAATTTGATCAAAACTTTATTATTTGAGATTTTTGTTGTGCTTAAATTTGTTTACAATACATCATCGAGAATTCTTAATAAACCAGCAACGAATAATCAGGAAGAAGTAAATCTTGAATCAGCAAGCGAAGACAACAAAGGAATCGAAATGGATCTTCTTCAACTTCAAAAGCACCACCACAAAAAAGCTTTTGAATATATTTCGCAAGCATTAAAGATAGACGAAACACAAAATCCAGGTGAGTGGGTGATGGCAATTGTATTGTATCTATTGCAAAAGAATTATTAATATTTTATTATTCATTTATCGGAAATTTTCAATTGTTTATCTATGAAGTTTTTATTATTTGATGATGCGCACACGTAAAATGACCTTTCCTGTTTTTCTCAAGACGACAATCAAAGAAATAATGTTTATTCGCATGAGGAACTTTTTCCATACTTTTGTATACATTTCTTAAAATGATGAAATAAGTTTGATTTCTGTTCGTTTTTTTTTCATTCTTTCATGTTCGATTTCTGTTCGCTCATAAAATGTCATTGGCAACAGAAGCATTCTTTGTGCTTTTTATCGGCAACTTTTATCGTTATGTCCTCGTCAATAATTTCCTTATAGAAAAAATATAAAAAAAATCCTTTTTCATTTTACAGAACAAAAAGAAAATGCTATTCGATTGTACAAAGAAGGCATTTCAGAGTTGGAACGTGGAATAAACATTGACGTGTGGCAAGGTCATGGTGAAAAATGGGTTAAAGCTCAGCGTTTGCACGACAAAATGCAGACTAACTTGGCAATGGCAAAGGACAGATTGAATTTTTTAGGTGGGCAAATTTAACATTTTCCAAAAAAAATTAATAATGTTTACAAACTAGATTATTGCTTTTTTATTTTTAAAGTGCCGTAAAATGATACGTATTGATTTGCTTTTATGTATTTGAATTAAGAGAATGGTCGAATCAAATTGCACATGTAACAATTAAATAGCGTTTCATTTCATAATTGAGCTAGAAAAATGAAAAGCAATGTTCTGTTCAGCATAAATTAAATTTAAATTGTAAACTTTCCCCAACACCAATTATCTATTTTTTTAATTTTTTTATTTGTTTTTATAATTTTTTCATATATTTTCGCTCGTGTCTTTTCCAACTTTAAATTCATCTTAACTTTTATTTTGTAAACATCATCGAACAAATGCAATTCAACTGGTAGATCTTATGCTGGCCGAACGAGCAAAGGTTCTAAGTCAGGAGCGCGCAAAAACTTCTGTTCAATCATTGACAGATAAGATGAATAGTTTAACGAATCGTAAAGCTCAAACTCCAAAACTTTTACTCAATGAGCTTAAAACTGGTGATAAAAATGTAACATTTAGCAGTAAGATTAATCATTCCACGGGTAAAGCAGTGTCTTCCGAAGGTAATAACAACTTTAAGGAAATCATTATCACACTTAATGGATTGGACAACCTTCACACTAAAATATTTATTTTTTTCTTTGTTATGTTCATCTGCTGCTTTTTATTCGTTAGAATTTACTTTAAAAACTTATTGAATAGAAATTTTAATGTTTTTCTTAACGTTTTTCTTTCAAGTAACGGGTAAATTAGTAAGTCGTCGTCCTGGTCATTTAACTATTATGAACAAATCTCAAACATTACCACGCAACATGTCGAGAGCTTTAACAAATGTGAACAATCCCATAAAAAAACCGGCAACACCGCCAGCAGCACGAAAACAATTTTCGAATCCAAGTCAATCTCCACGACGTACGAATATTACTTCAGGTCGTGCAACGCCTCCAAGATCAAGAACATCCCATGGGGGCAATCCATCAACCTCGTCACAGAATTCAATCAGTGTCAAAGGTGTTGAACAAAAACTCGTACAAACAATCATGGATGAAATAATTGAAGTTGGACAGAAGGTCGAGTTTAGTGATGTCGCTGGTAATGCCACTGCTAAGCAAGCTCTCAAGGAAATGGTGATTCTTCCAGCTGTCCGTCCAGAACTTTTTACTGGTCTTCGGACACCTTCAAAAGGATTGCTACTTTTTGGACCTCCAGGAAATGGAAAAACTTTGCTTGCGCGAGCGGTTGCAAATGAATGTTCAGCTACTTTTTTTAGCATTTCAGCAGCATCACTAACAAGCAAATATGTTGGTGATGGAGAGAAAATGGTTCGAGCATTATTTGCTGTTGCTCGTGAATTGCAACCATCAATCATTTTTATTGATGAAATCGATTCTCTTCTGTCTGAGCGATCTCAAAGTGAACATGAAGCATCGCGTCGTTTAAAAACAGAGTTTTTGATTCAGTTTGATGGACTACCGACTGGAGATTCAGAAAGTGAAAGAATTGTTGTGATGGCTGCTACAAATCGACCTCAAGAACTTGATAAAGCCGCTCTTCGTCGCTTCCCTAAACGTATTTATGTCACGTTACCAGATTTTGATACGAGAATCTCTTTGCTTTCTATTCTCTTGCAAAAACAAAACAGTCCATTGAATGAAGATGAGTTGAAGACACTAGCTCGTATGACTGAAGGATTTTCTGGAAGTGACTTGACTGTTTTAGCGAGAGGTGAGTCAAACTTTATACATATAAATATTTTATGAACTTCATGAATCACATATTGAATTTATAAAGATGCTGCTTTTGAACCTATAAGAGGACTAAATTTAGATGAAGTTAAAGATCTGGATGCATCAAAATTAAGACACATCACTATGGCTGATTTTACTGAGTCTTTGAAGCGCATCAAGAAGTCTGTGTGCCCAAAAAGTTTGCGTGAATTTGAACAATGGTCGATGGAATATGCCAGCGTATAATGAAATGCACCATAGAACTGTATTTCATAGAATATCATCGCTTTTTAAAATTTTTTCATTTGTAACATCATCAAACAAGAATTTTCTTGTAAAATTGCGCTCGTTCGCCTGACTGTTGTTGACTTCAAACAGTCATAAAGAAATAAATAAATACTGCAAAAAAACTGTTTGCTTCCTTTTTAAAATTTTCTGATTAGACATTTTTTATTCCATTTTATTTTAGTTTCCAAAATTAATCTCAGTTGATACATACAATAAATAAATATATACCTATATACCAATAAATTATGAACTTCATTTATGCTTTAACTAAATAAATTTAATTTTTTTAACGGATAAATTTAAACGTTGAAATTCACATTATTTCGAAAAAAAATTCGAATTGATATTTACAACTTACATTCCCTTCGGGAATAGTTTCTGAACAAGCGGGGTCATTCATTATATGCTACCCAATTCATTTAAACAGGTTTAAAAATGAATTGGGAAGCATATACCTATAATTTCACAATTGCACCATGATACGTTAAAACATCATACAAAAAAATGTGATGCTCTTAGTACTGCTTTGAATTTTGTGGTGGATGTTCCTGTCATTTTATTTATAGTCCTCAACATCCCCTTGATTAAAAACTTACACAACTGCACTCAACTGAGCAAACACAACTAGTAAAAGATCAAACTTCATTCGCTTCAATCGCGTTTTTCATGTTTCTTTAAATTTTTACACTTTCCGGCTTGAATTTGTTTTTAAAACTGCACACAAACCTTCCTTTTGGATATAGTATCGGTGCTGAGAAGAAAATTAAAAAAAAAATACATAAAAAGTGCTAAAATATCAGGAAAAAATATCTTGAAAATATTAAAAAAAGGCAAAGTGAAATAATTAAACCTGAGTCAAAATGAATAAATCCTGTGCCCGTTGCTCAAAAGTGGTTTACCCAATAGAGGAATTAAAATGTTTGGATAAAGTAATTTCTCGTTTCAACCATTATTAGGATAATTTTTATTTTATATTTTTGATACAGCAACAACAAACATCGATGGCTAATTTAAAGTTTTCAACTCTGCTCTCTTGTTTAAATCTTGATGTTTCTTCTCTCATGCGCTTGAAAAGAAATAAAATGGAATTTTGTGTATAAGTGTTGAATTAAATACAGAAATGTTTAAGGCGTTTCTTGGAATTTCTTTAAATTTTGCAACAAACTTCATAACTAATTACGAGTTTTTTGTTTCAAATGCTTGAAAATTGAAAGAAAAGTCATGGCACTGAATATTTATCTCCATTTGTGTATTAAAAAAATTACTCATTGTGTATGACTTATATGACTGTTAAATGATGGTGAGATCATCAATTTGAATGAGTTTTGTACCAAATTTAGCAGATCGTGAGCAATTTATTTGTGAATAAAAATGTGTTTGATAAGAACTAAGAGATGAGAAATCAAAAGAAATGACGTGTTGTCCAGAAAATATTTAAACTTTTCGATTTCGGTGAAAGCTGGAAGCTTTTTACGTTCATGAAATGAAAAAAAAAACCGGAATATTCTTCTTATTCTATTCTTGTTTGTTTCAAATCATGCAAGTTTATTCTCCAAGGCTTCTGACACATGAGATAGAAAAGCGAACGGGGCTTCTAAAGACAATTGAGATTAACAAATGAACGAATAATGTCGAATGTTATTAAACTCATAAGAGAGATTGATTTTTGTGGAAGGAATTGTGAGGTGTTTCCTTTCCAACTATGGAATAAACAATGACTTAAAACTTGTTGCTACTACTTTTGTGATTGCTGTTTTTTTTTTATTTTCTTTGTCTTTTCTTTTCACAACAAAATAAAAGTAGCCTTCAAGGTCAGATTAATCGATTTACTGTTCTCCCGCACACAGTTGTCGTATTCTTGATCGCATGTACATAATTGGCGACAAGATAAGAAATGAATTTATTACGTGAAGAAGCCGCATAAAAAATATAGTAATTGCCATCACAAATGATGTATACATCATTAGATGAGCGAGTGAATGCTTGTGGTTAATAATAGGATGAAAATTTCATGTTTTGGCTTGCTGCTTGCTTTCTGTTTATTCCAAAATATTTTTTAAACTGTCCACCGAATGAATGACAAGGCTTTATATTCCTTTGCTCATCTGCAGGAATCAGAACGCGGAACTGGAATATTTTTCAATGATGTTATTATCCATTTCTATCATCTGCTTCCCTGGAATCCTCTCTCCCTTCAATCTTCCGATTCCACATTTAACCAAGAAAAGTTCAAAGTAAACAACAATTTAGCGGCTCTATGACGATTTTTGTATGACAAAAACTTAATTAAATTCAATTTTATCAGAAATATCTTAATGAAACGGAAATTCTTTTGATAATTGCGTTTTGCGAATGAATATATATATAGTCGTGTATATGTTAGCGATGGCTTTAAATTATTCTCTTTTTTTGGGAATTTCATTTTCATTTCTATTGTTTTTGTTTGCCGACTACCGAGTGATTTTGAAGAGAAATGAAAAAAAAAAAACTTAAAAGAAAAGTCAAATGCGGCATCCGTTCATCAGCTCATTGTTGTTTCTTTAATGAAGAAAGCAGTTTCAACATTCACATGATCAAGCATCATTCACTACTGCGTTCTGAGTGTTAAACCATAAATGCAATGCGTTCAAATTGCAGAGAAAAAAAGTACAATCGAAATCTAATCTTTTGTTGTCATGATTAACAACTGAATTGCAATGGGATGCGAGATGTGCATCGGGTTTGCTAACGAATGTGTTGAATGTCGTTGGACCTTTGACCTCATTAAATGGCTGTTCGTAACTCTTCAGTAACTAAGAAAGAAACAATAAAGCAGTTTTCTCCTTGTGACAGTAAATTGCGATTGTACATATTTTAAAGTTGCATGACTTACGTAATTCATGTGATTCGAGTTTCCTTTCTAAATGAACCGTCAACATACCACAGTAAAGTTATTGGAAACTGTTCTTATCAATCACGGAATGCATTTGTATCGTTCTGGTTTTTTAAAGTAACCAAGTCACAGCACTAGAATTTATTCTGAATTTTAAGTCATGTTCTATGCCTAAATTGATTGTCAGGGTTTTTGAAAAACGAAATAATGCACCTTATGTATATTTCCCGATGCTTCTGTTCAGTTCTGAATCCCTTCTGCATTTTGTTCAAAGCATTCATCAATATTTAATGCATTTTCCATTATCATGTTGTTCGATGAACCATGTGTTGTCATTTTACTTCATGAACAGCGCGCTTTGGCTTTGTTAAAAGTAGAAAAAGTTCTTATTGTAGGAAGAACATGAAGGGGAATTTATATAAACACACATCAACGCTTTCATGATACATTTCCTCATTACTTGTGATTTTGAATGAATCTGAACACTACAAACGTAGACGATGTTTCATGTTGCTGACTTTTCATCTCAAATTTATATATTTGCATGTGAATGTAGCTTGTTGGAAAGAAATTTAAGATGTGTCAAAAACAAAAAAATCAATTTCTTTGATAATTCACCACTTTATCCCGAAGGGGGCTTCGGATTGTAAATCAAAAAATTTCTTATAAAAAGGTGGAAGTTCATTGATCCTGCCAACATTAATTTCCTGATCATATCTCGATTCTTTAATATCTAAAAACAAGAACTTATTTTCTACTACGTATTGAATTCCAATTATTGTTTTCATGATTGCTATCAAAAGAAATGGGGTTGGTGCTTTCTTTATTCACAAAAGGTGGTGCCGATTACTTTCTTCCGTACTCAATTCTCATTAGCTTGCCCTAAGTTGAAGCAAATGTAGCTTATAGATGATTTGTGGGGTGAAACGTTGGTCGCATTCATTAATTCTATTACTGCCAAAATGTTCACCCTTCGAAATTGCAATTTCCTTTTATTCAATTTGCGTGCTTCTTCATGAAAGAAAAAACTAAAGCTTCATGCCCAAAACTAGATTAAGGGCGAGAATTAATATTTTCATTGTAGTTTCTAGTTTAATGATGGACGTGGGTCATGGTCAAAGTGTTCTAGATATTACCGCAGTTTGCAGTTTCAAAATTGCCAATTTCTGGTAAATTCCTTTTGATACGGAGCAATAAATTTATTAATCAAGTTTAGCCGTTCACTTCTTCTCACGTAACGAGCAACCGGAATTGTATCATAATTGCTAAACATGTGTCAAAACAGTTTAATAACAAAGAAGTATTATACCATGAGACACATATATATGTAAATAAGTAATCAACGGGAAAACTTAGTTAAACTAAGTTAAACTTGATTCAAAATCAGAAGAATTTACAAGAATAGAAACTGATCCTACGACAAAAATATTCATATGTCTTAAAAAATAATAATACACGATAAGATTTTCCACAAAATCTTGCTCTCAGTTTCTTTTCTTCGATGTGGGCAATAGAAGGCAATGCAATAAAGTTAACTAAAAGCACAATCGTGGGATGAAATATTTTTGGTATTCATGAACTTTCTATCGATATATTTGCTTTACTGAGATTAAGGAGAGGCTAATTGAAATATGCTTTATTTTGTATATGTGGTATTAATTTTTATTGTGAATTGTATCATAACTTTGGAGATTGTTCTCAATTTATATTAAAATATTTCCTTCGCTATATTAAAAGGTTTACTAAAACGATAAGGGTCGATAAATAATCTATTAAATATTATAAATAAAAATCTTCCTAATTTCTAATCACTTGTTGATATTAAAGATTTAATTGGAGTCTTTTTCCAGAAGCCATTAAGAACTTCTGAATTTCTACTTTAGTGAATGAATGAAGGAGAGGTTCGTTAATATTGAAGTCATAAATGTAATTGCGAAATGATGAGTCATTCAAGATAGTGAATTGCGCAATATCATGCGACAATTGTGTACTCAAACCATAAACTGTAAATATCTAAATATTTATTGATATGAACTTCCAGACTGTCTCGTGACCATAACAAAAGTTGGAATGACAAAATTGAACAGAGAATACAAAAAAAAGGAACAATTTATTTATAAAATTCTTTAAGATATTACCTAAGTTGAAGTTAAAGTTGAAATAGTTGAAACATGTTCTAACAATATACATATATGTATTTATCTCTTCATGATTAGAATGTTTAAATGAAAATAAGGGTTTAAAGTTTATTGTAGAACAAGAAAACGAGGAAGGAAGGCAAAAAATATATTTTTTTTGTTTTCGAAGAAGGAAATAAGGAATGTTCCGCATTGATTGAGAGTCATTTGAAAGTATTTATTAATAAGTGTGTAGCATATACTCACGTTGCATGGGAATGTGAAAAAATAGCATAATAATTAAAAACTTATCAACATGACATTGCTATGAGAAATAATAACAAAAAACAAAAAAAGCACAACAATTTGAATATTTTTGTTAATATTTAGCAAAATTATTTGGTTGCCTCATCATCTTCATAAGCAAATTTTCCTTTTTATGACCTAATTGGTATGTTAGTTTGAGAAAACTATTTATTATACTGAGAAACTACAACTGCTTTGAGCTTGTAAAGAAATAAAAGTTTTATTTGCAAGAAGTTTTAAAGTTAGGCGAGGGTAGAATAGTGTGAGAAGCAATAAAAAACGTCTTAAAAATGTAAAAAACGAAATTACCTTTCAACTGAGATGGTATTTTTATAACGATGAATGTTGCCAAATTTCAACTCAGATTCGAATCAACCTTGACGACGATTAATCTGCTTAACTTTGAATTAACATTTCTTCTTTCTTTCAATTTTCTTCGTTTTTCTTTCTTTCCAAACTCTTCTTATTGGTATTAAACTTTCTTGGATTACTTTCGAATTGCTTCGATTTAACTTGATCACCATTGTCGTCGTTATTGTACTCAAGGTTGCAAAATTGCGAATGGAATGAAGTTGTTGTATGTACGAACGGCGCCAATAAAGTTTACACATTAGATGACGTGTACTTTGAGTTTAATGAAGTTATTGTTGTTTGCAAAAGTTCCACGGCTTTGTTTCTCTTTAATTCTTCAGTTTCAACAACTTTCAAAGATTTTAGGATAAGATTACTTAACTTTCAAAGATTTTTTTGAAATAAAGTTGAACTGCACAACCAAGAGATGGAAATGAAGGAACGAATCACAGTTGAATATCAAAAATATTTCCAAACATGTTAAGTGAAATTAGAACTGATTCATTTTATGTTAGAATTTCCAACCATAAAAAATTATTTGCATCGAAAGCATTTTAGGTTAAAACTCACGATTCTAAGATAAAATAAAATAAAACAAAAACATTTCACGTTATTTTCTTTGTGGCTTTTTTGAACTTCACTTTGATGAAATGAATGAGTCACGAAGGAGACCAGAAATTATTTTGCAAGTCTTATTTTTATGTCATCTTCTCAATGTCCAGGAAAAACATCATGAAGTTATTTAAAAGTAGAGAAAATCTTTATTATCAACACGATATTGTTATCAGAAGATAATGTAGAGCATTATAAAAGTCAACCGAATAAAATTTTGCCTTTTTTGGTTTCTACAATTGTTTTGAAATATATTTAAGATCTTATTGAGTAATGAACACACGAATAAATTTTAACACTTTAAACATTTCTGTTTGGAATCTCAATAAATTAAATTGCACTTGAACTGTGCCAAACGTATATGTTTAAATGGTTCCGAAATCGTGTCCGTGTGTAGATTTCCAACCATAAATAAAATGTTATCAAATTAAAATCTTGCCTGAAAATGAAATTTGTTCAGAACATCCAACACAAATAAGCTTTCTACTCCATTCTGTCTTTTTAAATATAAATTTATGATGTTGATCTTAATTCAAATTGAAATGAATTGTGTGATGCTTGTTTGTTTCTCATTGCTTTTGCCCACATCTTGAAGCTTTTAAATTTCACTTCAATTGCGGTTATTGGTGACAAGTCATGATTTTCTTATTTTTCTTCTCATTTTATCCCAAAACTGATATAAAATACAAAGAAACAAAGTTTTGTCTCAAATGACATTGCAGTTTTCCGATGAATAAATAAAATCTCTTTTCTGTTGTTGACTTCATTGATTTTCGATGTAAATGGCAATTTTTGGACGACACACCCAAAACTTCAATATCGAACATTTCAATTACAATTTTACGGTGGCCATCAAGAGAAATTATTCATCTATTTATTTATGTATGTATACATTGAGGCTCAATTAATAGTCATCAAAACACACCAACGAACAAATCGTTGTTTTTGGTGATTTACACGAGAGTTTAGCATTCCAGATATCACCACAGCTTATATATTTCCTTCATCCATTCAAACCATCTCATCAGCTAATGAGATGTCAGTTCGATAATATTTGAATTGTCTATAAATATCGTCATAACTTAACTTTGGCCCATTCGCAACAGGTCAATTAACCAAAAGGTCAAAACCAACAAAAGAAAAATTTTTAACATATGATGGTCCAAATCGATGTTTGCTGATGGTCAAAGTCGTATCAATAAATCAAATAGACCATTAAATAAACCAGAAAATTCCATTCATAATTCATCTTCATCGTTTCTCAATTATTGTTTACGCTTTTATCTGAAATTACAATTTTTATTTAATGTTGATTACAGTTTTGTATCATCAAAATATTAATATTTCAGTTATCAATTAAGATACGGTATTTCTAATCAAATTCAAGAATCTTTTGATATCATTGAGTAATCATTACTAAAGTTTTATTTTGTGAAGTAATTCTCAAGAAATTTGATTTCGAAGATAAGAAATCTGCTCGAACAGAACAGCTGCTCGAACACTTCTCAAATTCTTGCACTGAAGAAATAAGAAATTTTCTTTAAAATGTCAACAGCAATAATAAGAATATTCAACTGCCTTAAACTTTAATATTCTTTACGAAACTTTCACATGACAATGAAAGATGATGATAAGACGATGATAAGACAAAACTAGGAATCACATAAAAAATTGTCGTCATTTAAAACTTTATAACTCAAATTTTACACTTCACTTTTTTCTTCTCAATCCGACATTAAAAATAAGTATATTAATTATGTGAAGAAAATTTATCTTTATTATGTTCAAAGAAAAAAACCCTGCTTGAAACATCTTGTTACAAAATTATCATCTAATGCCAGTTTAAAGTACGAGAGAAACGCAAGCATAAAATTTGGACAACGGACAGCATCACTTTAATCTGGCTAATGGCGATATGATCCCGTCATTTCATCCATTATTTATTAATAACTTGACAATTCGTTTTGCAATATTACAAATTACCATACATTTTCTTTTATATTTTTCATTTTCAAGACTTACGAGCAAATAAATTGCCTTTGAAATTCATCGAACTCAACGCGTCTCTTATGAATATCGCGGCTCAGTTGCTTACTTAAATCTACCATAAATGAATGTGAATGAGTTTGTATGAGTTTTAGATAAATTCAGTGAATATTCAGCAATGTTTTGCAACAAAAGTTAAACGAGAATCAAAACGTAAATTTATGAATGATAATATCTTTTAGAAAATTGTTGCTTTTCATGATGTTAGTGACTAGAGGCTTAAACTTAATAACAGCATTTTGCATTCATATTTTTTTCGTATCTAGGTACTCTACATTGTAATATTACATAATTTGTTTACCGTCATTAGTATAAACGCAGAGATGATTGTTGACTTTCCATTAAATATTTTACAGAATAGCAAGCAAAGTTATTTCGGGAAGAGATAAAAATTTTTTTTTTGTATCTAGGTCGAAAAGTGATTACTTTAAAAAATCTTTTCATTGAAATTTCAAGGTCATTAATTAAGCTTTAATCATGTACTTATTATTTGAAAGTATACAATTGAAATGAAACAACGACATTCTTCTACTTTAAGGCTTTTAAATATCTGTTTATGATAAGTAGCAAGATTTCAAACTCGTTTCCTTATAACACTTACAACTACACAAACTTGTTATTAGTAGATTGACTGTGATAAGATTAAAGAAAACAATCAGCAAATATTTAAGATTGTTTTTCAACCAAATTCATTTCATTTTATACAAAATTACTTGGGGAAACTTAGGCATGTCAAATAATATTAAAAGTTTTATGTGTAAGACGTAGGAGATGTTTATACAGCGTGTGCTCGAGCAATCAGCATAAATTTATTTATGAGAATTGTTTTTCCCACCTCGTTACCTTAAAAGAAAATAAAATAAAACTCAATGGTTTCCAGCCCATCGAATCTTAGCAGTTGACGATCTTTGAGCCAATAACTTGTATCGTTCATTATTGAAATAAAAATTGATTTACGGGTCTTGATTTTGAGTGAAAGTGAGACATTAAATTACGCAATCACTTGAATTTGACTGTTGATTTTCTTCTGCGTTATTGATTCCATAACAGCAGGAAAATATTTTCGAAATTATGCTAATGTTTGGGTCATACCATTAAATCACCAGTTAAACAATAGTTTAATGGCCGTTGAAAAGAAAATATTATGGACAAACTTCAGATATTGATCTGACGTCTTTTCTCTTCTTTTTATGTTAGTTTTTTATGGATTCGAACAAACTTTGTAAAGCTGATTAAGTTCTAATAAAATTATTATTACACATGTCAAGAGTAAGCGACGAAATAAATCAAGTAATAAATTAACAGCTTTCATTTACGTTTTGAATATTACAGTTAATCTTAAACTATTTTTGCCACAACTTTTCAACACTGAACGGAGAGAGAACTATTAAATTGCATCGAATGGATAATTTTCTAAAAGCTTAAAAGAAATCTTCATTACACCTCATAAGTATAACATGATCTGGCGTTAAACTTTGAACTGTAGTAAATCAGATTTATTATTGATAGATTTAAAAGGAAAAATTATTCGTTTCGCTACCAATTACTGTTGAAGAAGGCGGGCATGAATATCAGCTGATGGGGATTGGTCGATATAGCTTGAATGTTTAATTGACTTATTCTTGATATCTTTTTGATGAAAATCTTACTAAGATATTTATTTCAAATGAATTTCATTTAGTTTTAGTCGAAGAAAAGAATGTTTCCCATGACAAAACTTCTGTCACTTTTTTGCTTACGAGATTTTATCTCAATTCACTTTTTAAATTCAATTTTATAAAATGAAAATTGTGTAACGATGGGAATTTACCGCTGTTACGTTTATTTAAAGTCGAAAACACTGAGATAATTAAAAAGTTTAATGTTTCATTTCATTCTGAAACTTTAAACAAAAAGGTTTAGTCCAACGTCGAAGTTAATGGACATCAAAACTTCTGTTTGTTTATTTCAGAAAAAAATTCTATTTTCATTAAAAATATTTATATAAAATTGAGTTATAATCTTCGTTACTAAATGATGAAAATGTATTATTTTATCCATAACTAAAATTTTTCTTCTTTACTTTTAGGTATGGCACAAGACGTGCTTCAAGTGCACAGAATGCAACATGGCACTCAATATGAAAACATACAAGGGCTTTAACAAAAGTCCGTATTGTGAAGCGTAAGTGAAGCATTTGAACATACAAATGAATGATATTTGTTATGCAACTGAGAATTTCCTCAAATTTTTTTTTAAAACTTCAACTTTTTACAATTTTACTCCAACAAGAAGAAATAAAAATGTTTGCAGGCATCAAAGCAGGATGAAATTGAAAATATCTTAAGAATATAATGTTAGCATGAACAGAATTCTTATTTCTTCTTTTAAAGTACAGCGTAAAAACTGAATGTTCGTTAATGCTTTGCAGTAAAAAAATATTTATAGAACTCGAAGCTTTACTTTGACGTGATTTTATTGTCATATACATCGGTCACATGACGTGGACACTGATATCTAGCCCGGCTAGCTCAGTCGGCAGAGCACGAGACTCTTAATCTCGGGGTCGTGGGTTCGAGCCCCACGTTGGGCGATCCTTTTTGCTATCAGTTTTTACACGAGGACTAAATTCAATTTAAAATCGAAGAAGAAAATTTATTCCTCAACTTATGTTTTAATCCTAATATTTGAATATATTTTTATTAAAAGTTGCTTTTCGTTTTTTTTTAGATATCGTTAATTATTCATCCTAATTTGAATATTTAGCTTTCAAACTTCTCACATACAACTTATAGCATGGAAATTATTTCTTGCTATTAAGGGGGACTATTGCAATATAAGAGTATCATTTTGCAATAATTAGAGATAAGTTGCATAGGCCCGGCTAGCTCAGTCGGCAGAGCACGAGACTCTTAATCTCGGGGTCGTGGGTTCGAGCCCCACGTTGGGCGCAATATTTTTTGTATTTTTATTTTTTTATTTTATGTAATGTTTTTAATTCGTAGAAACAATTTTAATGTGACTTCTTCAAACCAATTGTATTGTAAAATAAAATATTTTAAGGTATCAAGTATTTAATTATTTCTCTCAGACTATCAATTTTTTTTTAAGTCAATGCTTCCCTAAAAGTTTAAAATCACAAGCGAAGTATTTCAAAATATGAGCAAGCTTCGCTTGTGATTTTAAATGTTTAGGGAACCATTGACTTAAAAAAAATTGATAGTCTGAGAGATAATTAAAATACTGATAGAAGACATGATACGTTAAAACGTTTTATTTTACAATAAACAGTATGCGAAACGCAATCAGAAGTAAATAAATATTATGCATCGAAGAACGTTGAATATACGTTGAATATATCACATATTCAATGAAATTTCAGTCAATGATCCTTAAAACTTCTTATTTATCTTTAAGTTGATTTAGTTAAATTTAAAATAATCAATTAAAAATATAAAAAATATATCGCCCAACGTGGGGCTCGAACCCACGACCCCGAGATTAAGAGTCTCGTGCTCTGCCGACTGAGCTAGCCGGGCTTGATATTGAAGTTGCTTGTCGTCGACAAAAGACAATCAATTTTAAAAAAGTTCGAAAGCTATTTCTTGTATGAGATTTTTAAAATAAAGAAAATCTTCAAATACAAATATTGAGAGATTTAATTTAAAGTTTGAAAACTTATTTCTGTACTTAACAGCGTTTACAGTTGAAGAATTTAATTTCATTGATGATCATTATCATTTCTCATTCCATAACTCGTATGCTATAAATCGGAATCATGATCAGCAATTGTAAAGCTGTGGTGTCCGAGTGGTTAAGGAGATGGACTTGAAATCCATTGGGTTCTACCCGCGCAGGTTCGAATCCTGCCCGCAGCGTAATTTTTTTTTCATTTGTTTCATTTTCCATTTGTTTCATTAATGTTGCCTTTTTAAATTAAAAGTAAAAATAATTTCAAAAAATAAAAAGGAATCTGCGCTGCGGGCAGGATTCGAACCTGCGCGGGTAAAACCCAATGGATTTCAAGTCCATCTCCTTAACCACTCGGACACCACAGCTACAGTATACTTGTAAAGTCGTTTTGGAACCCTACAAATAGTACCGATCATTGTGTAAAGAAATTTCGACAAAAATCACATATAAACAAAATCCATGCTGAAAGCAAGATTCCACTTTTATAAATATTTCTTATAAAGTATTTCGATTAAATTTTTTTAATTAAATTTATTTATTTTTCATTTCAACGATAATGTCAATTTATGTGATGCTATCAAATCATGCAAAAATATATAAGGAAAATATTTTAACTTAGGAATAATCTCATGAATTCAGTGAGTAAAAATAAATGAAATAATTATTTGAATTTAAAGTTTTCTAAAATAATAAATGAATATGCGAAAACCTTTTTATTTGAATAGAATGCTTGAATAGAATGCTCAGTAATTTCTATAATTTCAGTTCTTTTAATTCGAACTATGAAATGAAATAAATCTTCACAAATTCTCTTATTCAAACCACAAACTGCACGTAAATATGGTAAGAAGGAATAAAAAATAATCTATAAAAATTTTACAGCGGTTGCTCTCAATTTCAGTCATAAGTAAAAGTAACTAAGTCGCTGATGTTGTACTATAAATTATCCCATTTTTGCTTTAAATGTGCTTTTTTTGCCTTCATTTTATGTTCATACATTGTTCATATACATATGCATACAAAGATGTAAATATGTTAAAAGAACTTATAATGATAAATGAATGCTCTTGTTTTTCTTATTAAGTATAATATTCGCATTGCAAAAAAAAGAAATGCTTTAAGAAAAAACGTTTACACGAATTGAAACTGATTCGATCTCAGTTTGTCTCCTTTTTTCACATCCTATCCCATTATTTTCTCATTTCCGCTGATGAAAATTGATATGCAAATCTAGTTATGTTTATAATAAATTATTAATCATTTCATTGTTTGAGATAAATCGTTGATGAAGAGAAAAATGAGATTAGAAATTAAAATTCAAATGGTCAAATAAGAATAATGAATCTGGGAATCCATTGTTTCCTTTACCTTATTTTAAGATTTATCATCAGGCTCTCTGAATAATATAAAATATCAATAGCTTATTAAATTTTCATATTTCTCTGAAATGCGTTATAACAACAGGAAGATTACATATGATTTAGAGTAGTACCATATAAACCAATTGTAAGTTTATTTTATGGATATGATGATCTTTTAAAAGCAATACAATTAATCATAAGTATTGCAAGTTGCATCATGAAATAAAAAGAAAATCAAATTGCAAACATATCACAAAAACTTTACAGCCACGGTATGTGTTAGTTTAATTCCCGAAAAAATCAACTTCAATTACGATTTCAAATCAAGATAAATATAAAAATAGATAAACATCGTTTATATCTGATGTAATACGAGAAAGCTTAACGTTTTTATTCTAACATTGATAAAGTTTACATATTTCCTAATACATACTTTCAAACGAGATAAAATTTGACGTGTTTAACAGATAAACAAACCATTTAATAGACTAAAATGACGTAATACAAAAGTAGTTAATGAATCTGTTAAAAATAATTCATGAAAGTATAATTAGTAATCATTTCAATTATCTTACAATTTACTTAGCCAGTCCATGTACCGAATGGAATACCAAAAAATATTTAAGTAAGATATGAAACGAAATGACATTAAAGTCACATTAGTTATAGTTCATTGTAAGCTGAAATTTAAATNGACCTTCCGACTGTCCATGGACCTTCCGACTGTCCATGGACCTTCCGACTGTCCTTGGTCTTCCACTCACTCTCCCACACGCGCACCGATCGTCCTATTCAAAAGAATTCTCGGAAATACTCTAGAAAGAATTCTCAGAAAAATTCCTGATAAGAATTCTCAGAAAAATTCCTGATAAGAATTCTCAGAAAAGTTAACAAAAAAAAAGTTACATACAGACAGACAGACAGACAGACAGACAGACAGACAGACAGACAGACAGACAGACAGACAGGGTTGAAAGGCGACGGAAAAATGAAAATCCAGTTTTTCCACTTTTCTCGACGTTTCATGCTATTTTAAGCATATTTAAGCAAAAAAAATTTTCCAAAAAAAAATGTCGAATACAATACGGTGACCTCACCAAAGGTGGGCCTCCGTAAAATATTTAAGTAAGATATGAAACGAAATGACATTAAAGTCACATTAGTTATAGTTCATTGTAAGCTGAAATTTAAATGCTGCGTTTAAAATAATATACGCATAAAATCGAATTTGGGATAGATATTTAACAAAGATTCAACATGTTCATTGAAGTGATTGGTGCAGAATGTGAAACTTTTCAAGGTTTGGCTTAGGAACTACGGTTTCAATGTTAGTTCTTAATGCTTGTTGAAATATTTAGCAAAGAGAAACATATTTTTGTTTTCAGTAGAGCTGAATATTCTTATCCACGATTTTTTTTAATTCACTTCTATTCTATCACGATTATAATTCAGCGGAACAAAAAGTAAAATGACTGTATTTAAACAAATAAGAAAAAAAAGCGACTAAATAGCTACAAGATAAGTTCAAGGTCACTCATAGTAACCAACACGCTGTTAGCTTTATTCCAAAAATGCGCCAACTTCTTTGTGTGTTAGCAACGAAAGAAGAAACTGAACAGTTTGATTGATTTGAGTTTCTTCAAGCGTCTTAAACATTATTCAGTCAACAAGTTTACTTCACCAAAAAGATTACAATTAGGAAAATTAGTTAACTTGATGTTGTTTTTTGTTACTTTCAGCTTGTTTGAACACATTTGTGTCATTTCAATACACCAGTTCGTTGCGTTAGACTCGTCATTCTTTCAATGATTGAAGAAACTTTTTTTGTTTGCAAATTTCGTTCCAAAACTTTTTTATATTTAAATAAATAAAATAAAGAAGTAAAAATAATTGCCACTAAGCGAACACGACAGCGTTGAACGCAATTCGCTTGCATCAGTTTACGAGTTCTGATTTGGGTCTCTTAATAATTGTCGACATAACAATGGAAAGCTCCATGAGAATTGTAACGATGAAATAAAGTTAAGGTATGAAGAAACAAACTTCTGTATTTATTGCGTTGTTGTTTATTGTCGGCTGCGATATATGACGACGATTCATCGATCAACTGAAACAGATTCAATTAAAAGAGACAAATGAATTTATAGATTGCAAAGCGGATGGTTGGGGAAAAAAATCACCGTAAGGTGAAAAATGCGTTGAGATTTCCGTGCAAAATAATAATTTAATACTTTATAGTGAATTTTTGTATCTAACAACATTAAATATTTAATGAATTAAATTAAATTAAATTTTAAAAGAATTTTTGTGAGTCTTAGAAATGTTTTTATTGCTTTTCTAAATCTGTTTTTTATTCATACTAGCTTTGAAAAAGATCAAACATTATAAAACGAAAAACGCATCAAATCGATCTGAAAAATAGGTCAGAAGATCAGTTCAAATTATATCTGCCGTCATACTTACAACTTTATTATCAATGATGATGAATCAAAAGAAATTTAACGGAGGAAGTTACTTCGAATGAAGTTGGTCACGTTTTGAATTTATGTTTGTATAAGTAAAAACTTTTGTGAAACTCGTACGGTGGCTAATGAGATTGGCGACGGAAAAAATGAAGTTTACAAAAATTCAAAAGATTGTTTCGGACTTAAATTAAAATGCATGATTGAAACATTTAACATAACGAATACCTTTAAAAAAGTGAAACAGAAAACGGAAAAAAGAAATATCGGAAAGCAAAAGTGATTACTTAACATTATGAAAACGATGATGACAAAATTGTTTTTCAAATGAAATGAAAGAAATGAAAAGTTTTTGTTTGATTTGTAGGATCAAATGATCGTTGTAAGTAAATATTAAAAACATCTACCATCTTCAATATTCACTGACTATTGCATTCATGTTGTGATTTCTTTACAAATCAACGTTAAATAAATCTGTTTATCTGATGCAATTTTCTCTTTTCTTTAATTCACAGACACATCCCAAAAGCGAAAGCCACAACAATAGCCGAAACACCCGAATTGAAGAGAATTGCTGAAAACACTAAGATTCAGTCAAATGTGAAATATCATGCCGACTTTGAGAAGTCAAAGGGAAAGTTGACACAGGTGAGGCACATCACGAATAATTCATTTTCTGATTCACATTTTCTAACAAGAAGCTCATTTTCAATGTTTAAGGTCGCTGACGATCCCGAAACTTTGAGAATCCGACAAAATACGAAAAACATTTCTAATGTTGCATATCATGGCGATATTCAAAAGAAAGCGGCAATGGAACGTCAACGTGAGATCACAGAAATTGTTGATAATCGAGGTATGTATAACATGATTTATGCTCAAATATTTTATGCTTCCTAGTTATGTAGTAACTTTTCCTTATGCCAAACATAGACAAGCTAAGTAAATATATAGAAAAGTCACGACATTGAAAACTTTTACAACTTTTTCATTTTATCATCCTTTTCTTCTGATGTTCCATGTCAATGTCTCATCTTATTAATAATAATATCATGTAATTCTGTCAAGCGTTCATAATTCTTTTGCTGATTATTTATGATGTTTTTAACATCGCCTATGTCGAATGACAATGTTAAGATGTTTTGCTTTCTCCTTCTTCTTAGCATTGTAAAGCTTAAAAAAAGCGGCACAAGAATAAAACAGTAAAAGAAATAAATAAAAATGTTTAACAAAGAAAAAGTCGTGAAAATGGAACACGTAATTAATTTTAATCATCATGTTGTGGATTTAATTTCATTTATTTTTCAACTAACTGGCACGGCGACTCTCAGTGGGAAACGCGAGAATTTTTCATTTGATGAAATTTCTTTTATTATTCGACTGTCGGAAGTTTACACTCTCAAAGATATTATCATCATGACAATTCGTCTTAGAAAACTTTTTAATAAATATTTGTAACTTCAACTGCTTCCTTTTCATTGTTATCAGCATCTCTTTTATCTTCTATTGAAAGAATCGTGTTGTTAATGTTGGCGTCGTCGATAATTGCTATTTTTTATTAACTTTTTAATTTTAATTTTGCTTTCTTTCCTACACTTTATCTTCATTTTATTTTTCATGTGCTTCGTGCCTGGTTGTTGTCGATCTTCTTACACAAACACACACACACATTTATGTATTTGTTGTATGTTATTTTTTTGATCAACCATCGTCGTTCATTACATCTCAATCTACATTGTACCATCATCATCTAGACAACAATGAATCTGAATACTTTTCCGAAACGTTAGCTGCTGAATCATTGCCACATTATCAGCCTGTGCCGTCGCCTTTGAAGGAATCACCATCACCAACAGCAACATCACCATATTTGTCATTCGATGCGACAAATCATGCCAATAATGATGGTCAACAACAACAACCGCATCATCAACAAATGACGTCATCATCTGTACAACAACATCATAGCAATATGATTAATAACAATCCAAAATATCATCAACCACCTAATTACAACAACGGCAACATGATAACAAATGGCAATGTACCAGTTCGAAACAATGTTGTAATGAGTGCTTCGATTCCTTCGGGTGGCGTGTCAGCATCATCACAAATGCAGCAACAATTGCAGCAAAAGTATTACGATCAATACGAAAACTACTCTAGACCGAGTCCATCGTCGAACGGTAATAATGGTGGAGTAAATGGGAACAGTATTCATCAGAATGGTATGAATCACAACACTTCCTACAATGGAACGAAGGGATATAGTGGACATCCCCAACAATTGACAAGCAGTTACAGTCAACAACAAATGGCTTATAACAATCATTTCTCGAATCATCAGAATGGCGGATCAGGTGTTGGCAAAATTGCTGATTATGATCCGTTGACAGATGGACCACGAAATATTCCACAAGCAGCTCGTCCTAATCAAACCTTGATTTATAGTTCAGATCGTGCTGCACGTAAGTCTTCAGATTCGTTTTAATTTTTCCATGTTCGTCTCCTATTCAATAACATAAAAATTAATTAACAGAAATTGTCGCTAAAGCATTTTTAAGTCATTTTCCTTCTTACATCTATCATCTTGTTATGCATTTCGCTTGTGATTGTATCAAAATTTTTTCATTATTGCTTTTCTAGTTGATCGAAGTTTATTTGAAAAAAATTGTAACCTCCAAAATTTGTAAAGTAAAAAGTAAGAAACAAACTTTTTGCCTTGGCAATTTTTAACTCAGTCTTTTCGCTTTCACTTTTATAATTCCTTTTAATTTTTAATATTCAATTTATTTGTAGTTTCAATGCAAAATCAGCAGCGACGCATTGGCTCTGTTAATGATATCGATCCACTTAATGGATATTATAGTTCAGCTGCTCAAGAACAACAATATTTGCTTCAACAACAGCAGCAGCAACAGCAGCAACAATATTTAGAGCATCAGCAACGACTTGCTCAACAATCACAACATCAACATCATCAACAACAGCAACATCATCAACAAAAGGTTCAGTCTCAGCCTCAAAATAGCAATCACCAACCACAGACAAAGTCAATATCTAAAGTGGTAATTTTTGTTTTTATTTTGCTAATATTTTTAGTAACTCATCGCAAAATTATTGTTTTTATTTCCTTTCACAAAGCGAGTTTACCGAGCACTTTATGACTATGAAGCTCAAGATAATGATGAGGTCAGCTTTACCGAAGGGGATTTAATTTTCGAAGTGAATTCCATTGATGGTGGATGGATGACAGGTCGTGTAGAGCGCACCGGGCAAATCGGAATGTTGCCAGCCAATTACATTGAATTGCAAATGATTTAAATTCTGTTGAAGTATTTTTACATTTTTCCTTGAAATTTAAACTTTTTTAGTATCTATATACACATAAATTAAACTACACAAACATATGCAAAAAATTGACACTTTCTGCTATCTTAAATAATTAATCTGCATTATTATAAAAGATTAACTTTTTTTTCTTTTCATTTTTGCTTCAAATCTTCTTCCTAAGATTTCGTCCAAAGTCGCCAAAAGCAATTTAATAAGAAGAAAAATATTAGAAAGTGCACTTACATCTTCAACATTATCAGTCAATCAACTAAATAGATTTATTATCTTCTTATGAAACTTTTGATAATTCCTGAATGTTTAAATGTAAAAACATTTCCATCTGAAATTAAACCCCTTAAAACAATGTGCTAAATTTTTATTGAAATTATTCAACTAAAGAAAATAAGCTGTTTTCAAGTTTTCACTTGTTTTATATCGTAGTTAAGGATTAAAATGAAAATTAAACTGTTTGAAACGAGTGTGAATCGTAAGAAATTGAAAAATTTATTGAAACGATGATTATTTTGAGATGATTTAACATGATGTGGGTATAAAAACTAAAGAAATATTTGTATTCAATAAACTATAATTAATGAATATATATCTAGAAAAACGGTTCTAAATGAATATGTAATGTGGAGGAACTAAAGTTTTTCCATTTATAAGAAAAGCTTAAGATCGTAGGTGATAGAGCAATAAAAATATACAATTTGTAGAATCATATATGTAAATAAGCGAAAATCCATTTAATTGTTTATTAATTTTTTCATTTTTCTGCTCAGATGTCAAAGATCGATTCTGAAATTCGAATAAAGAAATGTATGGAAAACTAAAATATTATTTTAATTATCTTTTCCGTTCATTTTTTATTTGTTCTCCAGTATTTCAGTCTTAGATAATCAAATTAAATTTTCCCTACCTTCTTCTTCTCTCTCGCTTACGCCAACTGCTTAAATTAAATTAAAAAAGAAATAAAGTCCCGCAATAAAAATTCAAAAACCTCTGCAATTTTAAATATTTTCTTTTATTCATTTATTTACAGCTTTAACATTAATAATTCATTGATTTTTCATTTAATTCTTTTTAAATTTAATAAAAATATGTTTCGTCTTTTCCCTCTCAATTTGATATTATTCAAAGACGATATTCTACGTACGATATTCATTTCTTACTCATCTTCAAGGCATTTTCCTATGCTCGTCAATTAAGACCTTGAAGCATTCTGCAATTCATCCACGAAAAAAGTTAAACTTAAAATGTTTTTCTAAATTATTGAAATATTATAGAAGTGTTACTGATAAATATTCGTAATTTCAATGTTTCTCCCAGAATATTTTGAAAATATACAAAGTGCTGGCTCACACTTGTCGGATACAGTTTATATGTAGCAATTAAACTATTCTACAATTATATCTTTATAATAATTATTATGATCTTTTTGTTTTTCTTTTTCATATAATGAATGAAGAAATTTTGGTCGAAAAGAGAAACTTAAAGAAATTGAAAAGATATCTACTTAGGATAAGTTTTACATTTTTGAATCTGTTATTGGGATGTTCTTTTCTAATTTATTAATTATTATTCTTTTTAAAGAATCCACGTGTAGAGTAAATCCGTAACTTCTTCAACTTAATTAATTAAATGTTAATTACTCAAATGTTACTTAAACTTCGTGCAATATTTTTTGCATCTTATTTTTTAGTGCATCTTAATTATTTTTCTAATTAACAAAAAAACTAAAGCTATTTTTTTTTCTTTTTTTTCGTATTTTAATTTACATTTTGTGGCCTTCATTTGACCTCTTTGCAGTATTTTTACTGGCTACGAAAAAAGAAAGCTTAAAAGATTTAAACTTCACCCACGCTTATTTGTCGAAAACATAACTAAATCTTATAATCTAAAAAAAGAAGATGATCAGATGATCTTTTAACATCGTGAGTTACAATTCTTGAAGTGAAGAAACTCATTTGGATTTTAATTATAATGTTCACTGCTGAAAAGAATAGGAAAAATTTCATCAATTGTAATTTACAATTTAAATGTGACCAAAATTTCCTTCCTTATTTATTTAAAGTTTAAATATGTTTCGTTTCCATCCGTTCCTGAACAAAAGAAATGTTGGTCCATTTTTCACTTTAAAACGTTCATAATCATAATTTTACCTTTTCTACTTCTTCTCCTTTTTCATCTTGCTTTGAATCTTTTACATCGGTTTTATAATCTTCTCCTTTCACTTCGTCAACTTGCGATGATTCCTTATTAGTAGCGTCATCATCTTTTGTAGGTGTTTTCTTAGATTCCTCTGTTGTTGATGTCACTTTAGCATTGGAAGTTGCTTCAGATTGATCATCTTGTGACTGTTCAGCTAAAGGATCAGCAGTGTTTGTTTGTTGTGTCGTTTCTTCTTGATTTTGAGAAGAAAATTCTGCTGGTGTTTCAGATTCTTGATCCTCGCCAAGTTCCATTGGTTGTTGAATAAAAATTTGTTGGCCTTCTCCTTCCTGTCCTGCTGAAGCCATAGTCACTGTTATTTGTCCATCGCCACCTTCGCCTGTAAATGAAACTGATACGGGAATACCATCAGCTGTTGTAAGATGTGTTTCACCATCGGCATCTTGTTGCAACACTAAATTTCCCCCTTCAGTTTGAAGCATCGATGCATCAATTAATTGACTTTCTCCATCAGCGCCTTGAACAAGAATCATCTGACCTTGATTACCATCGCCAAGCATCTGAAGTGTTGTGCCTTCTCCATCAATTCCTTCACCATTTCCTTGCAACTGAACGAGAACTTGATTTCCATCAACACCAACACTTTGAAGCAGATGCTGCAATTGTTCTTGATCGGTCCCTTGTACAAGAATTTGATTTCCTTCAGCATCGGTCGTTAAAATATGATTATCCAATTGCAAAAATTGACCGTTCTCATCGACAATGAACTTCAATTGTTGCCCATTACCAGATGCATTTTGTAAATCTTCAAGCTCCATTGGAATTGCGCCACTATTTTCAGTTCCTTGAACTTCAGTTTGCTCTTGACTGCTTTGTGTATTCTCTTCATCATCAGCACTTAAACTTGGCATGCTAACATGCACATCCGTCTTCTCTTGCGCTTCATTGGGGTCATCGAGATTTGGCATATCAATGCGAACATTTTGTTTTTGCTGCTTAAAAAACACGAAACAAATTTAATTAGTAAATGTTATTTTGCTGGAAAAAGTAACAAAAAATTCACCTCTTCATCAACTTCAACAACTTCCGGAACATCATCTTGTGGAATTGTAATGTTATAAGTAATTCCACCTTCTTGTGTTGTTATTAATACATTTTTATCGCTTAAGCCTCCATTCGACGCAACTGTATGATGAACATTTTCTGAATGCATCTTCTCGAAAATACTTTCGAGATCGCCAAGTGTATCTTGTTGTTTTGTTTTGGTGTATGTTGTTCGAGCACCTTCATTTGACTTATCATGTGTCTTCATATGCTGAGCATAAAGCTTCTTATTGACGAATGTTAATGAGCACAAATTACATGAATGGAATTCAATGAGCTCATTAACAGTGTCCTGATCATCTTCACTAAGAGCTTCCTTGATTATATCTGTCAGTGGTTTTTGAATAGTTGCAGTATTTTTATCATTCTTATTCATAACGATGACCTCTTGTTGCGAAATGGTTTTGAACTTTTCGTGTGTCTTCATATGAGCCTCGAAGAGGTCTCGTTTACTGAATTGACGTGTGCAGACACTACACTGCCAAGATGTTTGCCCAGTTGTGTTAGTCTGATGAATTTTTGCATGAATCTGTGCTGCTTCACGTGTCTCGAAACGTTCTAAACACATTCGACATTTGAAAGGTCGATTCTTCATATGGTTTCGCTGATGTTCTTGGAACAGAGCTCGATCTGTTGTCTTAAAAGCACAGATGCGACATTGAATCTGTGACTGTGGAATATTGTTACGAACAATTGTTGTACCACCGACTTTTTGTTGTTGCTTTTCTGTGGCGTTTTGATTTTGTTTTTGCGTCGGACTGTTGTAGGCTTGTCTTACAATTCGATTTTGAAGAGTCGATTGAGTTTTGTTTGATTGCCCTTTACATTCGTTTGAGTGCGGTTGGAATTGACTCAAATCTGTTGTTTTAAAATCGCATGCAATGCACTTGTAGAGTTTAACAGGACCAGTGCCACGCCGAGCTGCAGGAGAAACATTGCTAGATGATAGATTTTTTAACTGATTCTCAGCTGCAACGGCAGTTGTCTTCTCTGTATTGTTTTGCCAACGGTTATAGCTAGGACTGCCACTATTGAGCTTTTGTATCTTCAATGGCGGCTCTTCGTCGTCAATTCCATATTTTTTTTTAATAAATGTTCGCAATCGTGACTTTACATTCTCTAAATCAAACTCATATTTATCCATGGTGTTGAAGAGAGTAATGCAGCGTCTACAAATTTTATCCTCCTCTGACACGATAACACAAAAGTCATCGCCAACCATTTTAGCTAACTTCTTCGTTACTTTTTCACGAGACGTAATCGTTTCAGATTCTGTAAGGTTTGTTGCCTGTCCAAGGATATTTTCATCACAAATGAAGCATTTGTGAGCGTTCACGCCTGAATAAATCGTTTGACGGACATATCTTGGTTGTGTTGACACTGAAACACTTGGCAGATTGTTGATTTTGTTAACAGCACTCATTTGTGTGTTGTCGCGCTGTTGGATCATCTAAAATGAATATTTTAATAGTGAATGATGAGGTACGAATGTGCCATCGTGTGAATCAAAAATTAACATGAGGAAGAATGCGAAAATCCAAGCGTCCCCGAAATGAAAATTTCACTAAATTTTATCAAAATTCCTCACACTTTCTTATTTATTTAGTACTTACGCGACGTACTGTATGTTGTGACTGAGAATGAACAACCGTTGGCTGGACGCGCTTCATTCTAGATACAGAAAAAATAAATTAATTCTTTTTCCGAACAACCTCAATCCGATATTAGAGTGAGATAGATATACTGATGAGAAAGAGACACAACATTGAAACATGAAGTTTAAACGAATTTTTTCTATTTTTCCGTCACTTTTTTCAATTTCACTTACTTTTCTGTTTAATGAAGGATATTAACATGAACAATAAACTCTTGAAATTAATATTTTTGCTTTTCTAAGCGATGAAAAATAATTTTTTTAAGAGCTCGATTTATTTGCTCTTATGTGGAATACAAGCTTACAAAAGTGCCGTATGCTTGTGTTGGAATACAATGTTCGAAAGCATATTCGAAATTTAGATGATCGTTATATTTATGTTCATAAAATTTATTTCATAATCATGACTTGACATTACGATTAAAATAAAATTATGAACTTATTATTTAAGAAAAACACAATCAATTCACAATTTTATTCTAGCATAAGTCTCATATGATATGTTTAAATTGAATAATTTAATTTCTATAGTCGATGTATCTTACATATGTATTTATTTTATCAACTTAAAAAGTCAACAATTATAATTTAAAAGTTATATTATATATTGCCTTAACTTTTAAAGATAATTGTAACTCCTTAAGCAATAATAGTCATAAATTATTTGTACATTTCATTGTCAGTTATCGACATTAAATAAAAAGTGATGTGAACTTAGACTGAATTTTTAATTATTTATTCACTGTTCAATCTCAAATCACATCACTTTTTATCTAAGACGTTTAAATCACGATTTTTTCTAATGAACATTAGAACTCACAAGGATCTTGCTACTGAAATTAATTAAGTAAGCAGCAATATCCTTAAGAGTTTAAATTTCCATGAAATATCTTTCACTTCGCTTGTTTGATTAGGAAAGGCACTAAATCATTACACTCTTGTAACTATATCACTGCCACTAAATAAAAAACTGAAATGAATCTCTAACGATTACATGCATGGTCTTATATAGGATTTTCTTTATCAAATTGTTTACAAAAATGTTAAATCAGCAACAATTCATGATGGATTTATGCAGCATGGTTACCGGATTCCTTTGGTCATTAAAATATGCATCATTGTCACTGGTTCAAACTAATAAAAACATTATGCCTTAAGTATTGTATATGTACTTGAACAATATCAAAACAAAAAATATCCACATTAGATATGTACATGCTGACAAACAATAGTAAAGAGATTCCTGAAAACTCTTATCATTTTCCAAAAATGTTTGGAAGAAAAGCCATAAAAAATGTTTTTGTTAACTGCCTAAGTTATATAAAGCAGACGTAAAGAATTAAAAAAATGCATAGGAGTCAACTTAGTTGATATTTTGTCTAGCATGAGATCATAAAAAATGTCTTGAGGCTCTCCTTTAGATTTTTAATACTTACCAGTGATAATTGGCATGCAGATAAATGTATTATATATTATTATTATTATTATTATTATTATTTTATTAATTTTGCTTTCAGATATTATTGATTTTGGGATAAAAAGTTGGCTGCCTCACAATTTACAATGCTGGGCAACCAACATAAAAAACCCAATCTTTTCATACATTAAAAAATAACATTAAAAAATGAGTAACGAATTTAAATATAAAATTAATACAATATGCAGTGATGAAAATTTAAAGAAAATATGGATGCAAGAATTGTGGTGGACCCAGAGTGCATTTGCCTTGAAGGGTCACAGCCGAATATCATTTTCATGAGCTGAATAAGAAGCAGTTAGTTTAATAATTTGGTTTCAATTAAATATACAGGCAGATAGTTGTTTCTTGTTGTGACAGTTGTTGAGGCAGTTTTAGAGACTTGTGTGATATATCTTGTATTGAAATATGAGCATGATGTTACGAAGATGGCAACTCAAGAGGTCATCATCATCATCAAGTCTCGAACGAGTTTCTTCTTATGAGAGACTCCACATGATTGCGTTAGCAATCATGTTGCATTGGACATTATGGTTGATAACAGTTAAACTGCTACAACCGCCCGTTATGCGTCCACTCAATGTCTAACTCAAGAGGTTTTGTTGGTTGTTTCAATTTTTCCAGATCTGATTCCGATTTAATTTGAATTTTTCTATCATTTCCACGCAAGACGAAGATTTTTCCACCTGATCAAAAATGTTTTGTATGCTGTATTTTTGTTAAGTTTTTTGGCGCTTACGAACAGTTTCCGAGTTTCTCCTGTCATGGAATGATCGAAATGGAATGATCGAAGATACCTCTGGAAAATTGAATAATATCATAAATCTACATTTCTCATCAATTTCTGATAATACTCAGACTGTGTCTATATTTCTACAAAAGATAGCCCAAAACGTTCAATAAAAAAAAGGATATAAGCAAATATTTTCTTTCCAACTTTTATAAAGCCTGGTAAAAATCCTCTGTCGACTACATACACACATGTGAATTTTTATTTGTGTCAACAGCAACAACAAAACAACTTATTCGTGAGAAAAGAAAACTCGCTTTCCATTCAAACTTGACGAACTAAAATTTTCAGTTCCAAGCGAGATTTTCATTTCAACAGACGTTGTTCTCCTTGCTGAATATTTCCAAAAAAAAGTAGGTAATTAGGTATTATTCCAAGTACTTTGAAGTACCCAAAAAAACTCGATTTATTTTAAGTGTTTATTACTTTTAAACAAATTCCGAAAATTATTTATTCAGAACGTATGAATTGGTGAATTAATGAAAAATAAAAATTTGTTTAAAGCTTTTTATTTGTATTAATTTTCAATGCTATGAATTCACAATAAATCTATAAACTTTTTAATTATACGCGTATTAGTAAGATTTTCAATAAGCTGTTGAAATCTTATATTCAATAATTTACTTTAAATTCAATCTCAACTTCAATTCATAGTTAAATGAAATTAAAACAATTCAGATGATAAAAAGTGACATTATGATTTCGGAAAAGTTGCTTCAAGGGAAGTTGTTTATATCATTTAAAAGAATTACGTGAACACCTCTTACAAATTAATTCTACATCAATTAACGTAATGAGACCATCCCAAAGTTAACCCACAAAAATTTTGCGTGTGGTTGCGTGCTAATTATTAAATTTTACATAAAGATCTTTATAGTTGACATGCTTTTGAAACTTATTGATTTTTATCTAGTTCAAGGTTTCCTCTTTTTTAAATTCTCTTGATATTCTCTGCACGCATGTAAAAAATTGATTTAATTTTTTATTTATTGATTTTTTTTGTTCCAATAAAAATGGTTCCGCTCAGTTAATTTTTTTGTGAATGATTTTCTTCAGGAAACACAAATCCATTGCACAAGTCAACATCTTAAATGGCAATTATTTTGATGTTTGACAATATAGTTTGCGGTTGATTGAACTTGACTGTTGTTTCTCAATTCGTTTCTGACGCAGAATTCTAATAAGTTGCTAAATAGTTTTCATGATTTTAGGGTGGGGTGAATTGAAATGCAATTATTAATTGATGTTACTAGGAAAACTAAATTTGTCATAGCTCATCTATCATCCTTTAACTCGATTAACTCTTTTTTATTTCCATTACATTTAGAAAATATTAGTATCGTCATAATAAGGTCATCGCGATGTTGATAAAATGAATGAACAAATCAGGGGTTCAGAGTGTACCCTTTTCCTTATCAAGGACTTGCACGTTTCTGCTGATCCTTCGATCTATTTGTAATTATAATGAAACACTTCGAACACGAATCAAGGCCCTGAATAAAGAGAAAAGTCATAAATAAGTACGAGAATTGTTAAAAATATTTCTAATGCATAGCAAGCCAGTTTAACAATACTTTTTAACACTTTAATGTACATTCAAAAAAATAGGCTGATTCATATCTTCATAAATAAATAATTCTTGACTGAAACCAATTGCTATCAAACAATGAGTGTCGAACAATAGAAATGTATGTAGAAAATCAATCGTCGAAGAAAATCAAAACGGGACGAAACATTCATACATGAAAAAGATTATTAGTTTCTATGTGAAGTTGAAACTAGCGCATAGTTTGATAAACCTTAATTTGAACTCTAGTTGATGTAATACTTTTAATGAAGAAATCTTTTCACATGAAACTTGTAGAAAATTCTATAACCCTCTCGATAATAAAGATAATTCTCATGATGACTTCTTTCACGCAAAAACGTTTCCTAATCGCAATGTTTGTGACGTTAATAAATTTAAAAATAAATATCCTTTTTCTGAAAAATTTTTGCTTGCAGTTGTAGAATATTTATGAATGGATTTTTTTCACGTTTCAGCGATTAGGCTAATAAGTAGTGAACATTAAATGAAAAAATAGAATAAAAGCCTTGTTTTTTTTCAATAACAAGTATTTATTTTTACAACAGGTTAGCTACTGCCACTTCAACAATCATAAACAAAAAATAAATATTAGAAATGGCTAATCGACCAGTCTCAGCATTGTCTCGTTATGAAACGGATTTAATCAATAAAAGTCGACGCGTTTTGGCATCGGGACGAGTTGAAGATTCAGTAGAAAAATTACGTCATTTGTGTTTAGCCAGAGGAGCTTCAGGTAAGAATGATAAAAGTATTAGTTGACCCGTTTTATATTTGAATTGGAACTTTTCAGGCATTCTTGGACTTGGAAGATGTTTCCGTCGTATCGATGACAATGGTGACAAAAATTTGAGTCTTGAAGAATTTGCCAAAGGCTTAAGTGACACTGGTCTTGAAGTGAGCGATGAAGAAGTTCAGCAAATCTTCTCTCAATTCGATAGCGATGGGTCCGGGTCGATTAACATGACCGAGTTTTTGATAGGAATTAGAGTGAGTTTATTGACCCAGCATAGATAATTCGAATTATTTTTCTCTTCATACTTTTGCAAAGCCTCACATGTCAGAATCACGTAAAGCAATCGTCAATCAAGCATTTAAAAAATTGGATAAAACTGGCGATGGAGCTATTACAACAGACGATTTGAAGTAAGTACCTAATTCAACTTTAGGATGACAAAAATTCATCATTTATGTGGATATTTCAAATTTAGGAATGTTTATTCGGTCAGAAATAATCCTAAATACATGAGTGGAGAAGAAACAGAAGAACAAATTTTAAATAAATTTCTGGCCAATTTTGAAGCTGGAGGTGTAGTTGACGGAACAGTAACTCAGGAAGAATTTGAAAATTATTATGCGGGAGTCAGTGCCTCAATTGACAATGACGGATATTTTGATCTCATGATCAGACAAGCTTATAAGCTATAGATAAACCAGGAACTTCTTTAACACTATCGTGTTGTCTTTAACAAAATCGACTTAACAGTGCCATCTTTTAAAATGTTTTTACGTGCTTTTGAGCTTCATCAAATGAAAAAATGTAGGAAAGCAAAGGAAAGAATTAAAATTTCATTACATGTTTTGCAAGAATTATACTTAAGGGAAAGTTTTTCAGTCAATGCTTTAATTTTTCAAAGTTTAACTATGCACACTTCTATTTGAAAAGTTCACATAATCAAATATAAAATTGATATTGAATTAATACTTAAAACTTTCTTTCAAATCCTATCAATCATTGCAAATTTAATTTTCTTACAGCATGCAGTGATTTGAAACTCTTTCTAAAAATAATCGTTTTTTAAATTTTCTCTTCTTGTCAAATATGTCTTCAAATTCTTCTAAAATTCTCGACGTTTCTTTTCTTTATTGTTATGGATATAAATTTGGAAAGAAAGTGACACAAAATTCTTTATCAAAAGTGAAAAATGGCGATAAAATTTTGGCCTGTAAAATTATCAAGAATAAGTTGGAAAATAAAAAACTCAACGAATGTATGGAAGCCTTGAAACCAATTTTGCATCCATATATTGTGACTATTCACAGCATCGTTCAGAATGGAAAGTTCTCGTTTATCTTCATGCAATGGTACGATGGTTTTACTTTATTGGAATACCTCCAACAACATGGAATGGCTGACGAAGTGACAGCGAAACTTTGGTTCTTTCAATCACTTTCAGCGATCGAATATCTTCACAAATTGGGCTTTGCATATTGTAATTTAAAATGCGATTGTGTTATGTTGGAGAGAAACAACGTGAAAATTTCCGGACTTCGTCATATGAGAAAATGGGAAGAAGGAAGAAAAGTTGAGATAAAGGCAAGAAAATCGATTCTTCCATTTTATAATCCGCCTGAAGTCAATCTTGGACGAGCATGTGACCCAAGAAAAGTTGACATTTTCACTCTTGGAACGATTCTCTTCATGATGCTGAATGGAATGCCTCCTTTCAACAATTCCAACATATCACAACTCGTAGATGATCAAATAAATCAAAGATTTCAATTCAGGGCATCGAATATTCGAACATTATCTGTCGAATGTCAAGTGATGGTTTACACACTTCTAGAACCAAATCATGATTTTAGATGGAATGTTGAAAAGATAATTCAAATGAAATGGCTTTCAAAATATGGCCATAAACAAGGCGACTCATAATAATTTACTTCCAAGTGGATTCTTTTTTTAAACAATATTTATTTTTATAGTTTTAAATATCATAAAAAACTTTCTTCATCATTTAAAAAATAATTTTATGGTTTTCTATTTTCTCAAATTACATTTAAGGAAACTTACAAATTTTTTAAGGCATTCAAGCCTTTGCGAATGAAAGCTGGTCCATTCCATATTCCATTCAACATAAACTGCCAATACAGCATTGGCATTAAGTTCTTCTTCATATAAAACATTGAGAAACGTTCTTTCGATTGATCGAGAATGGGAAATGATTCCAGCGGTTGCAGATTGTAGTCGAACTCAGCTAATATGCAAGTATTGTAGCCAGTTACAAGTGGACATGATGCATATCCATCGTAATTCTGAATTGGTCGTCTTCCATTCATAATTTCTGAAAGATTTTTATAAACAACTTGACATTGTGCTGCAGCAGCTGCGGCTGTTTTTGAGTTCGGTGATGATGAACAATCGCCAAGAGCGAATACATTTGGATATCTCACATGCTGAAGTGTCCATTGATTGACATCAACAAAACCAGCTTCGTTTACTAAGTTGTCAGAATTGTTTTTCAGCTCGTATGGTGTGCTCATTGGAGGCACAACATGAAGTAAATTAAACTGTGGAAAATTAAAGAATGTTCATTGATTTAATCATTTTGAAGTTGTTTTTTGTTTTTTCTCACATCAATTGTTGTCTTTTCTTGAGTGTCAAGATTTTCAAATACAGCTGAACGACCACCGGGAAGCACCTCAACAAGATTAGTACGTAAATTAACATTAATGCCTCGTTTTTCAACAACCTTCCAAAGTGCATCAGCATAATGTTTCACACCGAAGATAACTGGCAATGAAGTGTTATAAATAACTGTCGCATTCTTCCTTTTTTTCGTTTTCCTTAAATAATGTTCAGCAATATAACAAATCTTCTGTGGAGCTCCAGGACATTTGACGGGCGAATTTGGAAAGGTAAAGATTGCATTTCCGCTTTTAAAGTTTTCAAGTGCTTCATAAACACGATTAACATATTTAGGCGAGTATGTAGAACAAACTGCACCTTTAGGAATGGCTAAAGCTTCCACTAGACCAGGAATCTTCTCATAGTTCAGCTGCAACCCTGTTGCTACTACCATGTAGTCATATTTGATTACATCGCCACTTTTTGTCGTCACTGAATTGTTCTTAGGATCAAATTTATCTGCCTTATCTTTCACCCACTGAGCAAGAGTTGGCAAAACTTCAGCCATTGGATGAGCAGCATCTTCAACTGATTTCATACCACCACCTACTAGTGTGAACAAAGGTTGATAATAATGTTTCTAAAGTAAAGTAATCAAAATTATTTTATTATTCTATTCAAGGAAAAAATTTTTATTCTTACATCAGCTGAATCAAGGACAATAACATTGCCTGCTCCATAATGAAACGATAATTTCGCTGCGACAGAACAACCACCAGTCCCTCCCCCAACAACAAGAACTCGACATCTGGAAGCATTCAAAATTATGCAAGATTATGACACATTATTGAGGTCAATAAAATATTTACCTTTGATCTGCAAAGTAAACTTTTGATGTAGATAGATATCTCGTTGATTGTTGAAATACTCGTAAACTAGGCAAAATTCTTACTGAATTCATTCTCCAATGACTTTTTGAGAAATCGTCAAATTATTAATTTTAATCTCATCAAAGCTTAAATGAAGAAACTATTAGCAACAACACTACATAAGTACGACCTTGAAAATGTACATAAATGTTGGTGCGCGCACCAAACTTTATTTTTCTCGAATTACTTGTAATTTATCGCAGCTAACTTCATGACTAAGTTTAGTAGTGTTAGTGTCCATACAAAGTGCAACAAAATTTGTGACCGAACGTGACAAACTGTCTGAGCGTGATAATTACACTCTCCACCTGAAACTAGACTTTGGGGAGAGAATACATATGCTGAGTAAATTTCGGGCCGGCCCGGCTTTTGCAAGTGGGTGAAGTTGGCAGTGATTACGACAAACTGTTGCTTCAAAATAATAAAATACGTTGAAATTTCATTTGGTACAATTTGCTTTATTAATATGTTTTTTAATAAAATAATTTTATCAGACATTAAGAAAATTATTATAATTATTATTATCTTGGAGTTCTTTTAAATACCTTCAATGCATTTTATTTCCATTCTGTGGCATTTTTGATGATCCCCTGAATCCCATGACACGAGTTTGGCTAAAGGTTTGCTTGGTCTTAAATGAACAGTGAATTTGTCATTGAGTTGAACAGGAGAAAATTTTGTATAGGCGATAATTTTTGTTGCAGTAAAATTCTTAAATGTCACTTCAATATTGTCAACCGTAGAATTATTGTAACTTGAAGCGAAGTTCGTATTATTTTCATTTATTACTCTTGCCATAGCATCAGGATGATTTTTGAAGCCCAACTTTTTGCATAAATCTTCAAGTTCTTGTTGCGATGGTGGTGTAGCTTTAGGGAAACATTTTGTATGCCAAATTCCATATGTACGCTCCATAACTTCACCGAAACTATCTCTGAAAAAGATGTAAATTATGATGTGGCAACAATTTAAACTCTTTATCTTAAAAATTTACTTTTTGTCACGTTGAAAAATCCCATTACAAAATTGTTCATCCGCCCCATTTGGACAGTCTGCTCTCTTATCGCAAACCATTTCATTAGGCACACAAAAAGAAGATCTTGATCAAAAGAATGTTTGAAAATTATTAACCGATAAATTTCGAGAATTTAGAATATCTCACCCCAAACAGTTAAATGACGTCTTTTCTGGACAATTCACTCCACAATATGTTGAATCTTCGTCAGTTTTATCCCAACAATGTCTTATTCCATCACAAATCTTTGAAGGACTTGTTGCTTTTAAATAACTAAAGCATGTGCACTCGCTTGGTTCGTCAGACTTATCCCTACAGTCAGGAATTTGATCACAAAACTTTGTCTTCTCAACGCATTTTCCGTCACCACATCTGAACTGTGAAGTATTGCAAGGTTTTTCGTCAGTTGGCAGTTTAAAACAAATTTCATGATTTTCATCGCTGCCATCGTGACAATCAGATTTTAAGTCGCAAAGTTGGTATTTTTCAAGACATTTTCCAAGTGGACATCGATGAATTTCACATTTTGGTGGCAGCAATTTATGGTCCTGACATTTCTGACATGGATGATCTGAAATAAATTTAACTTTACTTTTTTACAAACAAATTACAACAAATTTTCTTAATACCAATAAGTTGATGAATGTCTTTCAATGATTGTTTAGTATTTAAATTGTTAACGCTCACTAGGTAGCGGAAGTCACAAAAACCTTTTTTAAGTTGATGGAAAGCATTCGGATACCAACTGCTGTTTTTAGTTTTACAGACAATTATTGAAGTACGATGAGACACTGAAAATACAAATAAAGTTAAATAAAGTTATACAAACTTCATTAATCACTTACTCTCTTCGTCACAATTCATTGCCTTCACCTCCGCAGTTTGTTTATAGCAAACATTGTTCGTTGAGTTTTTGCAGTCATTGATTATTTCCAGTTCAATTGCTTTCGTCATTTGATGCGAATCTAAAGCTATTGCTAAGCATTTAGACTCTGTCTCTAATTCAAAGCTGTTAAGAATTAAAATAAAAAATAAAAATGCTTTAAATAACATAAACTTACTGAGTCGGAAGAATACTTGGAAGGACGTATCGATTGTAATCAACCGGAGTCTCAAGATGAAATAACATGACGTTTGAATTGCTAACGAATTGAAGACAATCAACATTCATTATTTGTTCATAAGGACTTTGAATGTTCAGCTTAGATTTTGTGTTCCCTAAAAGTGCAACAATGAAATGACTTTGCAATAGTTCATTGCTATCTCCAAGAATATTTCTGTCTACAAGAATCCACGAGTCTTTAATCAATATTCCATTTGCTTTCAAATCACCATCGATAAAGATTTCTGCCAACCATGGCCAATCAAATGAATGCAAATCATTTAATTCATAATCTGATGCTTCTTTAGGATCAACAATGAGTTTCGTTTGATCACTCGCATCAATTGGGATGAAATTATACACATTTTGATGTAAACTTGTTTTATTTTTCTTTATCAATATGTGATCTGCTGAATGAGGATCTAAAGAATTCAAGTGGAACGATTCACATTCAATTTCAAGAGCGTTGCATGTTTCATTCATTTTACTAATGGTGTGGTTGCTTCTTAAAATTGGATTTGATGTTATGTCAATCTTAATTTTTTCATTAAGATATTTTGATTCGATTGCATTTGAATTCAATAAAACAACTTTTGACAATTTTCCTGATCTGAAAATAAGAAAAATTCAAATTGAAACTCAATGAAAAATGTTTAAAAAAAACATCACTCACGTGAATCCAATAAGATGACAAGTATCATTAGCTATCTGATCTGAATTTATGATGAAACTATCGTTATGGTCACATAGAACTTCCCACTTTGATTGAACATTTTTCGTCACAATTCCTTTGGAATGCATCGCTGGTTTTCCATTCAAGTCTAACAATACTGAATGACCATTAGTTAAAGTAACTGTAAGTAAAAATTGATACATATTAAATAATAAATTGAAGAAATTAGTTCAATAAAAAAACCAGAACAGAAACCGGAAATTTATAAGATCTATAAGATAACTAGATGCATGGGAGAGTCTTTTGATTGAAACTGGGAAAAAAAACTTATCAATATTGATGATCCAATAATCTCTTCAAGCCTTTTTAAATTGACAATATTGAATTGAGAGAATTTTCTAATCAGTTTGAATCAAGTTCTGATGAAGACAGCATGGATGTCGAAATATGTAATTAGGTATTAACAATTAATAAATTGACAATTAAAAAGTATAAGAGTAATTTTGTTTTCAAAATATTTAATGTTTTTTATGTGTTCACTTTTTACGTGATCTCAAACATAAAATTATTCAAATTAGGTAGTTGATACTCACGGCATTCAGTTTCATCTTCTTTATATTTGCAGTCGACTTCACCGTTACAAACTAAATTTTTTTTAATGCACATTCCGCTTCGACGACACGCGAATTCCGTTTCATTACAAGTCACTTGAAAATTATATAAAAAATTTTGTAATTAACATTGCAATAAATACATTTTAAAAAATCTCACAACATCCAATTTCATCACTTTCATCTTTACAATCGACTGTTCCATCACAAATGAGATGTGGATAAGACAACTTTAAGTAGTCACGACAAGTGCAATTTTCTTCATCAGTTCCGTCTTCGCAGTCAAAAATTCGATCGCAACGATGGTCCATGTTGATTACTTGAGGGTTTCTGAATAGAAGATGAACAATACATTTTAAAATAAATAATACAATAATTACATACTTAGTGCATCGAAATAATTCATTTCTCAAATCTTTCTTTGAAATTGATTTTGTTCCTGTTTCGTCAACATGTTCGGTAATTTCATTTGGATTAATGGAATTTGAAGAATTCATATTGCTTCCCAAAAGTAAATCGAGTAAGTTTATTGTGCATTCAATTTCATCTTCACCACCAAGACAATCGACAAATCCATCACATCTTTGTGACGTTGGAATGCATTTATTTCCACCCCAAACGCAAACAAAACCAGGACATTCTTGACGTGGAATTCGAGTTGGTGCAAATAGAAAATCTGATGAAGATGGAGGTTCACGGATTGTATTTTCCTTAATCCAATCGAGATATAAAGACACTCGAGTATAAACACCTTCATAGAAAAAACATTAAATGAGAAATATTCAACATTTTGTATCACAACAGTTTACCAGGTTCATGAGCTCGAGCACATCCTTCTCCATGACTAACTATACCTGTCAAGTACCATTCAAACGGATTGTTCAAGCTCTTGCACACGAAAGGTCCTAGAAATTAAAAGAAATTATTATTTAATAAACTTTTACTTAATAACGTTCATCAAATTTACCTCCTGAATCACCCTAATTAGAAGAAATAAAACAAACAAAATAATTTACTTATCGGCAATTAGAAATCAAACGATAAATTTACTTGACAAGCATCGCGTGTTCCAAATGTTTCACCTGCACAAACACTTTGAGTTTCTTCATCGACTACATGCTTACATTTTGATATGATTGGGACATCGACAACCTTCAAATCATCAGCTAAAATTTGATTAAGAAATGTTAAATGTTTTTCATCAAATGATGGATTAATTTTCTTACGGTCTGGGCCCTTCTCTCTGATAGCACCCCAACCGATAGCACTGCAAAGTGTTCCTGCTGGTGGACCAAACTTCCAATTTCTGTTATCCAAAACTCTTTCCTTAGTTGGCAAACAAATCGGTCTCACCCAACGATTGAACGACAAAGGATGCTTCATTCGCATCAATGCAATGTCATTCTTCATTGTTCCTCGGTCATATTCTGCATGTGTAATGACATGGGACACTTTAATTATTTGTGCAGCTGGTGAGTAACTTGATCGTCTTAAAATCCCAGCTTGAACTTCATAAAAATGATTTTCGAAGAATTTTGTACAATGTGCTGCTGTTATGATCCAATCCTCATCATAAATTGACCCACCACAGTGGAAGTTTCCATCTTTGAAGATTGCAACGATGAAAGGAAATTCCATTGGCTTTGCATTTACTCCACCCACAATTCTTACAAAATCATCTCGTTTTCCACGTGTCGATGAATTGTGACTTTCTCTCGCAATGTTTTGTACTTTTGGTTCGAAAACTTTTGATGAGCCACATTGAGGGTAGGGGCATTTAACATAAATTACGTTATTTTCATCGTCATCTTCAATTCTTCTTAATTTACAGTCATCAGTGAATATTGGATCGATATTAGTTGAATGATCAAGACTCATTTGAATAAATGGTCCGGGGATCGTCATTGTTTTCACTGCAATAAATGGTCGATCATTTAGTTTTCCTATTTCCATTTCACAAGCTTCAAATGCCCAACGATTTGGATTATTACATACGGGATACCAACGACCTTTATGATTGCGATGTAAGATTCCTTCGTAATGCGAAACAGCATAAGAAAGCATTCCACCGACATGATTAACAATCATTGAACATTCACTTTCATCTTTTCCATTTCGACAATTGAAGACGCCGTCACACTTTTCAATAGCTGAATAACACATCATGGTTGATGACTTTCGATTGTCTTCAAATTCTTTCAAATTATCATAACAAGAATATTGAAACTTATCACATCCAAAGCATCCCAACTCATCGCTTCCCATTGGACAATCCATATAACCATCACATATTCGACTGCTGTCTAATCTCGCTTTACATGAACATGCAGATTCATCACTGCCATCAAGACAATCAACTTTTGAATCGCACCATTTCGATTTTAAAATGCATTGATTGGTTCCAAAACATGGCAGTTTACCAACATCGCAATGATGAAGTCTCATTGAATGATTATTGGTAAACATTTGATTAGGATATGTAGCGTAAATGACATCAAACTGTGATGGAATGTTGAAGTGAACTGTATTCTCTTCTATTTTATGTATCATATCATCCCGAAATTGATTCTTTGGTGATTCAGTTGTGTCTGTAAAATGTGCAGGTAAACTCGCACTATCTGAAGCAACAAATGTACAATAAGCTGGTGGCTCTTTGTTATTTAATTCTCGATATGATGGTTGATTTGGTGCGATGTATTGATTCGTTACAGGAACTTGAATTGGTCTATAACTTGGTGGTGCTGATGGAACATAATATCCTGAAATGACATAAAATATTAATACAATTATATAAGAAGATATAAAAGCGAACCCGATTCACGAATATATTGCGGATCGATGATGTCTTGTTTACCTCCCGGTTGTGTCATTGCAGGATAATAATAAGGTGACATGTGTTGTTGTGGGTAATTCATAAAACATACTGGGTATGGCATAACATTGTAACCAGGATTCACAATAAACTTTGATGAAACTTTTGATATTTCACCTGTTGGTGGCACGTGAACATTTGAGAAGCCTGACAAAGGTGTCTGAAATTGTGCGTTAGGATTTTGAACAAATGATTGATGTTGTTGTGGTAATTGTGGCGGTAGATGTTGTGCTTGTTTATTCTGCTTTGACATTTGTTCGCAAAGTGAAATAAATGGTCCACTTGCTTCAATAATGTCTGAGTTTTTGAATTGAGAAATTTGAGATTTGCTGACGTCGAGTGTTTCTTCGTTTTTGTTTTCTAAGAATTCTTTTGCTTCTTCATTAGATTCCTTTTCATTGTCGGAAATATGTTCAACTACATTTGCATATCGATTTCTGTCACTTCTGTCGATTTTCTTCGCCACGAGATCATCAATTGAGGAAAAACTTGAAGACAACTTTAAATCTGGGTCAAGACCAAGTAAATCTTCTTCGAATGCATGACTTCTGAAATTCTCGTTAAATGCTTTGGCTGGACAAGCTGTATCAGAAGCTGCTGACTTTGCATTTTTGGAAGAAATTGTAACAGTTTCGTCAGCGAAGAAAAATTCATGTTCATTATCACGAACAACATTTTCACTTGAATCTTTTTTGTCGTGAAAATCGAAAATTGTTGCTGGTTGGACGGTTGTTTCATCATTGGTCGTAGTCTCGATTGGTGATTGTGTCGTTGTCATATCTTCGGAATTTGTTGTCTCAATTGTTGAAATATCTTCTTCTACTGTTGTTGTTACTTCAAGTGTTGTTGTTTCTGGTTCTAATGAAGTAGTTTTATTTGTTGACGGTGAACTTTGTTCCCACCACGGTGTTGAAGTTTTCACATTTTCTTCACTTGATTCATCCGATTCTGAAGAACTTTTTTCCTCCTTGTTCTTCTTTTTGTTTTTCTTCTTTTCCTTTTTACGTTCCCTTGAATCATTGCTTCGCGATGATGAATGATAATCTTCCATTTCGTCAACAATTTCTTCAATTTCTTTAAACTTTTTTGTTATTTCTCTAAAGCGATCCATCACTTTACTGTAAATTTCATTACAATCTCGCTTTCCATCTTTCGTTGACTTCTTGCATCGAATAAATTCATCACGAACTTCAGTAAATTTTTCCTGAACAAGTCGTTTTTCCCGTTTCTTCTCTTCGAAGATTGGAAAGTAAAGCTTGTAAGTGATTGGATCGATATTTTGAATTGAATTCGTCTCACGCTTATGTCTGACCCGTTTGTGAATTGAATTATCGGCCATTGCCGCAGTCTCTAAAAGACTTATAATATCATCATCAATGTCACGAATCTCTTCTTCAATATCTCGCAAATCTTTCAATATAAGATTTATTGATTCATCAGAAACATTCTCATTATCATTGATCATAATTTTGTTGTGTTTTATGTTTTCTTTGAGCTTTCTTATGGAATTTTTGAAGTTGCTGCTTCGTTTCGATATTAAAGTTCCCTCGTCATTAATTTCTTCATTTGCATCATTTCCATTGATTTCTTGATATTTTAAATTTAGAAAACTATTGATGTCTTCAACAACAGCATTTCTTTTAATCTTATTCATGTCATCAACATCATCACGCTCAGAATCTATTTTATTAATAAAGTTTGTTGCTCGTTTATGTCGAACAAGATCAGATGGTTCATTAAAGTATTCGTCCGTTATTGAAATTTGTGGTGAATCTTCTTGATAAACTATAGAAGATGAAACATTAGTTAAACTTCTTAAACGTGATTCTTGAATGTACCTTTAAAATATGCGTAAGTCCCAAACAAAGCGATTAAAGTGAGAATACTAACCAAAGACAAAACTATCACTAAATTCAACCTTCTTCGTCTCATATGGGTCATACAAAAGATCCTGATGCCACCCTGCTGTCCGTCTGAGTAATTTCATAATTGACATAAATTTACACATTTAATGATTTTGTTAATTGTTTTTGTTGAATGAATCGACGCAAAATGAAAATTTTCAAGAAATAATTAGGTCATTAATATTTTTTGATGATCTGTGCAATTTTTATTCATTTAAAAATCATTCAAGTTGAACGAATGTGTAAAGTTTTTAAAGGAAAAATTGTCTTTAATATATTTTAAATGATTTAAAAAAATGAAGAAATAACATTTTTCAATTTGTGAAAACTTTTCTTACCACTTGTTATTAATTCCTTCTCATTATTTCCCATTTCTACTAAACTTTATCCATTCAGAACCTGAATAAAATGTTTTCAATTTTTAATTCAAAGAGTAAATATTTCAACACTATTTAATACCAAACGTAACGATCCGAGGTTTAAGGAAAACTGAAAAAAAATGTTTGCACGAACAATTAAAAAGTCAATGGAATAATAATTGTCGATCAGCATAAAAACTATTTTGTTTGGCACATGTCGACTTGCAGGTTAATCAAAAACAAAAAAAAAGGTTTTCCATTAACAACTGAAAGGGAAAGAAATAGGAAATTGGATAAATATTTAAAGAAAAGTTCAATTTTCTATGTTTTATTTTTAAATATTACTTTAGTTTATTTTTTCATCGTGATTTTAATTAAATATAATACATTTTTCTCACCATAGTTCCTTTTTTTGTTATGTAACATTGTGTTGTTGTGTTTTTCATGTCTTAAAAATCTAAGAGAAAAATTAAGTGTTCATTCTAGATTTCTATTTTAACAAATCGTATTTTTTATTCCTTGTTGTTTCGATTACCACTTTGAAAAGTGTTATGGAATTTTCCAGTAATTTAAACAAACTTAACGTTCAGATTGGTGAACAATGGAAAAAATTCTGATCTAAGACATTTTTTTCTTATTCTTTTTCATGTGATCCGTTGTTAAAACTTTCGTAAAAGTTAAATACTTTTCTCACTAAATGTTTATCTACCTGACACATTAAGTAAAATAGCACAGTATGAAAAGCGAATGAAATTATAGCAAGAGTGAAAAACATTGAAATCTTTTTTATTTTACTGAAAAATTTACACTTATAATTTTTTTTGGTTTTCACTCAAGCAGCGCGAGGAGACAGATGAAAAAAAAATTTTTTAAGTCTTTTGACGTTGTAATTTTTATCTCATCTACACAATCAAATGCAAGTTTAAATTCTTTTATTTTTGTTTAGAGATTTTTTTCTTATAATTTTCTTCATTTTAAAGTATAGTTTTTTTATGTACAGGAAGAAGTTTCATTCAAGAAATTTTTATGCTAAAAATTTAATTTAGACATTGGTTTATAATTTTTATTAGACTTTTTCTTTAAAGTTTTTTGCTTTCCTTCACATCGATTTAATTGTAGGACTTGTCTGAGTGTATGTGGGAGAGTGTTTTATGACAAAAATGGTGGCTTACAAGATGAGAAGAAATGATCTAAAAAATTTACGCATGCTTGTGTTTTTCCACAGGAACTTTTTTACAACTTATCTTCTTCCGTCTCGACGTTTTCATAAAAAGAAAAAGTTTTAAAAATGATATAAAGATTATCTCAAGCTAAATGTCATTTTTTTAAGATATTGAATTTAATAAGATTTTTCTGCAAATATCTTATCATAGTCAAATTTTCATTTCTTTTTTCTTTGTGGCACATTTTTATCTTATGTTGTTTATTATTTTATGTTTGAAAAATTGAATCTTCCTTTGAGACGTGACTTTTGGTTTTCCGATATTTCAAGATGAAAGAAATGATCGAAACCGATAAATTTCTTTTTCTTCCTCTTCTTGATATCTTTTTGTTGCTCGGTGATATCCCAAATAAAAAAGCTTTAAAAGTTTTTGGAAAGTTTTTCGTTTATCTGTTTGCTTCTTTTTTTTATTTTTGTGTCCGTGAATAAACTTCAAGCTATTGTCAAATTATATAAAATTTTCTCACCACGAGTTAGATTTTTCACCTTTTTACAAATATTTTTTTTCCTTATAAATTAAATAAATTTGATTTTTCTTTCCTTTTATTTACTTTTTTTTCACGTGATTCACTAGTTTACAACATGTTTATTCCATTTATTTTAATCTTATCATAAAATCAGAAATCTAAAATTTCATGACGTAATTTAAATTTTCTCATAAGAGCTATGTACAAAAATATAACATAAAAGCTTTTCATCCCATGTAAAATACGAGGCGTTTTCATTTCAGAGAAAAAGGTGCTCCAATTAAAATGATTTTTCGTTTGTTGCTCTCAATAAAAGTAAGTTGTAAAAATCATATATAAGAAAAAATCTCTTTAAAACAGAGGCTCTCCTGTTACAAATAATTTTTATGCACATGTTTCCGGGTTGGTTTTTGAAATGAAGTAACACTTCTTCTTCACATAAAACTTTAATGACTTTAGCTCAACACATATTTATTTTCTTTTTAATGTCATCCTCTCATTCGTTTTTCCGCTTGTTGTTATCGCCATGAAATTTGTAATTCCATGAAAACTTTTCTATTAAAGATTCACAACAATTTTTAACTTTAAAGCTCGACCGTAACGAATGAAAAATGTCTCGACAACACGAAAAGCTGCACAAGAAGCTTTCATTACGCTCGAGTCTCATCACATGTTTTATACAAGAAAGAACTTCTATTTACTGACATTGAATCACTTATAAGACTATAGAAAGTTTAATTAGATCATTTTTTGTTTGTTTTGCACAAAATCACAATTGCTGTATAGTTTTTAAATTTTAAAATTTGTTCCACGAGTTTTTGTGTGTATGTTTGCCTCAACCTCACCCAAAATCTAATCGTTTGACGATCATTGTAAATATTTTTAATCGAAAAGTGCCGCTAAGATATCATCATTGTTGGCATTATTACTTGAGCCACTTGATGGCGGTGTATTTAAATCTGGTGGATCCAAGTATGACAATAATTCCAATGGATCTACGTTCACGTTATCAGGAAGAAGCTAAAGAAGGAGAACAATTAATAATTGTTTTATTTTAAATAATATAAATGACTTTCACTTACATTCAAATCATTACCACCTTCACCATCAATGACTGCGGCCGGGTCAAAGTTTAGATCAACATCGGTGAGATTAGGTATAGAGTTCATTAAGTTTTGCTGTATATTCTGATTCATATTTTGTGGCGAATTCATCATATTTTGTGGAGAGTTCATTAGACTCTGTGGTGAATTCATGATGTTTGAAGCGGAATTCAGAATATTATGTTGGTGCTGAGGTGAGTTGGAGTTGTTTGAATTGCTGGTTCCATTTTGTAGTAGATCATTGGCAGGTGGAACTGACGGGGGACCACCTGGCGTCAAAGGATTGTGACCACCATTTGGTGTATGAGGTGTGTGTGGGGTGTGGGGCATCTAAAACATTATTATTAATTAATTTATGATGAAAATTTTGATTTATTAAAATTTATTTAGTACTCACTTGATCGTTGAGTGATTTTTCCATGGCATTTAAAGGATCTAATGAGTTGACAGAGTCATTTAAATGAGCAAGTGGATTATTATTACCACCATTGTTACCCCCATTTGAAACAAAATCGCTGTTCATGCCAGTTGTATCTTTTAATGGATTTCCATATTGGTCAAATTGCGGATTTCTTTGGTTGTTGTAACTTTAATGAAAAAGAAGTAAATTAAATAAACAAATTTCATTATTGTGTGTGATGTTTTTGTTACCTTTGACCCATCATACTTCCACTTGCAATTGAATTCATGTCAGGACTCATATAAGGACTCATGGCCTGCATACTATCCCAAGATGGTAATGAAGTAGATCCTGGTGACATAACTTTATTGAATTGCTTGCATTCGGGATCAGTTGGTTCTTGTTTGATTCCATTTATGCTCATAGGTTTGATGGCTTTCCAGTTTGCTTGAGCGTCAACCATGACTTCTTCAGTGTCTTGTTGTGTTGTGAGTGTGTTCAAAATGGCCCACATATACTGATCAATTTCTAGGCCTTCAGTTAAAGCTGGTTTACTGTAAAAGAAAATTATTTCTCATTAAAAATTTTATCAAAGTTTTTGATATTTTCAAAGCCTTACTTGCACACAGGGCATCGCCAGTTTCCTCGCTCGCAATTAATTTGTAGATAAGCTTCAAGATCAAAGCATTGTATATGTTTGCAATCGTGACCACGAGCTGGTAATGTTATTCGCTTGCATGTGATCGGACACTTAAGGAATACTTTTAATGATTGTTGCTGATCCATATTGACATCTTTTTCAATAACACCAGTCGTTGAATTCGCTTGAGGTGATTGTATATGGCCCTGAGCAAAGCTTCGTTTGATTTTAGCCACAGCATGCTCAGCAGGTAAGAGATTCCTTCGAAGAAGTGTATGTAGTACATGTCGTACTGATGGTCGATGGACCAATTGTAAGACAAAAAGATGAGACTGTGAAAAGTAAATGAAAATTAAATGTTAAAGATAAAAATCTAAAATTGATTGTAGCTTAGTAACTTACACAACAACAAGTGCTGACTGTGATTTGAATTGTGTTTCTTCCTGGTTGACAGACCTGCTTCAAATATAATGGACGATGAGTATTTTTGTTCTCGCCCCGATCAATCTCTAATGGTGTTGAATTAGCTGATACTTGAACGCTGGCTGGCCAATTTGTATTCATCTGTCTGTCTTCATGATGAAAACATTTGAGCTGAAGCTCGAGATCCGATCGACACATGAGGGTATTGTAAACGGTTGGTTTTAGTTGAAATACATGATTACTAACAGCTAAATTATGTTCTAGACGAAATGGTGATAGAATGATTCCGTCACGAACAGGAAAAGTTAATCGTAATTCTTCACCTAAACGAAAATAAAGAAAAAAATGTTTAATGACCATAAAATTGTGAGAAAACTTTCCAAACGTACTGTGCACAATATTTGGTTTGACATCAGGATTAGGACTTATGTAAGGTGTCATTGATGAAGCAGCAGGTGTAAGTGGTGGCGTTGGATTACCAGGTACTGGACTGTGCTGATAATTCAATCTACCATCTTGCTGGAATCCCTGCATACTTTGGTAGCCAGCACCAGCATTGCCATAATATTGTTGAGCTGTATTGTTATATGGTGGAGTATTCTGTCGTTGTTGTGGCATCATTGCTGGACCGTTTCGACCATAAGGGTTCATTGGATTTTGTCCTGGTCTTCCATACGCTTGATTCTGGATGGGAACTGGAACTCCACCTTGATGTTGTGGAAATTGACTCATTGCAGGGCCATTTGGTGGGCCTTGGTTGCCACTGATCCCATACATTGACCGTTTCTGTGCTGTGTGAAGTTGGGGATTCGGATAAGGAGACATTCTTCTTGGCGCATATCCATTCGCCATTCCTTGCATCTTAGCCATGGGATTCAATTGATTCATACCATTTATTTGATTCCCCATCTGATGATTTCCCATGCCCATATTTGCCATCTGAGCCATCGGATTCATTTGGTTCTGATGATGACGTTGATTATATCCCATCGAACCATTCATTTGACTGTTCATACTGTTAATGTTGCCCATTGGCATTTGATTCATTCCATGTAATCCACTAGAACCTGCAGTGCTGTTATTTGATCCATGCATGGCGCCCATTTGATTCATCATGTTTCCATTCATTGAAATTCCATTCATGTTTGACATGCCTCCCATATTGTTCCCATTACAATTCGTTGAACTTCCCATTTGATTCATTTGATTATTCCAGGAATTTTGTGATTGTATTCCCATGTTATTCATCTGTGAAAACATAATTGAAATTCCATTTGAAAAAACGTGTTCAAAAGTGATAAGAAAGTTAAATTCTCTTACCTGTGAGTTGTATCCCACATCCATTCCACCTTGTTGACCTGCAGCGACCATATTAAAATTATTGTTTATATTATTTTGATTGCTATAATTGTTGTTGTTGCCGTAATGACTAATATTTTGTTGTTGCTGATTAAAGATTTGATTTGAAGGCGCACCGGGCGCTAATTGTTGATTGTTAGTCGTCTTATTATTAATAATACTAGAATTGTTACTATTCATGTGAATTGGCGTTGTTTCATTAGTGTTTCGGGATCTACAATTTCCAGGATTGATTTTACTCTTGCTATTGATGTTGTTATTTGACGTGAAATTTGCATCGGTAATTATGTCACTTTCATGAAACTGTTGTGCTTTTTGATGTTGTGAATTATTTGTACCTGCAATGATAAACAAAATTATGAAAAATTGAGATTAATGAACATAATTTCAACATAAAGCAAAAAAGATTATTTTGCTTAAAGTTATGATATTTATTTGATTTACTAAAAATCATAACAAGAGGAACTACTTGAAACTTGATTCTTTTCTTCTGTTGTGGTGTAAAGATACTAAAGAAAGAGTCACAGCCAGCTTGTAAAATTAAACTTTCATTGTTTTTCTACCTCAAACTCAAAAGTTTCACTGGGATAAAATAAAACTTAGAAATTTTCTCACGTAGCTATTAAACTTTGTTACTCATTGAACTTTGTATTATTTTTAATTACGAAAATAAATTTTAAAAGAATTAATATTCAAAAAGTCTGTTACCGAAAGTCGGCCCCAACAATAAATATCGTGCAAAAGCCCGATATTTAAAACTCCGGCAGTTAT